TAAATAAATTTCTTTGCTTCAACTATAAAGTATCTAATCTTACCTTAGGCACGTAAAATGCTTGGTAATTGAAGAAATATAAGCATGCCGCTTGAATTTTAAATTTTTTTCATTTTTCCATACCAAGGTCACTTCCGGGTTAATCTGAGTCTAGATGCAAAACTATATCAAAACGAAATCATAAGTATTTGTTACACGAAGATTCAGTTGAAAGGGAAGCAGTGTCGTTAAGAAGGGAAGTTATTTGGAAAAGTTATTGTTTTAAAATGAGAAAAGTGATTAGTATGAGGGAACGGCTTTGGAATCGATCTTTGTGTAATAAATAATTATGATTCCGTTTCGATACATGTTTTACAGACTACCGGAAACAACATTTATATTGTGATTATTTAGCACATAGCATTTTGATGGATGGAATTTCATTTGCCATGTTGATGCCCACCTGACCAGTTTATCAGTCTGTCTGTTGGATAAAGACTAAGTTCTTCGCCAGCTAAAATGTCACTCGACTTTTTGGCAATTAAAAGTCCCTACCTGCATTAAGTAGTCATATATTGTCATGTGCATAATTTTGAAACCATATCCTAATTATTTCACAAACCCTTTGTTGATTCTGCCATAGTTTCCAATTTGTAAACAGCATTTAGCCTTTTTAATTGGGAACTTTTTTGAAATTTCCAAAATGGCTGCCATGTGATTCCAGAATTAACATGAGTGTGACGTGACATCACGGTTGCTCGTTCCTAGGTAACAACAAGATCACAATTGCTCGATTCTAGATACCAACAAGATTTTTGATAAAATGGAACAGAATTACCCTGATTAACACCCTTAAAATCCGATTTTCAAAGAATATATTTGGAGAAACAATAAAAGGTAAGTGGAATAAATTAGAAGATGGTTTCAAGCTACCACAGAAGTCAATTTGAAACTCAAGAATGCTTTCTTTGACTCATAATCACAAAAAAGTCGAGTGACATTTTAGATGGCGAAGAACTTAGGTAAGTCACCCCATCCCCTCTCCCTATATTAGGGTACAATAGAGAGGGGTTTGACTTACTCCAGTGTTTGTTTGTTTGTATCCTTTAATGCGCTATAATGCCGCTAGGCTTACTCACTTCGAGAGCCATGTTAGATTTTGAAACTTATGGCTCTCAAACGGAGAAGTGAACAGCTGATCAATAGTGACCTTTGAAATTGAATTAAGTCGATCCGCGGCTTACTTTTGGTCTCTAATTGTGTCTTACATCAGTATCATCAATCCGTGTAAGTATTGGAGCGCTGGAGTACTTCTTTTTCGATCAAGACTTGTAAATTTTTCATCGAGTTAAAGTTTTACAGACCTATTTCCAATATGGCGGTTTGCTAGGTGCGAGATACGCAACGAACGAAATGAATTTTGAGAATTAGTTAGGTTCGGACAACCTCCGGAGATTTACGAAAATGTCCGAGCAGAAACCGCCATATTGGAATTTGGCAGTAAAACGATTCCATCGACTAACAATTACAAGTCTTGATCGAAAAAGAAGTACTCCAGCGCTCCAATACTTACATGGATTGATGATACTGATGTAAGACACAGTTAGAGACCAAAAGTAAGCCGCGGATCGACTTAATTCGATTTCAAAGGTCACGATCATTGAGCTGTCCAAATGCTCCGTGGGAAAGCTATTATATCAAAATCCAAATAGCTTTCGCAGGAAGTAACGCTAGGCTAGTGTTTGACAAATTCAAAAAAATGAAAATATTTTTCAAAGAAAATAATTTCAAAATTCAAAAGAAACTTCTACCGACCTAAATCTAACAAACCGTATGGAAACACCTACCTTACACGCAGTTGTCAAGCCTCCTATATTCGTATCCCTTATCGATGATTAGTGCATGAAATCGACAAAAAGAATGGGAAATGATTCCTAACCTCTAAAAATTATTTTTCCTATATCTTGCACCAGAATCTTGAACGTATCAAACTTTGCGACACGAGGACGTTCGGAATTTTATCAGGAAAATATAACGCTTGAATACGGGAATAATGCAGAACCAAATTTAGAAATTAGATATTTCTATGAGTATATATTATAAAATGTAAACTTAATCTTTAAACAGGTATATCTTATCGAACTCAGTAATTGTTGATCCCCAAACAGGGGCGGATCTGGGAACCAACAAGGGGGGGGGGCAAATTTCAAAAAAAACTCGCGCTTGGGACGAAATTTTTTTGGCCCCTAAAACCTAAAAGTGGGCCCAAATATTGAGGCCCATTTTCTTCAAAATCAGGCCTGAAATTAAAATATAAGGTCTTAAAAGGCCCAGTGATAACCAAAAAGGCCACTTTTTGGGACCTTAAGGTCTTTTTTGGCCCAAATTCTTATGAGACCAATTTTTTTTCTGGGCCCACCCAAGAGCCCCCAGCCCCCACCCAGATCGGCCAGTGCCAAGTGGGTATTGACTATCGAATGGCATTGAAAGCAGAGATTAAAAGAACAACATATTTCTAGTTTGTAAACAGCATTTCAGCATTTACTATAGTCTCACAGCGATCACAGCCCCCTGGCTGAATAGGATGTAATCAGTTCAGCTTTAGTGCACTCCATGAGACAGTCAATCCTCTTTTGTGCCAAACTTGTTTTGGTTAGCTTGCCAAGTATCAATTCTTTAAAAAAAGAACACACTAGTTCCAGTTTGTTAAAACTGTATAAAGAATTGTCACTCATTCAATAGTTGAATAGTCAATACAAAAGAAATCAAATTTCACTAAAATTGGAAGGGCCATTTACCTTTTATAAACCATAAACCATTAGTAACTGGGTCTTAGGAGAACTAATAGCCTTGAACCAATCCCCTCGGCTGTTCATTCACCTAAAACCCAGCACTTATAGTTTATCCATAGCATAACACATGCACATCCCACTGACGCCATGCCCCCCCCCCTTTTGTGAGCCAAGAAAAACATTAAGGGCTTTAAAAAAATTTGGGCCCAAAAATTTTGTAGGGCCTAAAAATAAGAGCCTTTTAAGAGCCAATTTTATTACAATATGGGCCTTTGAGTTTAAAAATTTAGGCCCAATTTTTGGTTTTAGGGGCCTAAGTTTTTTTCTAGACTCAAAATTTGCCCCCTCCTTGTTACTTTGTTTCTGGATTCGCCACTGCATCCTAACCATTTCCTCTTCATAAGTCAGTGTACTTTAGTTATAATTTTCAATCCGAACACTTACTTGTAGTACACCCCTCTTCATAAGTGGACAACGGGAAGTCTCCTTCTGGATCGATTATCATGTTAGGCATTATTTAACAGGGTTTAACACATTCTAATTTATCAGAGTCCCTCTTTACCTAACGCTTTTGAGAACTATTCCAAAAGGATAGTAAAGGCTGTGGATCCCACAATGGGTTTAACATATCAAATGAAGACGTTTGGTTGCCAAACCAAACAGGAAGGGAGTGTAATGTAAAGACTAAGTATTTATTAGGAAAGCTTTGATTTTATTTTTTCACAGTTTTTTGCTTTATATACTCTTTACTCTATGCTTAAATGCATGGGAGGTTTGAATAATATTCACGGAACAACGAACTACACACTAACAAATGTAGATTAGTTTAATGGACGTCTATAGAAAAGGGAAAACTCGAACTCCCGTGCATGGTAGTTTGGGGAAAACTGGCTAGTTACAAAATGCGAACGTGGAGATAATTAAATTAACGTTCGCACTTCTATTGTGCTGTATCTAAACTCAATTACTGAAATGAAACGAAATAATTATTTTCCCTGAAGATCTTCTTTCTAGACCCAGTAAAACACCCTAGTCAGTGCTCAACAGATGTCAATTTTATCTATTGGCTCTCGGCATCATTGTTCAAGTAAATAAACAATCCATCAAACGCCATGTTCATGATGCAATCACTTTTAAGTATAACACGGGGAATACCATTCTCATCTCAGAAGCATTTTAAATAAAGGTTAATAAACGCTTTATATTCGCTTTATTTAACATTCTAGTCTCTATTGGATTAATGGGTGAGAAATAGGGATAAAAACAACCATAGTTTTTTTATGCAGGCGCAGAAATTTCTAGAAATATGGGAAGTCGGGAGTCTTATCAAATGTAGAGAATATGAAAGAAAGGGGACTTACTCCCGTGAATATCACAAGCCATATTAACTATTCCTTGTAGCCTTCATGCTCGATGTAAAATACCCTTTGCATTCGTTTGACTTCGCTTCTTAAAAGAGTGCTTCGTCTTAAGTAGTTTAACTAGACTCTGCATGCAGGGTAGATGTAAATGGTAGGAGGTCCTATCAATTTATGGCCCCACTCTCCATTGATTTATATGGTGACCTCTTTCCCTTATTATCTTATACACAATCAGGGCTTTGTATAAAAACCTCCTACCTCATACCCACCTACCCACCTACGTGGAACATGATAAAGTCATTGAAGGGTTCAATTTTAAAGATTATTAAATCTCAACATAGCTCAAATTATTAACATTTCTACAATTCTGGCTTTATTTTATGACTAGAGAGATGACAGATCCATAAATAAAGGCATATTGATGCATTTCAATGTGTAATGACCCAAGGGCGCCCCAGGGGAACAAATTACTAACGACCATGAGCATCTAGGTCTAACAAGCCAGATAAAGAAATTGAAAGAAAGTGTGCTAAATTCGATGCCCCGAGTGGGAATTGAACCCAGCTGGGATGTAGTAGCAACTTGCTATCAAGGGTCGTCCTTACAAATGCATCTATAATTCATCATAAACTAAGATTTAATAAACTAAGATCTTTAAAATTGAACCCTCCAAAGGCTGTATCATGTCCCACGTAGGTGGGTAGGTGGGTATGAGGTAGGAGGTTTTTTATACAAAGCCCACAATCAGGGTCATCAGGGCCGTTAAGATGGTGGACCATAATCCCCGGGGACCATAATTTCTTTCACATCGGCCTACCTGTACATGTCCCGTGACAAATTACATGAACATGGTATGGCCAGTGTGACACAGAATGCTGCATCATGGTGATCACGTGACCAAACAAGTTTCTGGATTAAAAGTCTGAATTTGCTATTCACGATTGTGTAATCAATTTAGCAGCATATAGGACTTGAATGTTAGTTAGAATCGAGTGCATGTATCACATTAGTAAGTAAGGAAGTGTACAATGGGCTTGCTATCCGAAGGATCGCCTTTATCATGGGAAGAAACGAAGAAATGGTGTGATCATGTTAGAAAACATGGTGTTCAACAATTTATTCACCAATGGAATAAATTAAAGGACACATGTAAGCCAGAGCTGAAATGGGGAGATGAAGTAAGTCGTTTGATTATTCCATTACCAATTATAGTGCACATACAGGGGCGTAGCCAGCTTTCAGTCCGGGGGGGGGTGCGATCCCCAAAAATTTCGGTTTTCAGTCAGGGGGGCTCTTGTTCTTGTCCTTATTTGTTTGCGGCAGCACTTGTTGTGCAGTCTAGTTTAAGTGTTTCTTAATTTTTGGCCTGTTAGGCTTTTTGTTACTGTGGTAAGTCCAAGTGTAAACAAACACTTCGTGTGTACATTGGGGATCATAAAGAATTGCAAAAGCTATGAAAATTACATGCTGTCGCACATGTAATAAATTCTTACCTCAGTGTATTCAGTGCTCTATTTTCTCCGTCTTAGTAAGTCCAAATATAGTGGAATTTGTGTCCATAATGACAAATAAGAACTTAAAAAGTTGAAGTGGATATTCACATGTTATGCCGACTCTTCAAATGTTGAGGTGATTTTGTCGCCCGATTGCGCCGGAACGGAGGATTGGCTCCCAGAATGCAACATGACACGTGCCAGCTTTCAAAATGCTGTTCCGTGGGAGTCAACCGTCCTTGGATAACAAACATGGCGATTCATGAAACGGAGTGGCTCCAGGACCGACAATTGTCGGTACTGGAGAATGTCCAGGGGTATTTGCTTGGGTACCGACAATTGTCGGCACTCTATCGTCACCTAGTAGTGCCAGATAGAGAACCGACAATTGTCGGTACGCAAGTGGCTGCTACGTGTTTTTGCTAGAGAGCCGACAATTTCATAAATAAATGCACTACTTTTACTTTTAGAGATAACCTCATCACTGCTAGTCTAGTGGTTAGCGAGTACGACTCGAACACACTTGGTCCCGAGTTCGAATCCCGGTCTTACTTTTTTCTTTTGAGGGGGGGGGGGCATAGTGCTTCTTTTGCAGTATTGAATCGTACAGACATTAACTTGTAGTGAGCCATAATTTATTTCGACAAAAATTGATTCAACTTCCATCAAAATTGTCCTACAAGCTTCAATTAAAAAACATTTTAAAGCTCTTTTCTTGTTCTATCTAATGGGTCGATATACACAGTTAGGGGAGGGGATGCTTTCGCCCCCGTCGACCTCTACCCTTACTACGCCATGGCACAGGAGAAATATCTCATTTGGAATATATCACTGTTCACTTTGCGTTTGGTAGCTCTCTCATGCGAGATGGAATCGTGGCCATTAACTAAGGGAGCCAAATGCAACTTCCATCAAAAATTGTGCTATAAGGTATGAGTACCGTAATCCAACACCAAATTCGAAAATTCATAACAATACTTTGCACATATGGCGTTCATGACCAACTATGAAACGCTTACCCCCCATAGTGTTATATATCAAAATGCACCTGTCCATATAGGGGTTCGATTGACCTACATCAAATTATAGGGAGTCAGGTTACTTTTTGAGAAATCAGCGTCCGTTTATTGTAACTCGTGTTTGCTACCACTTCCTCAATTCTGATATGACGGGCAAACGCGTAGTAAACATGCTCACGTTCGGAACTATTTTGACCTACATCGCTATTTTCGTAATTCAAATGAAAGTTGAACTCCTCTTTATTTTGATACCAAATAGTGGCATACTAGGTACCCTAGAAGCCAACTATGGGTTATTTAGAACGATACCACAGGTTTTTAAATGGACTATATAGGGGTCATACCTTTTGGCGGATGGATATGGAACCTCATACCATACGATAAGCTTCAAATAAAAAACATTCTAGCTATTTTCATCTATCTAATGGGTACGCAAACGCCCCTTCCTACGCCTGATCGGCTCAGGAGAAATAGCCTGTCTGTTTAGAATATATATAGCCGTTTACTCTGCATTAATAGCTCTCTAACGTCTTACTTGTTCATGTTTTTTATTGGGTTTTCAACATTTACTAGATTACCATTCCCTGTTCCCGGGCTACCATTTTTTGACTGGGTTTGGTAATCTCCGGGTAACCGGGGCTAATGCCCTCCCCTGGTTTTGCACTTGTTCCCAAAATATCCGTATGATATCTGAAATATCCCCCCGCGCATTGCGCATGTGCCAGAAAATTCGAAAATCAATATTTGTCGGTCCTCTAGCGTGTAAACACAGCATATCTCCCGTACCGACAATTTATTTGTCGGTACTCTAGCGTGCCACCACATCAGAGTCTAGAGTACCGACAATTGTCGGTACTCTAGCCTTTACGTTCATGAAAACATTCATTCGATTTGGTAGGGATTTATCCGTTATTTGCAGGTATGAAGCTTTGGATTCATTTATTGTGCTACTTTAGTGAACGGGAATTATTTTTCTACCGCTTGGGAGAGTTTGAGACACGAAACTTGGAATTTAGCTCATTGTGACAACTTGTGAACGTTGAGTTTTATTATTGTCCCCCACTGTAGTGCATATACATGTACTGTATAGTGTATCGTCTTGCCCAGAGCTCCAGATCCTTTATTGTGATGGATATCTTGGGGTAAAGATGGTATATATAGGTGGGGTCAATGGTAATGTGAGTGAAGGTATCATCATCTTGGGTTATGGCTGTGAGAATGGGGGATTGAATTATGTGTTCTAGGGTTAGAAGGCGTTTTGCTCTAGTTTTTGGTAAGGGTTTGTGCAAAAAACCGGGTGACCGGGTAGCCGGGTGACCGGGTAGCCGGGTGACCGGGTACCTTACATTCCTAGCAGGGTTAGGAATTTGATTATTTTCATTTATGCCCTAAAATGTGCCACTGAAAAATCCAAACAACCAAACACCCAACTGGCCTCCAACTCAACAGACAAGCCATCCTACCAATCAAGCAAACAACCAAATAACCAAGCAACCAATCTACCAATAAAACCAGCAAAACATACAATCATCGATACCCTGTCAATCACTCAGGCAATAAAACAAGCAACCAACGTCATGAGTCGTACATCGTACGTTAATTGACAAATAAAAAACGTTCAACTTTACGTGCGTAAATCTTTCAGATTTGTTTGATATCTAGTAGAATCGCCATCATAGGAAACAATGATCAACATCCTGTCAATCCACGATGTCCGATTTGGTGCTCTGATCTGGCCACATGAAAAGGTTTTCATACTATTTTATAGATGTCGCTGTAACATATTTTCAAGTATTTAGCCCCCGTAGGAACGGTGATTACTCTGTCATATAATGACTTCCGTTTGCAACATTTCTGTACAGAATTCAACTTTTTTTTAAGGTTTGTTGTGCTTTTTACCTTTTTCCGGGCGTCATTTCGTTCTCAAGTTAGATTCTGTGAAAGATAAGGTAGAATTACACGGGTAATACGTCGCTTTTATGATGTTCTTTTGAGAAATTTATGGTTTTATTTAAAAAATTAAAATCACAGAAATTTGATTTCCTCATCAGTACAAATGAATTAACACTTACAGTACTGCAGTATAGGCCTAGTTCATGCTCTAACAAACAGCTGGACTGGATTAAAATGTATTTTCGGCTGTACAGACAGATTTAAAGATTTGCATGTACATTTCGCCTACGTATTTGTGACATAGTTTTCCTCGAATTGGTACAGTTTTACTATCACGTGATTATCGATTGTATAAAAACAGCGCCATCTATCAATTACTCCATGCGTCAAAAGCATAAATTGAAATGGCCAGCTGGGGCTGCGAAATCTGCCGTCGTGATCACTCACTTGTAGGCAATAAACCAAGCAATAATACCATCTTATGTTAAGTGACAGATAAACAGCAATATATGTGTCAATATATACGCATGTGCATATTCGTCCACATTTGTTTAATTTCTAACTTAGAAATCGCCTCCTCCCCCGCCTTTTATTTTGTTCGAATTATGGCCATGATATTGCAGTTGTATCGAAATAATAAATATGGACGTTTTTTGGCCCATTCCTATATATTAGGGGAAAATATGCAACTTTGAAAGTTGGTAACCCTGCTTGGAACGTTAGGTACCCAGTCACCCAGCTACCCGGTCACCCGGTTTTTAAAACAAACCCTTTTGGTAAGACAGTTGGTAATAAAGTGAACTTGAGTTTCTGAAGAGAGATAAGGCACAACTGACAGGTGGGTCGGCAAATCTATCATTGTTAAGGAAATGACGTCACATTACATTGGTTTTTCATAAGACTCGGGCTAATCGTATTCCGTCATCAATATGCGTTGAATGGTACGGAGACATTCATTGTGACATTTGTTTTGGGAGTTCTAACAACAGCAAAATACTTTCACTTTCATTATTAGAGCACTTTCACATTTGATTAGATAGCGAAAGCGTATTTTTTGCATTTAATTGATGAAAATGAATCTAATTGATGATATTCTTCAAAAAACTCATTTTTATTGTTTTCTAAGCCCTTGGTAGTTATATACATTCTTTAAACATTTGAGAAAATGTTTCACAAATATATATATATATATATAGAAAACCATATTTTCTAAAACATCTTAATTACATTTTCCAGGTAGAATACATGTTAGTTGCATTCAAACATGAGGAAGAAGAAGCGAAACTTCTGTTAAAGGCTGGGCCTGTGCTAGATGCGTTACAAGAAATGGAAAAGACTAAGCCAGAGTAGGTTTAAATATCATAACAACTCAACATTAGCTACAACTTTTATAATTAGAGATAATTCATGACAGGGTGATTGCAATTATCAATCTCTTATCATTTAGGCTTTTTTATGGGCATTATAAATATATTTCTAGAATAATCCTTTTTATATGCATCCACTCATAAAATTTCATGCAGAAAAATATAAAACATAAGGGACTGTATAGGTTGTTAAGTTCACTTTTGCAAAAAACAACAGTGTGTTGAATGGTTCAGTATGTTCACCTCAGGTGATTTTTGTAATTCACGTGTGATGTTTTATTTTAGTGACCACCCAACCACATGGAGACCTGAGTATGCAGCGTATATGGTAGAGGGAACTCCAGGGAAACCATACGGTGGTCTCTTGGCTCACTTCAATAATGTAGAAGCAAATATGAGACTGAGGTTTGTCTCTAACATATTACACTTTTAATGAAGAAGAAGGGGCAATATGTAAAAGCATACCATTGTCTAAATGTCTACATTTGTAGAAAAACATTAGGGTGATGGTGATTTTGAAAGTAAAAAATGTTAATATTTTGAGAGCCATCTCAAGGCTGAGAAGAAATAAGATGCCATGGTTTATTATGATGCCATTAACTGTAGTTTATACACTTGCAAAAAAAGATTGCAGAACTATTGAAGAAACTATTACAGTTTTGGTGGGTTCTGTTTTTTGGGTCACTTTGTTCTTGACACAAATTATCAATCAGCAATTATTATGGTTGAAGCTTATCAAAAAACTTTGTACTTTTGCAATAGCTTGTTGTTCTGATATGCCCCAGGACTCCCCAAATTATTAGATTTGACATACTGTCATTTTAACACAACTACCAATTTGTCACATTTTGATCTGCTAAGTTTCGAAATCCTGACTACCACCCTGCTAGGGATATTATAATAATATATATTTATTATTGGGTTAAAGGAATATTGATTCAAACATTTTGGTCAATTAGATGCTTTGCATATAATTATACCCATGAATCAACTTAACATATTGCACATTACAGATATCCAATTTAACTTTTAATCATAAGGCCGCATTTATTGAATTTTGTGTTAAAGATTAAGGGAAGAAGCTTTTTCTCAAACTTGAGAAGTAATGAAGTAGACAGGAATTTGGCATATAATTACTAATTATTATTTACAGTCTGAAAGTAAAGAGAAAATCCAATCCTTGTATTTTAACATATTCTCAAGTCTATAGCATATTGAAAATGGGATTAGACAATTCTATTCCCATTTTTCAAACATTGACATTATAAAAGTGGCTAATGTCACTCATCCCTGTGTACCTGTATATATGATCGGTCAAAATAGGACAACTCTTCGAAATTAAATTTTTGAGATTTAATTGGAAGCCAATAATACCGAAAATCGCATTTAAAGAGACCACAGCCTTATATAAGTTTCTTTTCTATATTCAAGTTGATAGCTTAAAAATGGAAAGATGTTAGGAGTATTAGAATGGAGAAATAGATGGGGCCAAGACTAGATGAGAAAAGGGGTGTTAATTAGTAAAACTTAGGACAGAATTTACCAACAGGCTGAAATAGACTAGATGAGAGTAGAAATAATCTTGATTTACCTCATTAAATATTCAAAATTCAGTCAAAGCGATGTCATATTTGAAATTTACATGTAAAAGTACACCCAGAAATATGGGTTCGAAAATTGTTTATCAACTTTGAAAATTTAATTTGTTTTGAAAATTAGACTTCTAGTCCGGGCTACAAAATCACAAAAAGTGAAATATCTTTTCTTGTATTTGACAGATAACATTTTCTTTTACTGGACATATTTTAATTTAATTAACTATTAGATACATAAGGGTGGTGTGAAAATTGAACCAATAAAACAGATGTAATTTAAGTTAAAGGGAACAATCTACCATACCCACAACGCTATCTGACCTGAACGAGCCACCTGGTGGTGAAACTGGTAACTACCTACTCGCATCTACGTTATTGCATAAGTCCATTTGTTTGACGAGAATGCTGCACTGAACTTCAAGTAATTTTAAAATTGAAATGGTAAACATGATTTTTATTTATCTTAGCCTTAATTGAAAATCTTGGCTACTTGTCTTTTTTCGCAGCATATTTCAATTATTTGTTATTTGTTTGGAACCTTGAAAATACGTTTTTTCATAATATGGCTTATATTTATAATTTATTCCTTAGTCCTATAATTATAGAGGACTTATATTTTGGCAAAAAGGTTGTTAAGTACATTTATTTAATAAATAACATGCTATATTGAATGACATTTACAGGAAAACAAAATTTTTCAAAAACCTGTTAGAACATTTAAAACAAGAGGAAATTAACAAAATGTTTACTGTTTCAAAATATACCTTCATTGACTTTTTAATTAGGACACTAGCAATAACCTCATTTGCACAATATCTTAATAATAATAATAATATCATAAAGGCAAATAGAAGAGGAACAGCCAAGATTACAGCCAATAATGAAACAAATTCATAGTATTTCACCCATTATTATGGTTATTGCTTCACTGTTTCTTACAAAATAAGAGCTTTTATATCTATGTTTCCATGTTTGAACCATTCATGTGACTTCTAGTACTAAGCCCTGTCTATAATTCACCTATATGGCAAGTCTTGTCTTCGCAATTATCAAATCTACTGCAATTGTGATCCAAAGTAATGACATCATTGCATCATCTATGACATCAGACACATTTCAGTGATCTCCACAAGATATTTTCTCAAGGGGTTGCAAAATTTTCATTTTCGCAATCAGACCAAAATTAGTCAAAATATGCCAATTTTTCATGATTTTTCTCATTTTCAAGTGGGTGCAAATGGATTTTCAGGTGGGTGCAAGCCTATTTTCAAAATCTCAGGTGGGTGCTGCGCCCACTTGCTTTAATGAAGAGGAGATCACTGCATTTCCCTCATCAATAACTGAACAAACAAACTATCTAATAATAGTAATAGTAATAATAGTAATGGTCCCTTTATATTCTGATTAGTTGTCTTTCTCTGTGTTTTTTATGGACAGATGATCTCTAATTTTCAATGGATTACCTTGTTTTATAAATATCATCAGTGAAATTATTAACTTACGACACTTGAAATCCATGAATTGTACAATATGTTTAGCAAATTTTACCTGGTAAATTAACACATGTAGTGGCATGTGCTCTGTTTTAAAGCAATATTGTCTCACTTTTAGGAGAGAGGAGGTCATCAAGCTACTGAACAAGAATGAGACTGCACTGAGCTTAACTGCCTTTCCAAGGTAGGTGTTATTTACAAGTAAGATATATATGTATTCATGATATCTGATGTATGTTCATGATATCTGATATATATATTTTCATGATATCTGATATTTATACATGATACCTGATATATTTTCATGATATCTGATATTTATACATGATACCTGATATATATTCATGATATCTGCTTGCTTTTATCTTTAAATCTTTTAGAGGCAGAAATCTTATCCTTAGACCATCAACCTATTCTTGTTTAAGCATCACACTTTATGAAAGAGCCTAATTTTGTGTCAAAAGAAAAGCTTCTGAATTAATTATGTCACCCCCAGAAGTGGGGACATCTTCTTAAAGGTTGTAACTTTTTCATGGATGATGTTTGGCAGTTGCTGTTTGGCGGTTGGCATCTGTAACAAATGGCAGGTGGTGACATTTTGCATGTTAATGCCTTGTTGTTGATTGAAATGACTTTAACCCCATCTACTAAACAAAAGTGATTATGTGTGGAACATGCAAGAAGGTACTTAGATAGGCACAATGTATAGAGCTTTCAAAAGGGCAAGTGGTTTGTTTGATGAATATTGAATAAGAGCATTGAGTGTGTAGGTTGATATTATTTGGATTATTTTCAAAATGGGAATGGACTGAGAAAAATAATGCATCAGAAACACCTAAACCTTTAACCAATTTACATAGCTTATAATAAAAGGAATTACCAGTAGTGTGAACAATTTGAATAATATCCATGTTTTAAAAATTCTGGGTTAAAGTATTTGCATCTCTATCTATATTGAATGTACAAATCAAATATCGTTTGTGTATACTGTACAAGATATCATGTTTGACCAGATTTGAAGAGTCTTGTAGAGAACATGAACATCTTCACATACTCTTAAGCACCCTATGCAGACAGAGCCTGTGGGAAATATTGGGTGCGGAGCAAATGAGCGGAGGGTGCGGAGCTAACGGTCATTTTTGAATTTAAATTTGGGATATTTCTGAAACTAAGCCGTTTTGGGACTTCAAATATACCAAGATATGTGTATTTGACACCAAATATCAATACAATTGTGAAAATAGTAGCGCAATTCATTCTATAGCGACGCAGTGTGCCTTAAACCTTTCCCAGACCTATATATTTTGAAATTATCCTTTTAATACTGAGTCCCCAGCATTCATAAAAAATGGTGTTCAAGGTACACTATCTATACAAATTATTTTTGCATCTTGGAAGCCAGGCAGTATCTGTGTGATTTTATAAAAATTCGAAATGTTTTTCAGATATGAGCCCCCTCTAAATATTGGGTGCGGAGCAGCTCCATAAACGTAGCTCCGCACCCAATATTTAGAGGGGGCTCATATCTGAAGAACATTTCCGAATTTTTATAAAATCACACAGATACTGCCTGGCTTCCAAGATGCAAAAATAATTTGCATGGGTAGTGTATCTTGAACACCATTTTTTATGAATGCTGGGGACGCAGTATTAAAAGGATAGTCTCAAAATATATAGGTCTGGGAAATGTTTAAGGCATACTGCGTCGCTATTAAATGAATTGCACTACTATTTTCACAATTTTATTGGTATTTGGTGTCAAATACACATATCTTGGTATATTTGAAGTCCCAAAACGGGTTAGTTTCAGAAATATCCTAATTTTAAATTCAAAAATGACCGTTAGCTCCGCACCCTCCGCTCATTTGCGCCGCACCCAATATTTCCCACAGGCTCTGTCTGCATAGGGTGTTAAGTGTACTTAGTGAAGAGACACTATTAGGTAACTTTGGTTAATGAGTAATTTTCAAGGTTATCTTGAATAGAAAAAATGTGTCACATTACCTGTTCACCTGTATTTGAACCCTATTTTTTATGTTTGTTTCTTAAAGACTCCATATGTTCAGAGTCCGAAGACAATTAAATATGCATAGGTCTGAATTCTACCAAAAGTTTTGATGAAATCTTTTTTTAATTTTCATAAAGTTAAGTGTGGGGCTGTTGATTTCATACTGGATGTGTGGGGGAGTTTGCACGCTCTTACAATCACATCCTCTCTCCTAGGCAGAGCTGGTTTTGTGTTGCCAAAGTTTTTTTAAAAATTATTTCAATGCCCATGGCATAATGGTTAAGGTGACATTTCTACAATTTTTCCATTGAATCCGCTATATTCACTAGAAAATGAAAACTAATTTATCATTATTAACGAAATTATTCAAAATCTTTTGAGTCTCCTTTTTTCCAGTCACCCTGTATATCAAAAATATTTTAGTTGGATTTTGCAATATAAATGGATTTAATTGGCTGAAATAAGAACAGTCAGATATATAACATAGACCTTCTACATCTGTTTCCTGTAATAAGCTTGATAAGTGTTCCTCTCTGTAATCTGCCATTAATTACATTTATTAAGAGCAGATTGTTTGCGTTTATCATTACCTGCATAATAGTGCATACAGGTAATAATTATGACAACACTCATATTTAGTCCAATCAATTAATATACAGGGTGGGCCAAAAAACAATACTGAAGTTTAAAAATGAATGACTCATATGATATCTTAACCATGCCATGTATCATATATTATTTTTAAGATAAATCATTACCTAACAATATAGCTTTATTTTCAACATATAGACAAGAAACATGTTTTTATAGACCTTAACAGTTGATAAATATTGATCAAAATGGATTTCCATTCAATTTTCTGTAACAGTGTCTGTTAAAGTTTTATCACAAATAACTGCTATTTCTGAAGTTAAACTAGAAAATCATATCTATTCATATTGCCTTTGAAGTCTTGTAAGATATTTAATCCAAGTGGTTGGCATTTTTAAAGTCCACTTTTGACCTTCTAAGATGCACTTTAAACCAAAATGCCAGTTTGGCAGCTATGTCCACAGCCATTTGAACAACACAGCTGTCCATCTTCAGTACATGGTTGAGTGCTGCTACACAATTCAACGCATAAACCAAGCATTCCCTTTGCGCTGGGACATACCAGCTTCTTTTCTGAAAATGTAGGAGTAACAATTCAATGTTCAAGCATATTTTCAGAGTATATCTGACATGTGATTTATGTGATGACCATTTCAGGTTGTCTGGGGGAGGGGGTCATATATTAACATTTCATGTAGTTTAAATTGACTGCTAAATAGTTGGTGTAATTTATTAGGATATCATGCATATTTCAAAAATTGTTTTTGATTGATCTCTACCACTAATTTCACTACTAAAATGTGAAACTATTTAACAAAATATGAACAAGTTTGGTGATAATAGAATCTTAACTAAAACTTATTGAACAACCTGTATATGCAAATTAATATGCTTACCAACACACATTGGGATTGGTGAAATGCATGGTTGTTTGACACACCAAACATCAACCATCTTACAAGTCTGGTCAGAAGGACACGTCATTCCCTACAATTATACTTGAACACTTGTGACATGCACTTCAAGATTTTTATATATTTATATAGTTCATGTTTATTGATGTAAAATATCTTTGGAGTGGGGTTTAGTATGTGATAAGTAGAACCCAGGGCCTGAACATGGAGTCCATCATTGTTCATGAACAATACACCATTAGGATCATGTTCATTGACTTTTATGACTTCATTAAACTCTCACCTCACATGTTTTTGGTTTACATTCACATGTGGTACACCCATCTGGACTTTTGATATAGCCTGTTGGACATTTTCGCCGACACCCTTTCCCAGGTCTATCACAGCAACTACATGTTGGACATCCAGCAGTGTTCATAGCATTCCCATATCGGCAGACCGTTGAACATGCCAGCCCACATTCTAGAAGAGAAATCAAAAAGTAAAAAGAGGATTCGCAATTCTTATGCATGTAAACAAAAATATGTTGCAACAGATTTATATTTTTGCTATTTGTGAGTCATTTATCTGTTTTCTTTTCACTCACCACATTGATATTTTGTGGAACATGTTGGACTTGTGCATGGGTAACACTGTTTTCCAACTGGACATTCAACGCCGTCGCATGGATCAGGGTTGCAGTTACATGTGTCGCATCCATATTTGTCTTTCACATGGCCATGTGGGCAGTAGCTGTCACAGAGAAGCTCTTCACATTCTCTGCATTTGCATATCTCACATCCATTCACATCAGTGTCAAATCCATTGGGACAGAACATCTCGCATAGCACTGGTGCACATTCTGATTGAGATAATGATTATCACTTAGACAAAATTGAATGGGTTCAAGGGAATTTAATTTCTCGCATATACATGAAACTGGTGTTCCTTCAGAAACAATGGTTGTTAAAATTGGTTCAATTTTCCTCTTATTTTGTTTTACTATAAAAAAATTGCATCTGCTTTTATGTTAAAATTGTCAATGATTTTGCTTGTTGTTAACAATCGTTTGCATATTTCAGTATTAGAAATTTTAACGAAATCAATTAATTTTTTTCTGCTGTCATGTTGAATTCAGTGCCACTTACTTGTACATTCTGGGTTACAGGGGGCTGTTATACATGTTGGCACTTCACAGTATGAATCAGCTGGACATATAACATTCTAGAATGAAATCAACGCAATTGCATCTACTTATTTATTCTAGTATGCAATTAAAATCCATTTTTACTTTCCAATTCTATCTATTCATTTGTAAAGAAAAACATAGGTTAGGTAATACATAGGTAAAGAAATCATGAAATACATTCAATTAGATGTACATGTACTCACATCACACGGATCCATACACTGACATATTTTACAGTCATTAGCATCATATACAAACCCACTGGTGCATTGTAATGTACAGGTCAGCTCTAGACATGAATCCACTAAAATAAAATCAAGTGTTACACCACTTTATTGGTTGCTATGGTCTAGTTATGTCACAAAGAAATGGTGACATAACATGTGACTTTAATTCAGCATCAGTATTTGGTGGTCCACATTTGAAACAAATCATGAAATTTTTATTACACTTTTACACTTTGTAACCATATTTGAAAACTTACAGGATGGCGACATTTTCTTATGATTAAGATGCCTTGTTTATTAATATCTGTTTCATGTCACTTAATGTTTTTAATTTTAATTCTATTCATATTATCATTCAATTATAGATTCTTCTAATCCTATCACTTGCATGGTTACATTTGACAAGTATAAAAACACGTCATTCACGCTTCAACATTATTGGTCAATCTACCACAATGATCCAGTAAGTGTCACAATGGCATATGATTCGTAGCCAGGAATATTATTTAGGGTTCTCCACATTTTATTTATTTAAAAAAATGAGTGGTGGAAAAAATATTAATTTGTGATGATATTAAATATTGATAAAAACAGAGTGCTCATGTGAAATAATAATTGTTTGAATAATCGTCAAATTCTGCCATTTCACCTTTTTGATTTTTTCATATGTTTACATACAATAGAAAAAGCAACCACAGAAAACTGTTTTGTGAAAATGAGAATGCCGCAGTTTGATTGTCTGATGAGAATACGTAGTGATGCTCATTACTTCAACATTTTTTCAACATTACTTTATTAAATAAACATTTAATAAAAAGATTACACTGTTATATATATAACATTTAAAACTGAGAATAATACAAAAATTAATGTGATAATTAAAAAAATGCTAACATACCTGCCTTGCTAGAATGTATTGAAGCAGAAAATGCCACTATGAACACGAGGAATGAAGTCATTGTAAACATCCCTGAAGTGATGTCTTTAATTGTGTCATATCTTCAGAAATGAAAATATATAAATACTAGATCTGAGATAGAACAATTGTTTCTGACAGTTGAACAATTATAAGTCAGACATAAACATTTATTATTGCTTGAATAACATATTAAGATAACAAGCAAATTATTCTTGCTTGAACTAAAGATTGGCACAGTATAATTTCATGTTTCACCACTGAGCTAATATAGGTGGTCTTTTAATTTAATATGTATTTTTTCCCTATGCAATATATAGCTGGTTTTGTTGTATGTTTTATCATTTGGTTCAGGCTGTTTTGTGAATATATTTGTCCTCTCATATTTGCTTTATGTGATTCAAATGTTAAAATATCTTCATTATCCCTCCTCTATGCAAACTAACAAATATTTTGGGATTTTCCTGGATGCCCATGGATTTTCAACAGTGAAAGATGAACATTTGGAATTTGAACTGGGTTGAAGCATTCTATCATTTCTTCATTGCTTTGGAGACTACTGTTTTAACTTACTATTTAACACACATAAATCCTCATTGTAAAATTACTCTGATTAAGATAGGGAGTGCCACATTATTTCTACTCTAAAACCTTTCACTGTTATTATTATCTGCTATCTCACCCTATGCAGACAGAGCCTGTGGGAAATATTGGGTGCGGCGCAAATGAGCGGAGGGTGCGGAGCTAACGGTCATTTTTGAATTTAAAATTGGGATATTTCTGAAACTAAGCCGTTTTGGGGCTTCAAATATACCAAGATATGTGTATTTGACACCAAATATCAATAAAATTGTGAAGATAGTAGCGCAATTCATTCTATAGCGACGCAGTGTGCCTTAAACCTTTCCCAGACTTATATATTTTGAGACTATCCTTTTAATACTGCGTCCCCAGCATTCATAAAAAATGGTGTTCAAGATACACTACGCATGCAAATTATTTTTGCATCTTGGAAGCCAGGCAGTATCTGTGTGATTTTATACTGCCTGGCTTCCAAGATGCAATACTGGAGCCTCTTAATACTGGAGTGTCTAAATATTGGAGCCTCAATACTTGAGCCTCTCAATATTAGAACCTCTCAATACTGGAACCTCTCAATATTGGAGCCTCTCAATACTGGAACCTCTCATCATTTGCAGCCTCATCATTGCAATACTGCAGCCTTGTAATACTGGAGCCTCTCAATATTGGACCCTCTCAATACTGCAGCCTCTCAATACTAGAGCCTCTCAATACTCCACCCTCTCAATACTAGAGCCTCTCAATGTTGGAACCTCTCAATACTAGACCCTTTCAATAGTAGACCCTCTCAATATTGGAGCCTCTCAATACTGGAGCCTCTGTAATTGGAGCCTCTCAATATTGGAACCTCTCATCATTGGAGCCTCTTAATATTGGAGCCTCTCAATACTGGAGCCTCTCGATATTGGAGTCTCATGATATTTGAGCCTCTTTATATTGGAGCCTTTCAATACTAGAGCCTCTTAATACTGGAGCCTCTCAATACTGCCTATCAATAGGAGAAATTTACGTACAGTTTTCATGCTGATAAGATTTAAATGAAGTAGCTGACATTGCGTTTAAATGAGAGTTGCAGTTTAAAATGAAGTACAGTTACTTGTGAAACTATGGAATTCACCGAATGCTATTTTGATTGGCTGGCTGGAATTTTATCAACTGTATTCTCAGTATTCTGATTGGTTAAGGCTTGATCAGAGAATTATCAAAGGAATATAGATGAAGCTCTCTTTTAAAGAATCAAATTATCGGAATGGTGATTTTTTCCCTTTTTATATCAAAGAGTTAAGTTATACTTGCACTTCAATATTCCCTTGACATTGTAAATATGAATGTACATGGCTATTTAAAGTATAGTCTATATTATTTTAAAGTCTTTGAATTAGAAAAACATAAACCAAATAAACATTTTAAAGCAAGGATCTACAGTAAGGATCATTAAGTATAGCCACTTTAGATAGAATAGGAAGGTTGTGATCATGACTTGCAAAAATTATTGGATGGGAATTGGAATTTTTTGCAAGTCATGCTACCTGACTTCCTTATCCAGAAGTGTAAGATGGATTGTGTAAGATAATAAAAGGCAATATAACATGGCTATATTACAATTACCCGTTTTAAGTCTTGTTTGAATGCTGTATAAAGGTAGTACATCACTCCATGCTGTTGAATGGAGCAATGATTCAGCAAGAGTTCAAGGTCATTTAGGAAGTTTCATCAATCATCATATCATACTTTTGAAATGGTTGGTTAAAGTGAAGATATAATATGGTTGGATTCAATGAATTCATTTTTAGGCCTTAGGGTGTAAAACACCTGATTGTGTTAAAGTTTAGAAAAATATCTCATTGTTTTCAATCAATTGCTGGGATGAGGGATGATAATCAACCAAAAATATAATTAACTTATTAATTATACGCTGTTCTTTATGTCCCAAAGTAAAGATTTTAAACTTATGAAAGCTGCAATCAGTAATTACATGTTTCATGAATAGTTTCTATTTTATTTCTTCAGGACTGGATGTTTGAATTTTTCCGAGCCTCCGCACAAAGCAACACCAGAGGCAGGTCCTAAAGAGGGCGCCTCAAGATCACTTTTCTACCCTGATGAGGTCATATTTCAGGGCCACCCACGCTTTAAGTAAGTTCATTCAACAGTATTGCAAGGGGGAGGTGGGTATATTCAATGTTAGGCTTTCATTGTTATTACGCCCTCCCCATAATCCCCTGGTCTGAGTACAAAATTGGCCAGTGAATTAATTTATAAAGAGAACCAATCTTGCCAGTTAAGGCAGCAGGCTCTCTTTGTGAGAGATCACATTCTTGTATGCATATTGCTTGTTTGAAAATTGAAATAAAATACACTCCCCTTCATTAGTTTGGCAACAGGAAGTATTCATTGGATGACATATGAGACCCTGACAATATTTAAATTTCCAGTTGCTAAACTTATGGAGAGGGGTGTAAAGGTGTATGTAATGAGTATCAGAATGGGCTACACTCAATCCACATCTTAATATAAGATTTACTATCATGGACAGTCAGGACAGTATTGTCCCCCATTAGATGTAAAATTAAAACATAGAGTGGAAATTACAAACTAAACTGTAATGTCATGTTAAGTGATCAGCATCATTGAATGAGTACATTGTACATTGCACAACTACTGCCATTATCTCTCTATTACGTATGTTAAAACCTTGGAAAAGCTTCTGTTTCCTGAAATACTTAATCTTGATATTTGTCAGGATTGAATTTTACCTAATCTCTCGTAGGTTGTGGCTGCAACCTAATTCATTTCTTTTTGTTACTATAGAGAGGCAGTATCAAGAGAAGAGTATTTATGATGGTATATTTCACATTTTAGAACGCTTACAAGGAATATTCGTCATAGGAGAAAGGAAAAGGTCATCATAAATATACCAGGTGAGTGTTAAAATAAGAAGATATACATGTACATGTACAATACAATATACAATTAAATACATCAAAAAGATATACAGCAAAACCTGTCTAATTCAAACGCTAAAAGCTTTCAGATTTCCAAGTGTTCATATTTTAATGTTCTTAACATGAAAGTCTAGAGCAGATTAAAAAGAATGTGACTGAAAAGGTGTTCACATTGAGAGGTGTTCACATTGAGAGGTGTTCACATTGAGAGGTGTTCACATTGAGAGGTGTTCACATTGAGAGGTGTTCACATTGAGAGGTGTTCACATTGAGAGGTGTTCTGAATAAAGAGGTTTTACTTTACTACGCATGAGATAAAATAAAGTTAAGACACATAGCATTGGGAAGTGAAATTAATCCTTTGGATCATAAGAACATCTGCAGAGGTGTTTTCATGTTGATACCAGTACCAGCAATATTATTAATTCAAATACGCAAACAATGTAGTTGATCATGTTATATGTTAATATTCGGTTGTGAAACTTGTTTGACATAATATATTAATATTTTTGTCAGACCTAAAAGAGGGTATCACGCATGCTTAAAATTTTAATTTTAGAATCCAAATATTGAACAATTAGTGAATTCAAAGGAATTAAATATTTTGTAGTATGGTATATCAAATCTCATATTATATTTTGCAGTGTTCAAGGATACAAAGACAAAAGAGCCATTTATAGAAGACTTCAGTGTGTTAGGTGATGATGGTGAGGCAGCCAGGGCAGCTAAGCCTGATCACATCTACATGGACTGTATGGGTTTTGGTATGGGCTGCTCCTGCCTACAGATGACATTCCAGGCGTGTAACATTGCAGAAGCTAGGAGTTTATATGACCAGCTGACACCCTTAACTCCTATATTTGTAAGTCTCTATTATTTAACAGTCCCATGTCAGTATGATAAAGCAATAAAATCAATATTAAACAAGTATAAGGTGAATTGTGTAAATTCATTTTCGAGAGTCATAGTATAAGGCTCTGATTATGTGAGATCTAAGGTTTGCTTAATTTGTAGAGATATAATATGTTTATTTGTGGATGTTGTCCCTTTTCCATATAATATTATACGACAAAATGAATATGCATACTTATTTATTTATTTGATAATCACTTTTATGGTATATTAAGAATAAACACAATATTTTCATTATTTATTTGATATTCATAGAAAATATGCATTCAGATCAGTATTATCACCACAATCGTATGTTCTTACAATCATGAATTTATGTGTTTCAGCTCGCTTTGAGTGCTGCCTCTCCCATTCATCGCGGATTTCTGTCTGATATAGATTGTAGATGGAACATAATATCATCATCTGTTGACTGCAGGACCAGAGAGGAAAGAGGCCTGGAGGTAAGTACGAATTGATTATTATCACATTAAATTAACCCATATTTTCTTGACTAGGGCTTCAACTGCTACCTTATTTGTAGAATTGGAGAACAGTAAAGATTTAGTGATTCCACTAAATGGGAATCATAAATAACTTATCCTTGTCTATTTCACAGTCTTTTTATTTAAATATATATGTTTATCTATTCCAGCCATTGAAAGAAAACAAGTTTAGGATTCAGAAATCACGCTATGCATCTACAGACAGTTACCTGTCTCCATGTGGGGAAAAGTACAATGATATTGAACTGGTGATGGATAAGGATATATATAAAACATTAATCAATGCAGGTATGGCTATACCCTTTGAAATAGCTTTCACACTCTAGATTTAAGGGGAAATATTTGATTAAGTCTATATCCTGTCATAGTAAGCAATTAGAAAACTATGTCATTACATTTTTCTCCTTTATTCTCCTTTCTCATATGACTAACAAAGATACAGCCATCTTTACCCCATGCAAGATATTGCCATCTTTCATCCTAAAAAGTCACACGTGCAAGATGAGATTTACTTGTGACATCACTGGTCTATAAACATCAACAACATGGCAACGGGTACAGCGTTGTTCATTCTACAAAACTTAGCTGTGACGTCATAGCAATGGAGCTTTGTTGCCACGTGTATCTATGTATTTTCTTCAATATTGTTATGACGTCATAACAACTGAAAGATGAAGTTCAATTAATTCGAAGCTATTTTTCACTAAGTTTTATGATAAAATGGTGAAAATGTGGCATAATACAGAGTCATATGAGAAAAACTTTCTTGTACTTGTACCTGTGCAATGTCGTCCATTCTTGACTCGCTTTGATAATGTTTCTTTATCTCGTCTTCGACTCGATAAAGAAGAATCATCAAAGCTCATCAAGAATGGACGATCTTGCACAGGTACTCATATAAGAACCTTTATTTAGTATATTCCCATGATTTGCTGTGAAAGCAACATTTGAGTATTATTTGGTATAAGTTATTCAATTCTATTTGCTTCACTCGCAGCATTTGCTGTACAGAATTATGTTGACGTAACTTTTTTCATATACCTTGTATGGAATCATTTTTTGCGGTGACATCTATTTAAGGAATAAAGAATCCTGTATCATTCTTTCAATAAGCTACTACAAAAAAACTGTAGTCAATTCTTTGGTATTGAAACTTACAATTCATAGAAGATCATTGTCTTCTGTAAGTTGATGATGGCTTGTGACAAAATTGAAAGTTGCGACTGTTCCAAAAAGGGATCCCTGTGTAATAAAGCTCCGTATTAGTGTAATCCTGAAATCATCTTATCAGGTTGACATTCTGTGTATTTTCTGAATTATTGTTTTTACAGGCATTGATCACCTGTTGGCTCAACACATTGCACATTTGTTTATAAGGGACCCTGTTGCTCTATTTAGTGAGAAGATACATCAGAGTGATACAGATGAGACAGATCACTTTGAGGTTCGTTATTACTTTTGTTGGGAAAAATCTTAAAACATTGGTTACCATTATCTAAATTTTGTTTTGAATTTAGATCCATGTATGGACATAATCATATTATCCATTCTTCATATAAATCGCTTTCCCAATTTTATCCATTCAATTCTAATTTCATACTTGATTTTTTTATTCTCCTGTAGAATCTGCCATTCATGAACTGGCAGCCAATGGTTCAAGTCCTCCCCTCCCTTTAGAATCAACATCTTCATGCGTTCATGTACATAAAATAGTTTAGGTAGCGATCTGAGGCACTTCGATCAGGGTGTTGTCGGGACAATTTCTCTTGTGACTTAGGTTATGTATTTAGGTCTATCTCAACAGATTTTACTGGTCTTATGCGCCGCAAATGGTGCGAAAGATGTTAAAATTGCATTTTCGACCCTAAAATTCAGATTTCTTGGGGGTACATTATTATTTAGCTATAAAACAAAAACTAAACAACCAATGCTTCTTTCTTTTGGTGTTTCTGTTAAGAGTAATCATACTTGAAATGCATATGTAAAAAAATTGAAGAATTTTAACTTTATTTAAAAACAGCAACATTTTTTCACCTTAAAATCATAGAATTTAGGGGGGTTGAGAGACATTGATTGGAATTGATTTTTTAATTTCTCAATCAATCTCAGGTTAATATTAATTGAACTTTCCTAAAAGTAGCACCAACATGTCCCCAACACATTACCATAAAGAAAAAACTCAAACTCTAACATGTTTTTTGCCTATATGGGTCAATTTACCTCTCCCCTCTTTCCCTTATAAAAGGGGTGTGGCCATTAATACATGTGGATTTAAACAGTAGCATGATGTCACATTAAATGAATACATGTACATATCATGTATTTTATCAAATATATTACCATAAAATATTTTCACTTAGGTGTATACATATAGTACATACCTGTGAATTATTTATAAATAATACAATATTTTTTCTATGTAGGCTTGAGATATAAGAATATTAAAAATCTGAAGTTGAATATTATCTAATACACAGTTCACGACTCAGTCATAATATTAATTTTACTCATTGTATGAATTTCTGTCATCACAAATGTAGTTTTTATTCACCAGAATATATTTGATCCATAAAGCTTTGTATTTCATAAACTTCCTCTTCATTTTGATCTTCTAAAGTATCATCTTATACGATAACATCTACCAGGTCCTGGGGTAGAATTTTATCTGGATTTGACACCCATTGAAATCCAAATGGCCATCTTTCATCCTCCATCCATGTGACACAGGGGAGGGAATTGATGGGGAGGGGATGTTGGCAAGTTTCCATATGTGTGCTTGATAACTGGCCCTTGCCAGATGCTGCTGTAATGAATCTTTACATGGGGGTAGGAGGCTTATTGTTAGTGCCTTCATAGCTTGTTATCACACTTTGAGCAGATTTTGGTTGAAATTTGTTCTTGAATAAGGTATATCTCAGCTCATTTATATTTGAACACTTTTTGTTTCCATACATCTGGCAAGTAAACTTCTCAGCATATTTAGCAGTTTGATCACTAATGACCCCTCCAATGGTGCCGAAACCTTTTTGAAATTCTCATAAGTAATTTTAGGGGGGGGGGGACACTTTCTCCCTTCTCACAAAGGCACTGAAGGAATCACATTCAGTAAATGAATGGAAGGTTGGTATAGCATTACAAATTTACAAATGTCTGAACTGAGCGCATTTCCTACTTCCTTTACATTAAAGGGGCAACAAGGGACTGTAGAGAGAAAATTCAATTTTTTTTCTTTTTTCTGAGCTATCAGGTCAATATTTGGCTTAACATCTTCTTTGACATATCTATTTTCTTAAAATGTATGGATAAACTCTCAATTTAGAAGTGTAAATTCAGTTCAAAGCTTCTATAAAGGGAGTCCCACTTATAGATTTTTAAGATTCACCACGTTTCAAGAGGAATATCAGCTGAAATAATGTTCATCAAGGGGGTTTCTTTGTAGATTATAAAAATATATGTTACTCTTGATGTACCCTGTGTGCAGAGTCTAGTTAAACTACACTCTGCCTAGTAGAGACCATATTACAGTTTAGTAGCCCCGCCCCACGACGGGTACCGGTGACAGTTTGGGTAAAAAATCACTTTTGACCTACGCGCTGCCCTTTCTTCCACCAATCAGCGAGCTTGAAGAAACATACGTCAAATGCGTTCTAATTAAATATGCGCATGTCATTGGTCAATTCCGGGATCAACGATGACGTCAGAAGGAATGACCATATATAGAACGTCGGTCAAATTTGGCCGACGAACACTGATTGGCGCGGTGAGTTCACAGGTTTATTTTAGTTTGAAAGAGTGAAGACAAAGCTCTCTTTTAAGAAGCGAAGTCAAACGAATGCAAAGGGTACTCTTGATGAAATATCCAAACTTAAATATATTTTGACACTGGTCGATGATCGTTGAATTACCCCCCTGCACTAATTGTTGCACCTTTAATAAGTCATATGTGGTCTGCACTACCAGTGTCAAAAATTAATGGAGTTTGAATAAGATTGGAAAGTGCACAAGAAGTACAAAAACATCGCTATCTGGGGATCTCACAACTATAGTTTTTTTCTGTATTTTCAGGTTCATTTCATGTTAATTGCATGGGGTATAATTTTTGTATCTGCCTCTTTGTGGGAAGATTCCAGGCTTGATTCAACTCTATGTGTAACAGTAGTTCTATCACTGGTGCACTGTACAGATCTCACCACATGAATCTGTCTTTCTTTGAGTTTAGGGGCATTTTTATCTTTTTCCATTCTTCAAGGATCAACTGACTCAGCTGCATTTCATTCTCATCATTTAAGAGGAATTCCTTCCAATTGTTAGGAATTCTGGTATTAGGTCCTTTTATTATTAGCTTTTTGGAGACACGCCTGCGTATTCTTTCTGGTTCTTTAATTGAATCTTTCTTATAGGAAGCATCTGAAGGATCCTCTCTGCCAGTAATCCAAATGTTTTGGGTCGCTCAGGAAGTATATGGAACAATGCATTGCCATCATAAACTATAATTGTTTTTTCTGGTTTGGGTCCATGTAATATTATATGTTTCCAGCTCATGTAATAATTTTGACTTTTCTGTTTTAACCAGGGGTCCATCAGGTGTTCCAAGAGCCCAGGGTATTAGACTCAGGGGGTATTCCAATATTCGCTTTAGACTGATACTATGCTGCTCTGATAACATGACTAACTGGCCAAATGTATTGCGCTCAGCTCTAATCTCAATCAGTCTGTTTCCAGAGCTTTTCACCTTTTTGACTCCAGCATTGAATTCAGATGTTTTCAGTTTCATTCTTTTATGGAGTCATGAAAACTTTTTCCCTTCTGCACAAATTGGTCTTGAAAAAATTGCTTAAAGGCTTGTGTGCCCTTGGATGCTGCATTTAAGAGATCACCTGCTAAATTAGAGGGTGTTGGCATTCCAGATGATATGCAGTATAAATGATCATTGTCCTCAATTTGGAATGGATTGAGAAAGCCATCAATTGAATCAATCAAATTAGTTAATAATAGAACATCAGACAGTAATAAGCCTTGAATAGCTTACTATTCTCCCTTATTGTTTTGCTACAATGTTCCCTGCAAATAATAGATAGCAATTTATAATTGCAATTAGATAATCAGTTTATTAATTAAAGTTAAATATAAAGGTGTTTTGTATAAAGTAAAACCTGTGTACAGTGAACATCTATAGAGCCACAAAAAAGATTTCAATACAGAAAGACAATTTGTATTGGAATCAAGGTATGTGCTGAAAATAGGGTGTTCATTTTACACAGGTGTTCACTAGAGAAAGGTGTTCACTAACCCAGGTCCCACTGTATTAGGCTTATGTCATTTCAAAGACATTCACTAGCTACAAGTAAAACAAGGCATTAACATGACAAAATGTCACCACCTAGTTGAAACAAGATAAAAAATACCTTTTTGACCTTGAGGAGGTCACTAAAGGTCAGATCCATTTTGACCTTTAGAATGTCATTTAATGATCAAATCTATATTCTTAAATCTTAAGAAGGTCATTGAAGGTCAAATCTCAAATCTTAAGTCAGATTTGAACTTCTGATAACTTATAGATGATTTTGAAAAATTGGTTAATTTGAAGCAAATTGAAAAAAGACTTTTTCTGACCTTGAAAAGGTCATTGAAGGTCAAATCTTAAATATAAAGTCAGATTTGAACATCTGAAAACATGTAGATGATTTTGAAAACAATTGAAGTCAGTCTATACAGTATTTGTTAATTATTTGAAATTGTAAGAATTTGTTACAGACACCAATTGCCAAGCTCCAACCACAAACCGCCGACCACTGAGACCATAACAATATGTCACCACTTTTTGTTGGTGACATAAAAATGATAACATGATGTGAACCATCCTCCTAAGCAGGTGTCCAGAATCCGTACCTCCTTCTTCCCCCTGCGATAACCAATTTGGACGCGCCTGATTTAACTGAATCACGTGATCTAATTATGCACAATGACTTATACATGATTTCTGTCGCAGTGTTGCGACAGCCAATCAGATTGCGAGTTCTTAATCTGGGAAATGGTAACTGCTTATTGCTGGGGGTAAAAAGAAAGAATATGTTCTGGATTTTGAAGCCCTGTGATCGGAGGATGGATATGAACATGAAGTATTTATTTTTAGATGAACATGCCAATATGGCCACGCCCTTCTAAAAAGGGATAGAGGGGAGAGGTAAATTGACCCATATAGGCAAAAAACATGTTAGAGTTTGAGTTTTTTCTTTATGGTAATGTGTTGGGGACATGTTGGTGCTACTTTTAGGAAAGTTCCATTAATATTAAACTGAGATTGATTGAGAAATTAAAAAATCAATTCCAATCAATGTCTCTCAACCCCCCTAAATTCTATGATTTTAGGGTGAAAAAATGTTGCTGTTTTTAAATAAAGTTAAAATTCTTCAATTTTTTTACATATGCATTTCAAGTATGATTACTCTTAACAGAAACACCAAAAGAAAGAAGCATTGGTTGTTTAGTTTTTGTTTTATAGCTAAATAATAATGTACCCCCAAGAAATCTGAATTTTAGGGTCGAAAATGCAATTTTAACATCTTTCGCACCATTTGCGGCGCATAAGACCAGTAAAATCTGTTGAGATAGACCTAAATACATAACCTAAGTCACAAGAGAAATTGTCCCGACAACACCCTGATCGAAGTGCCTCAGATCGCTACCTAAGTTCTAGATAAATGATGACAACATTTCAGTTTCATCTGTTAAAAACACTATATGTTTAACCTTTGATATTTAGAATCTACAATCAACCAACTGGCAGACTATGAGATTTAAGCCGCCACCCCCAAATTCTGGTATAGGATGGCGTGTAGAGTTCAGACCCGTGGAAGTCCAGCTGACTGACTTTGAAAATGCTGCATTTGTTGTATTCATCGTCTTGATGACCAGAGTCATTCTGTCCTTCAACCTGGATTTCCTCATTCCAATATCCAAGGTTGGTAAACCTAACACTTCTGTAGGATATTTAAAAATGTAGTTCATGGGATAGTGTTTCAGTTAATATTAATTCTCAAAAATTGACTTCACAATTTTGCAAACAGTGTGATTTCTAAATGTATACATCTGAATATGTTTTAGTTTTGATCAATGTGGGTACCAGGTTTAAGTGCAAAGTATTCCATCATTTTAAGTTTAATATTGGAATAATTGGAGAATTGCTACTAAATCCTCATTTCAAAATCTAGGCATCTTATGGACAACAAATAAATCCATGTTGTCTTTCCACGGAGATTTATAGCAACACATTTTAAGATGTGTTTGTGTGTCCAACATTTTCTAGGTCGATGAAAATATGGAAACATCACAGAAGAAAGATGCTGCTGTAAATGGCAAGTTTTGGTTTAAGAAAGATCCCTTCACTAGAGAAACACCACCAGAGTGCGCCACCAAATGTAAGAATCGTTGTAGAACCGTCAGTGAATGCATGGAGGATGAATATCGACTCATGACGGCAGATGAGATAATCAATGGCAGTGTAAGTTTCTATTTTCTAGAACCTGAATTAACTGATTTAAAGGAAAAATCATTTTCAATTCATTAAATTTTCCAGCTTGTTTGACTGACGGAGTTATTTACAGAAGAGTAACCATTCAAAAACCATCCATTGAAAATTTAAAAAGTTTTCCAACTATTACATGAGGTCACACTTTTTCAAAGTACTATATTGTCTTTGTCTTGTGCTGATGTGAGCATAATCTTGATATCAAAATATTATCGCTGCATGTCTTATCATGGCACCCTTGGGGGCAATATTGTTTTTATTATTACCGAGTACATTGTATATGGTTCTGTTAATGATTTTAGGCTGACTTCCCAGGGTTGGTAGAGTTAATCAACATGTACCTCGACAACAACATTGAATGTGACGTAGACACCAGGTGTACAATATTGCAGTATGTCAAATTAATCAAGGCTAGAGCCTCAGGTAAATATTACTACAACTATGTGTGTTACTATGTAAAACCTGTTAAAGTGGAACGCCTTTGATAATTCTGAAAAGTGTTTGTGATTATAAACTTTAACATTGAACATAATCATTGAACATTGTAGGCGAATTAAAAACCACGGCTAAATGGATGAGAGACTTTGTTACATCACATCCAGACTACAAGCAGGACTCCATAGTCTCAGAGAAAATCAATTATGACCTCATCAAGCTGGCAGATCAGATTACTCGAGGAGAAAAGGAATGCCCAGAACTTATATTCTGTCATAACACAAGGTCAACTGATAACATCCCTCGTGCAATGGAAAAATCTGAAGAACAATTGATATCAAAGAAAAAAATGTCAAAGTCAAATGGTGTCGATGTACCCATATTAAATGGAACCACAACATAGCCATCTGACCAAAGAATTTACAGCTTTATATTTTGAAAAACAGTGTAATTGCATTTAAAGGGGTCACATCAGCTCATTGCTGTATGCCAAACCACAAAATGTTTCATTTTGACTTCATTATTATTAATTTCTTAGGCAAATTTATGTCGGAAAACATTTTTTTTTAAATGGGTCCAAACAAGAAAAGTTGTAATGTTAAAAATTCCTAATTCTCTTACTGTGATGTCATGATTTTTATGGTTTGAACAATGTGAGTAAAAATAACCTTGATGTTCTTTGTATAGTGTTGCAACATGAATGCATGTAGTAAATTGTTTATATTGTGCAAGAATAACTAGCTGACCACTTGTTTATATAAGATCGAGATTAAGAGTCAGAGAGTGAAGGTTTTGAACTATTAGGGACAGAGTGGTTATAGATTTGAGCCAATGGCATATATAAGAACATGTATGAATTAAATGAGATGGTATCGCAGTTAGCACAATTAATTGAGGTTTGAGTTTGTGACACTGCTGTAGTGGATATATTAACAGATTAATTATAGCTACTGAACACCAGACCAACTGTGGGTTAATATACTGACTTGGTTTAGGAATTTTGATGGTGCAATAACATTCTAAAATGAAAATCATTATGTATAATTTTGACCATGCATTAGGAAACAATGCAGACTGCTTTAAAAAAATGTAACAATAATGGAACTATACTATATACATTGTATCTAATGTTAATACCATTGACCATGAAAACAATTGTGACAAGAATGGAAAACAAGTGTATTGTCTAATTACTAATAACACCTTGACCCAAATGCGACAATAATGGAACAATACTATATACATTTATCTATTGTTTATAAATATTGATAATGGAAATAAGTGAAAATAGCTGTGTAATATTATAATTCAAAAAATGACAAAAACACTGTTTATCCATGGATACAGATGTGGCAGTAATGTAAAGATACATATAAAGATAACAGTAACTCTTTTACCACGGAAACAAATGTGACACTATAAATCTAAATTGCACATATACAAAATGCACATACCGTACATGTAGTGTTGAAATATATACAAGTGTACAAGTATTGTGACTCCTTTAAACTATATACAATTATTGACCTCTCCAGAGGTTTACTGTCAAAATTATATCCCGAGACTGTAAACCGAGACCGTAGGTGGAGGTTTACAGTCGAGGGATATAATTTTGACAGTAACCGAATGGAGAGGTCTATAATTGTTTTGTTAGTCCGAAGAATATCTTAGATTTTTCTGACCCTTGAAGTTGACTTGAAGTTGGATCCAGACCCTCGAGACGTTCATGTTGTATTTCAGTATATCGGCAGTAAGTTCACTCAATGGAGTCAAATTACTCTCCTGGGCGAAGTCCACTAAAAGCTTTGTACAAAGTTTTAGATTTTTCTTCGTATTTTGACTGTCTTTACTCTCTAAGAGACTAATAATATCCTCATCTTCAACATTTTTGAAATGGCTAGTGCTAGCGGCGGCCATTTTATCGTCTGATAATGACGTCATTTTAGTGGAATGCTGGGAATATTATTCACCGGCAATGCATTGCGCGGTGTACAGTTAAAATTATTCACCGCTCGTTGACCAATCAAAATCGAGTATTTCAACTGAGGTATTAACAATATCAGTTATCACATGTTTCAGCATGTGATACGGGAAATATTCCAACAAAGTAAAAATTGTATCACCACGAAAGTGCAGCTTAGTGGTGATACTTTTTTACTGAATGGAATATTTCCTGTGCTTTGTGTATTTCCTGTCCTCACATGCTGAAACGTCTGATGAATATTTTATCACGTAAGCCTACTATGTAGAATTTAAGTGATTTGATTGGTAGCTTTCTTTTAATTGTTGAAATTACAGTTGATTCTAATATATGTGACATCATTAATGTAGTTGTATGATGTCTTTTTGTTACCATTGACAATGTGTGGTACATGTGCTTGTATCATATGAAATTTATGTGATACGGAAAATACGTCATAGAAAGCGATCAATCAAATCACTAGAATCTACATAGTGTGTGATAGTTGTTATGTCACCACCAAAAGTGGTGACATATTGTTATGGTCTCCGTCCAACGGCGGTTGGTGGTTGGCGGTTGGCGGTTGGTGGTTGGCGGTTGGTGGTTGGAGGTTGGTGTCCGGCGTCCGGCGTCTGTAACAATTTCTTACAACTTCCTATAACTTAACAAATACTGTTTAGACTGACTTCAATTTTTTTCTAAATCATCTACATGTTCTCAGAAGTTCAAATCTGACTTTAGATTTGACTTAAGATTTGACATTTGACCTTCAATGACCTTCTCAAAGTCAAAAAAGGTCAAAAAGGTCTTTTTTCAACTTGCTTCACATTGACTAAATTTTTTTTTCAAAATCATCTACGTGTTCTCAGAAATTCAAATCTGACTTTAGATTTGACTTAAGATTTGACATTTGACCTTCAATGACCTTCTCAAAGTCAAAAAAGGTCAAAAAGGTCTTTTTTCAACTTGCTTCAAATTGACTAAATTTTTTTTTCAAAATCATCTACATGTTCTCAGAAATTCAAATCTGACTTTAGATTTGACATTTGACCTTCAATGACCTTCTCAAAGTCAAAAAAGGTCAAAAAGGTCTTTTTTCAACTTGCTTCAAATTGACTAAATTTTTTTTTCAAAATCATCTACATGTTCTCAGAAATTCAGATCTGACTTTAGATTTGACATTTGACCTTCAATGACCTTCTCAAAGTCAAAAAAGGTCAAAAAGGTCTTTTTTCAACTTGCTTCAAATTGACTAAATTTTTTTTTCAAAATCATCTACATGTTCTCAGAAATTCAAATCTGACTTTAGATTTGACATTTGACCTTCAATGACCTTCTCAAAGTCAAAAAAGGTCAAAAAGGTCTTTTTTCAACTTGCTTCAAATTGACTAAATTTTTTTTTCAAAATCATCTACATCTTTTCAGAAGTTCAAATTTGACTTTACAAGTTCTCAGAAGTTCAAATCTGACTTTAGATTTGACCTTTGACCTTCAGTGACCTTCTCAAGGTCAAAAGGTATTTTCCAACTTGCTTTAAATTGACCAAATTGTTTTAGGTGGTGACATTTTGTCATGTTAATGCCTTGTATTTAATCTGATTCTAACAGTTTAGCTTTAGACAGTCTAATTAGCACAACAAAATGATTATTTAGTCAGCTTAAAGGACTGTAATTCTCATTCCATGAATATTTTTGATTCATAGTAGTAAACATGTATCCCATTAATCAGACCAAAATCTGCACACTTTAATGAGAGTTGGAGTAGTTCAAAAAATATGTAAGAATTATTTATTTGGACCATCTTGGACGAGAATTATGACAAACATTCACTGGTACTGCACTCTTCAAACTAGTTACCGAAATGGATTCGTTTCGGTAGAAAAATGTTGGAACCTTGAAGGTACAATTTTTTTCTTATCTTAATTCACGAGTTGCAGGCAGAATTCCCGCAACATTTTCATCACAAACATGTGTCAGTATCATATGTTTAAGAAGATCTACACATTTCTTAAATTGTTCAGAAGACAACAGAACCATCGCTTTTACACCTCACTATTAGTGGAAATGGAATGGGGTTAATGTGCAGATTTTAACCTTTTTTGATGTTCCATTTATGTAACAAAAGTGAGGAATTAAATTGAAGAAACTGTCATCCCACGGACTATATTGTGGATTGTGGAAATTCTCTTGAATTTCCAGAAACATATGATGCTTATTTATGTTTGCGTAAAAAAGATTGGGAGGTAGCCATTTTGTAACCGAATTGGATCCTTTTTTCGGAAACCGCATAATCAAGTGCGTACCAGTGAATATTACTGATTTTTATGCACATTAATCATCATAACAGTAGCTCACAATAAATGTAACAAAATTACGGGTACTAATATAGGTGGGAGACATAATACAGCATACATGTAGTGGCAGTTTCTGACAATCATTTGAAAAATCATTTTTGATTTTTCTTCCTGTGATTAGACAGGATTCCCCAATTCTGATGAATGACTGTCAGAGTTTTGACATATCGCATCAGTGTTGGGGCGCGAGCAGTAAAAAGTAGAAAACTGAGATAAGAAAATTGAATTCGCCCCCACAAATTCCTAAACCTGAAGTATCAGGCTACAATGTACTGTTGTATAAACTAACTATCAAATTATGATTTGTAGACATATTTATTGTTCAATTACTAAAAATAAACCAAGAAAATATTATGATTTTAATGTAATAGTGTTTTATTGTTCATTCATTCATTGTAGATTTTGGCAACATTCATTTCATGTGTGGCATTGTTACATCAAGAGACAAAATAGTTATTCAAACTACAGTAAAATATACAAATGTTAATTTAATATGACCAAAAATAAGAGAACTATATTTCATGCAAATACATTTGTATTCATTTTTCTGCTGATATCTGAAATCCTGCTCAGTTATTTGTGAAATGTTTTAAGAGTCATCATATTCATTCAGTGTCTCATTTTTGCAAGTTTATAGATGAACCAATACCTCTAACTGGCCATCTTGATATATTAAGGTATTTCATACCTTCATAAATATGACAACTTAATTTCTTAACACCAATGGATAAACTAACTAATTGGGCATTAATCTAGTGGCGAATTCCAAAAGGTTTAGTGAGCACATATAATGCCGACCTTTCCACATACAATATATTATACTGTATGGCACAAATTTTTGATCAAATAACACCATTTGGCTGAAGGAATACACTGATATGACAATATCGCATGTCGATGGCTCACTGCCCTCAAAGTGATCTGAATCATGAATAACTGTAAATCTGAATAAATAGATATATAAATAGAAACACATTAAAATATTCTATTTCCTATTTTTCCCTTTGAGATTGATTATGAATTTCCAGATGCAAGAGCAGATGAGTGCCAATGACACTTTAGGTTTTGGGAATGCTGGGTAAATCACTTGGCGGCCATTTTAAATATTCATTTTAATTTATCCCTGTGTGTCTTGTTTTCACATAGATATGAAGTCTAGATGATTCTCTTTTTAAAAGATGTCACAAGTAGATTGATAGCCCTGTCATTTTTATGCAAAAATTACTTCTATCTGCTGCATGGCATTCTATGGTACTTGTATCACAATATCTCATACATTGTCTGGAAGTGTCTGTGTCTTCAGTGTCTGGTATGTATTGTTTTAGATATAGGTTCCCTCTATGGTCATGTGTGATGTGCGTATAGAAGCATTCAATTCCTATTCTACTAATCCTTCCATTGTAGATTCATATTAAGGACCATAAAGCTGTAGATATCACAGATCTCCTCAATCTAAAAGGTGAAAGGAAATAATGAATACTGTTATTCTACTTAATTAAGCGACTTTTGTAATGAAAACACACATAAAGAAAAATTTGGGAATTGTACTCGTAGATCAAAGAAATGTAAATTTTATTTTATTCTAGTTAACTATTACAATGGAAAGTAAAGAACTTGCATTTTCGCTATTTTTCACTGAAACTAGTATGACGGCAATGTCTACTTTATATTTGAATTGATACCCTTTATGTTAATTCCAGAATAGGTAAATGCATAAAAGTTTTTGTTCTTAGAATTAAATGGGGACTCATATTTTGAAATCTTTTATATTAATCTGAACTTCAATGTTATATAAATACAGGATTTCGTATCTCTGCCCCTGTTCATCTCAAATTTTACTGTACAATACATGTAAAACCTGTATATCTGGACAATTCCCTAATCTGAACACCCCACAAAGTAAACACTGGTCGGCCACAGATTATGTTTATGTTTTATGGTTATAAAACCATGTTAATAAAAGCCTAAAAACGTGAACACCTGCTTATCCGAACACCTTTTGTTGGTCCAAGTGGCATATGGATTCTACAGATTTTCCTGTATACATGTACTTACTCTTTTAGCTGTTGGTTTTCCAGCACCATGTCCTGACTTGGTGTCTACACGTATCATCAATGGAGAAGTTTGCTTGGTACATCCCTTGAACTTGTGCTGTAGCTCTGCCATGAACTTGAGAGAGTGCAGAGGTACGACTCTGTCATCGTGGTCACCAGTGAGAAGTAAGGTGGCAGGGTACTGCGTGTCATCACTTGGGACTGATATTGTGTGGAGTGGAGAGTATCTGGATAGAAACATATGTTTCAGCATAAGGATGCATTTTTACACATAAGGATGCATTTTACACACACATTTTTAAGGTATTAAGATGGGATAAAAGAATGTTCACAAAAACTCCTTAGAAGTTTAGATAGGCCTATCTATGTACATATGAGTACATTGTGCCTTTTATTCCAATTTGTATGTATAGATAGTATTAAATAATACATAACAGCTCAGATAAGGTAAGCTAACTTACTTATACAGCCAATCAAATTCCTCTTTGTTTTTGTTTGCGCACCCAAAGTCTGTAGTCCAAGCATGCCCTATTGTGAACTTGTGGAATCTCAACATATCCATTACTCTACAATAACATTTCATTAGAGTAATTTTTGCAAATTATGAAATTATATGTGTACATAAAACTCTTATATTACTTAGGATTCATCTATTAAAGTAGATTTACTTTACTTCCATCTGTATATTATTATTAAGAAGATGTAAGTGCTCATACATTGTACTCCTATGTCAAGTTGGTTTACATACCACTAGACAAAACTGGCACAGAATGACCTAACTGGCTCAAGGCCTCTTTGCAAGTAATTTAGCTGCATGATCAAGGTAAGAAAACAGTGGAATTGGAGTCAAGTTGCTGACTACACATAAGGCCTCTGGTATGAGTGGACAGTTATGCTTCAGTCTGTGTGTGATAGCTGAGAATGTAAATACAATGTAAACTTACCCAACTTGAGCTATGGCACATCCAAACAGGTCTGGTCTCTGGTTAGCACACGCTCCAACCAATAGGCCTCCATTAGACCCACCATTGATGGTTATCCTAAAATAAACAGTGTTTGCATCTTTAGTTTACTTAGCACACGCTCCAACCAATAGGCCTCCATTAGACCCACCATTGATGGTTATTCTAAAATAAACAGTGTTTGTATCTTTAGTTTACTTAGCACATGCTCCAACCAATAGGCCTCCATTAGACCCACCATTGATGGTTATTCTAAAATAAACAGTGTTTGTATCTTTAGTTTACTTAGCACATGCTCCAACCAATAGGCCTCCATTAGACCCACCATTGATGGTTATTCTAAAATAAACAGTGTTTGTATCTTTAGTTTACTTAGCACATGCTCCAACCAATAGGCCTCCATTAGACCCACCATTGATGGTTATTCTAAAATAAACAGTGTTTGCATCTTTAGTTTACTTAGCACACGCTCCAACCAATAGGCCTCCATTAGACCCACCATTGATGGTTATTCTAAAATAAACAGTGTTTGCATCTTTAGTTTACTTAGCACATGCTCCAACCAATAGGCCTCCATTAGACCCACCATTGATGGTTATTCTAAAATAAACAGTGTTTGCATCTTTAGTTTACTTAGCACACGCTCCAACCAATAGGCCTCCATTAGACCCACCATTGATGGTTATTCTAAAATAAACAGTGTTTGTATCTTTAGTTTACTTAGCACATGCTCCAACCAATAGGCCTCCATTAGACCCACCATTTATGGTTATCCTAAAATAAACAGTGTTTGTATCTTTAGTTTACTTAGCACATGCTCCAACCAATAGGCCTCCATTAGACCCACCATTGATGGTTATCCTAAAATAAACAGTGTTTGTATCTTTAGTTTACTTATCACATGCTCCAACCAATAGACCTCCATTAGACCCACCATTGATGGTTATCCTAAAATAAACAGTGTTTGTATCTTTAGTTTACTTATCACATGCTCCAACCAATAGACCTCCATTAGACCCACCATTGATGGTTATTCTAAAATAAACAGTGTTTGTATCTTTAGTTTACTTAGCACATGCTCCAACCAATAGGCCTCCATTAGACCCACCATTGATGGTTATTCTAAAATAAGCAGTGTTTGTATCTTTAGTTTACTTAGCACATGCTCCAACCAATAGGCCTCCATTAGACCCACCATTGATGGTTATTCTAAAATAAACAGTGTTTGTATCTTTAGTTTACTTAGCACATGCTCCAACCAATAGACCTCCATTAGACCCACCATTGATGGTTATTCTAAAATAAACAGTGTTTGTATCTTTAGTTTACTTAGCACATGCTCCAACCAATAGGCCTCCATTAGACCCACCATTGATGGTTATTCTAAAATAAACAGTGTTTGTATCTTTAGTTTACTTAGCACATGCTCCAACCAATAGGCCTCCATTAGACCCACCATTGATGGTTATTCTAAAATAAACAGTGTTTGTATCTTTAGTTTACTTAGCACATGCTCCAACCAATAGGCCTCCATTAGACCCACCATTGATGGTTATTCTAAAATAAACAGTGTTTGTATCTTTAGTTTACTTAGCACACGCTCCAACCAATAGGCCTCCATTAGACCCACCATTGATGGTTATTCTAAAATAAACAGTGTTTGTATCTTTAGTTTACTTAGCACATGCTCCAACCAATAGGCCTCCATTAGACCCACCATTGATGGTTATTCTAAAATAAACAGTGTTTGTATCTTTAGTTTACTTAGCACATGCTCCAACCAATAGGCCTCCATTAGACCCACCATTGATGGTTATTCTAAAATAAACAGTGTTTGTATCTTTAGTTTACTTAGCACATGCTCCAACCAATAGGCCTCCATTAGACCCACCATTGATGGTTATTCTAAAATAAACAGTGTTTGTATCTTTAGTTTACTTAGCACATGCTCCAACCAATAGGCCTCCATTAGACCCACCATTGATGGTTATTCTAAAATAAACAGTGTTTGTATCTTTAGTTTACTTAGCACATGCTCCAACCAATAGGCCTCCATTAGACCCACCATTGATGGTTATCCTAAAATAAACAGTGTTTGTATCTTTAGTTTACTTAGCTCATGCTCCAACCAATAGGCCTCCATTAGACCCACCATTGATGGTTATCCTAAAATAAACAGTGTTTGTATCTTTAGTTTACTTAGCACATGCTCCAACCAATAGGCCTCCATTAGACCCACCATTGATGGTTATCCTAAAATAAACAGTGTTTGTATCTTTAGTTTACTTAGCACATGCTCCAACCAATAGGCCTCCATTAGACCCACCATTGATGGTTATTCTAAAATAAACAGTGTTTGCATCTTTAGTTTACTTAGCACATGCTCCAACCAATAGGCCTCCATTAGACCCACCATTGATGGTTATTCTAAAATAAACAGTGTTTGTATCTTTAGTTTACTTAGCACACGCTCCAACCAATAGGCCTCCATTAGACCCACCATTGATGGTTATTCTAAAATAAACAGTGTTTGTATCTTTAGTTTACTTAGCACATGCTCCAACCAATAGGCCTCCATTAGACCCACCATTGATGGTTATTCTAAAATAAACAGTGTTTGTATCTTTAGTTTACTTAGCACATGCTCCAACCAATAGGCCTCCATTAGACCCACCATTGATGGTTATCCTAAAATAAACAGTGTTTGTATCTTTAGTTTACTTAGCACATGCTCCAACCAATAGGCCTCCATTAGACCCACCATTGATGGTTATTCTAAAATAAACAGTGTTTGTATCTTTAGTTTACTTAGCACATGCTCCAACCAATAGACCTCCATTAGACCCACCATTGATGGTTATTCTAAAATAAACAGTGTTTGTATCTTTAGTTTACTTAGCACATGCTCCAACCAATAGGCCTCCATTAGACCCACCATTGATGGTTATTCTAAAATAAACAGTGTTTGCATCTTTAGTTTACTTAGCACATGCTCCAACCAATAGACCTCCATTAGACCCACCATTGATGGTTATTCTAAAATAAACAGTGTTTGTATCTTTAGTTTACTTAGCACACGCTCCAACCAATAGGCCTCCATTAGACCCACCATTGATTGTTATTCTAAAATAAACAGTGTTTGCATCTTTAGTTTACTTAGCACATGCTCCAACCAATAGACCTCCATTAGACCCACCATTGATGGTTATCCTAAAATAAACAGTGTTTGTATCTTTAGTTTACTTAGCACATGCTCCAACCAATAGGCCTCCATTAGACCCACCATTGATGGTTATTCTAAAATAAACAGTGTTTGTATCTTTAGTTTACTTAGCACATGCTCCAACCAATAGGCCTCCATTAGACCCACCATTGATGGTTATTCTAAAATAAACAGTGTTTGTATCTTTAGTTTACTTAGCACATGCTCCAACCAATAGGCCTCCATTAGACCCACCATTGATGGTTATCCTAAAATAAACAGTGTTTGTATCTTTAGTTTACTTAGCACATGCTCCAACCAATAGGCCTCCATTAGACCCACCATTGATGGTTATTCTAAAATAAACAGTGTTTGTATCTTTAGTTTACTTAGCACATGCTCCAACCAATAGGCCTCCATTAGACCCACCATTGATGGTTATTCTAAAATAAACAGTGTTTGTATCTTTAGTTTACTTAGCACATGCTCCAACCAATAGACCTCCATTAGACCCACCATTGATGGTTATTCTAAAATAAACAGTGTTTGTAGCTTTAGTTTACTTAGCACATGCTCCAACCAATAGGCCTCCATTAGACCCACCATTGATGGTTATCCTAAAATAAACAGTGTTTGTATCTTTAGTTTACTTAGCACATGCTCCAACCAATAGGCCTCCATTAGACCCACCATTGATGGTTATCCTAAAATAAACAGTGTTTGTATCTTTAGTTTACTTAGCACACGCTCCAACCAATAGGCCTCCATTAGACCCACCATTGATGGTTATTCTAAAATAAACAGTGTTTGCATCTTTAGTTTACTTAGCACATGCTCCAACCAATAGACCTCCATTAGACCCACCATTGATGGTTATCCTAAAATAAACAGTGTTTGTATCTTTAGTTTACTTAGCACAAGCTCCAACCAATAGGCCTCCATTAGACCCACCATTGATGGTTATCCTAAAATAAACAGTGTTTGTATCTTTAGTTTACTTAGCACATGCTCCAACCAATAGGCCTCCATTAGACCCACCATTGATGGTTATTCTAAAATAAGCAGTGTTTGTATCTTTAGTTTACTTAGCACATGCTCCAACCAATAGGCCTCCATTAGACCCACCATTGATGGTTATTCTAAAATAAACAGTGTTTGTATCTTTAGTTTACTTAGCACATGCTCCAACCAATAGGCCTCCATTAGACCCACCATTGATGGTTATTCTAAAATAAACAGTGTTTGTATCTTTAGTTTACTTAGCACATGCTCCAACCAATAGGCCTCCATTAGACCCACCATTGATGGTTATTCTAAAATAAGCAGTGTTTGTATCTTTAGTTTACTTAGCACATGCTCCAACCAATAGGCCTCCATTAGACCCACCATTGATGGTTATCCTAAAATAAACAGTGTTTGTATCTTAGTTTACTTTTAAACAATACCATTTATGGGGGGATTGTACAAAGGTTCATAATACACTTGAACATTACTTCACAGCTCACAGGCTCCTTGGTTTGTGATGATACCAGCATAATGTAATAATAATAAAAACACTAAATCAATTCGACATATCGACCTCAACAAATAACTAATATTACCTTTTTGGACATGTGTATTTGTTTTTGATCAGGTACTCTGCAGCAGTCTGAAAGTCATCAAATACATTCTGTTTGCGAGCCAGACGTCCACCATCATGCCACTTCTGTCCATACTCTCTGCAAAGCAGCACATTACAACATGTACACCAAAGAACAACTTTAAAATGAAGTTTAAATGTATTACATTATATTTATACTAAGGAAATTCATAGTGAGGCACTAAGCACTGCTTATGAGCAACCAATGTTTCATGAATTAAGAAGGGGTTAATTTTTCTTTCTGGCCTAAAATTAACATTGAGTTCACATTTCAATTTAAAAGTTCACTTAATTATTCAAGTTGATGTCTGCTTACCCTCCTCCCCTTATATTGGGGACAGCCAGGATTCCACCCAGGTGGCGCATAAAAACAATACGACTCACACTAAAACTTGGGGTGATAGATATGTTGAAACCTCCATAGCCATACAGCAGTACTGGGTGGTCACCAGTGAGATCTATGCCCTGTAAAAATTTCAAACTTAACACTATACATATGAACATATATAAGGTTTTCCTCCTCGGTTTTCTATGTAAGTCAGACAAGTATCAAATAAAGGTAATATGTATTTCTATATAGCCCATGTAAACTATATTGTTGGTCATATTACTTACCTTTTTATGGACAATAAACATAGGAATTTTTGTCCCATCTTTGCTAGGGTAGAAGACCTGGTCTGTTTGGAACTGACTGGAGTCAAAGTCCTTCAGTTGAGTCTCTCTGAACACCTGTAGAATACACATACAAACTAAAAATGTAAAAGTTGGGAAATTTTGAAATGCAAAATAGAGTGGAAAAATGAGATTCAGCAAGAAATAATGTAAAGCGCAGAAAACAGTGTCTAATCCAAACACATATGAGTTCACATTGAGAGGTGTTCAGATTAGAGAGGTGTTTGGATATACAGGTTTTCCTGTAAACAAGCATGGACACATTATGAAATACAAAAAGCAGAATGTCATCTTTAACTTTACTTAGATTTACAAATATATAGCTCTAAATTCACAATGCACGATTATACTAAAAGATTTAAGCCCAGAACTCCATAATCTTAATTGCCCAAGATTCTCATTTGCAGTCTAGAAACAAGGGCTCCATGTTGAATTTGCTGTTAAAGGGATCACATCAAAACATCAGTTATAAATAACATCATACATATACATTTATTTTAACATTTTGAAATAAACATATAAAATCAGAAAACTTCTCAGCAGAAATCTATCATCAGATAGAAGATGGCCACAAGTCTATGACCCCTTCCACCTCCAAATAAATTGTCATACTTTGTCAAACAGCATTGATGAATTTCATCCATTAGTGTACTTACTTTGGGTTGTAATGTTTCCTGAGTAAGATCACACATATAGATTACACCAGGGGTAAGGAACGAGGTAAACTGGTAGAACATCTGGAAATGAAATAATAGTTTTGATTATATTCTAAGCCAATGTGAAACCTCTCCAAAAGAGGTATACGAAACAAGTTGCTTTATCAGTGAATAGAGATATGAAAAGCAACTTGGCGTTGTCTCATTAGTGCACTCTTGAACTATCACAGTGAGTGTTCCTAATAGAATTTTAATAAACCAGTTAGCTAAGACTGTGCTAAATGAAATAAAAATGGCAAAATATTATGATTATACATGTAGTTTCAAAAAATTTTCAAAATAAAGTTGACAATCTGAAATTTCTAAAGATATTTTCATTCACCCCGTTAAAAATGTCCTTTTTCTGTTACTTTGGAAATTTTTGAATCAAAAAGAATAGAACATAACAGATATCATAGTGAGGAAATACTGCATAAAGAAATGAAGAATGCATACCATTGAGTTTTTCTTCTTGCCTGAGAAGCCCACGATGCTGCCAACATCTAATGGGAATGTAGTGAGCCTCTCACCTGACTGTAAGCTGTGCATATAGAGGACATTCTGGAAAAAACAAAATAACCAGGGCTCTAATGGTGCATTATGGTACAAATGACGTTGGATAGCATTGGTTCCAAATCGATCCACAAAAAGCTGACACCACTACTGAGCACAAAAAGGCCATTCTGAGTTACTGATCACATTATTAGACATGGTCACAATCAATCCTATGTTCATATAGACATCTGAATTCACACAGAACAGATTCATACTGACATCATATCAATGTCATATCTCCCCACCTTGACATCATGCAGATAGCAGAGGATCAATTTTGATTGGTGAACACAACCGGCCCACTCAAGGACGTCATCTTTATCTTCTGCCACAAGATCCTTCCAAAATTCCTGCAAAAAGTTTACACAATTTATAATTGAGTGTAATATTTCTTCTTTGTACATAATTACATAGCCAGCAATCAAACGCACAGAAATCAATGTTATTCAAATGTGACTGGTTAAATATGACCAAAGCTGAAAAATATTAAAATGTAAGCTGTTTATTGGGGGAATATCCCAGAATGCTTGAAAAGTATTTGTTGGTGGATTTTACAAGAATGCTTGAAAGGTAATTTCAAATAATGCTTGAAAGGTGTTTCAGATTTTGCCACCATTCTTTCGGAAATGATTTGTTTCAAAGTCACTTTGTAAATTTCATTTGCACTCTATAACTTTAACATATTTTATTGACGAATTCTGTCATCATCATGAAAACTTAATCTTACCATGTTGTAATTGCTGAAGTCAATGTTAATGAGCTTGTAGTTTGGTGAGTTGAGATTGGTCTTAAATGTAAACACTGTTCCCTCATTGGTAATATACTGAAATTTAAGATTTACATTTATTGTATATTATTTGTGTTGTTCCAACTTTTCTAAAGTTACTGTTAGTTTTTACTGTTGTCAGTATCATCTCAAGTACATACTAAAAGCAATTGAAAAGAATTTTCTGATAATTTTTCCTTTACAATTATAAAAAATATACTAGGGTCGTCTAAAAAGTCTTAAAATTTTTTGTTAACACAAAATGCATGTTATTATTATTGCCAGTGTCTTTAATTATTGTATGATGCCAAATATATTCTTTTTTACTTACTTCATATTCAGCATCAAAATTATCTACGACCTTGACCCATGGTAAGAGCCCTGAGATGCCATCTTTTAGGGAATGTAGGTCACAGAAGAAGAGCCTGTTGACTGGATCGCAACCCTCCCTTACACCGCACACCAGATACTGGCCACAGTCACTCACTTCTACACCGCTTTCAACAAAAAAAAATTGCATTCATATTAAAGGTGGATGAGACTACACTCTTGAAATAATCTAAACGTAAGGGTTTTTATGCCCATAAGACTATAGAATATCAGGCTATAGAATCTGTACCAAATCTGGTGTTTGAGTTATCAAAAATTGCCTTTTTCTGAAATATGGGAATCATTTTGAATTCAACAATCATCTCCAAAAATTCTTCTTAAGTATTCACATATAGTATTTGATTTATCCAAAATAACATGTTTTGGTGGCAGTTTTGAATTAAGAAGCCATCTTGAAAATTCCTTATGGAGCAAAGATTCTATGCCCCTAAAAAGGCAATTTCAACCAAATCCGAAAAATGATGAACAGCCATAATGGAAATTCTTTCTTGGGCAAAGGTCCTATTTTCATAAGGTATCAGGCTGTACATTTGAACCTAATCTGTCAACAGGCATTTGAGTTATGGCTTGAATAAAGGAACTCATAGACACATGGACAAGTTGCTTCTCTACATTCCTACTTGAATTTCATATCTTTGGAATAACTACAAATATCAAAGTCAAACAGAAGCTCAGAAAACAGTCAGAAAATTCTTAAAGACAAATTATTTCAAAAACCTTTTAGTGACAAAATAACAATGTTAACTCACATCATCCATTTAGGGTGATCTAGAAACTCCCCACATAAAGTATCTTTTGATTGGTCCTCTCCAAGACGATGATAGAACAGTTTCTGGTTCACATTTGTGGTTGTCTCCGTTCCATCACTTTTGCCTTCCTGTACAGTCTCTGGGTAACACTGGAGAAAATTAAATTTAAAAGCATGTGAACAACCAGTCAAAAAAGATTTTAACCAATCGATCGCCAGATTTAATCCCTAAAATCAAAAACTCCCAAATCCACAGAAATAGAAAGATTCTTATCTATGTTATCTCAAAATAAACTTTTTAATTAATTTCTCAGATGTGGTAAAGCTTGGCAAAAGTATTTCTTTTTAATCTTTGCCCAAATTCTCAAGCACCACCTAGGCTCCATCCACCAAAAAATTAGAGACCCCTTGATGGAATAACATCAAAAATGAATATTCATGTGTACAAAGAAAAGAGATATTTTAAGTAGAATGACACTGCCATGAAAGATGTACATACATTGTAGAAAATGCCCTTATGGTCATGCGTCCAGGCCATGCTGGAGAACTTTACTCTCTTGAGTACATCTGGGAGATCCTTGCCAGAGGCAACTTCCTTGAACTGCAAATTAGAAAATAAATATTGTACTTAGAATACAGTAACTTTATAATTCATTGTATAAATAGAATAGTGTAATTATAATGAAAGTATAAAATATATTGTACATAGAGACAAAAATAGAAATCTGAACTGAGTCGATCTGTTTTAACACATGAAACTAAAACTTTTCGATATTGGACTGAATTCTTAAAGTCAGAATAACAAGGAATACCAACATAAAACATGAGGGATATCAAGTAAAATATATTTTATGTACAGTAAAGTGTAATAACAAAGTTGTTACTATTTGCATAGAGTATATGTTGTATCATAATCATGGCATAATAAGACGATTTATATTAACTAACACGTTATTTATTAATTGCATTACCACAAATATAATGTACATGAGTATAGCTAAAAAAGCTAGCTATAATATATTAAATGGTAACATATTCTACTATAAATCAATACTACAGCAATAATCCAATGTTGCATTTATTTGGCATAGGAAGAAGATATATGCTTACCTTTATAGTAACCCAATCTGATCCACTCTCACTTAAACCATATGCAAAGTAATCGCCATTCTCTGAGAAAGCTGTACCACTGAGTGAGATTGTTCCATCCTCGCTGAGCTTGTTGGGATCAAGGAACTCCCGAGGCTCACCATCAAGGGAGTCTTGCACATAGAGCACGCTGTAAAACAATTGCATTGTTTATTTTCACACTTTGACAAAACAAGAACATTTGGTTTTAAGGATACAACAAGGATACATTTGGAGGCTATTAGATTATGTTGGGTATGAGTAAAGTGTTTAAAGCTTTACATGGAGCCTTTAAATATCTTGAATTGACATACCTTTGGTTCTGTAGACCTGAATTGTGGTAGTAGAAATAGCGATCGCCATGTTTAGATGTACATGAGTATTTCGGATAGTCCCATAATGCCTTGATACTACAAGTGAAATAAATGGCATGATTACAGACATAGTCAATACATCAATGGGGGAGGGGATAAATCCTCATAATCTCAGGGTAATTTTTTAACTGGAAGTTAAGATTTAAAGGCAGAATCTGATCTATAGAGGGTGACAAAATTACAAGGAACATGTATAATTGACCTACCAATCTATTCCTTATAATATCAAATACAATATCTCCCAAAAGATTCACAATATGTTATAAATTGGTGAAGTTATTAACGATTCAAAGTGCAAAAATGAGTGAAAAATGTTTAAATTCTCCCAAATATTTACCATTCTTATAGAAAAATAAAACATTATTGTAAAAATCTTTAGTTTACCTGGAATAAGGTATGCACTTTTATGATTTTTAGAAAATAGACATGACAAGGAATGACATGAGCCAAAAATATTCTAAAATTGAAACAATTTTTTGTTTAGCCTGCTCGCTATATCTGATTCTCTCTTTAATTTAGAGTATCAAAAATGTTCAATTTCATAAATGGGGAGGAATACATGAACACATATTAACCTTCCTTGACAATATCCAAATTTTTATTATTATTAAATTTATTTCAATAGAATACAAAAAATGTAAATACAGACATGTAAATTCTTAAATCGCCACAATGGCATTATATAAGAATAGGGGGCAGGTGGAAGTAGAAGTGGCAGAGCAGGCAGGGTCTTGGACTAGGGCAGGTGTGACGGGACTTGAGGATACTAGAGATGGATAAGAAGGAGGGAATTAGCTATTGTCTTTGATAAAATTAACAATGAGAAGTAGTATTTGGGAATTTGCATCTATGTTTAATTTGGGAATTCCTGTTTTCAAAATAGCTATGAAATCAGTTTGAGAGAGATTATGACTGAAGATGTTTGGTTCGAGATCAGTGAGTTTGTCCATGAATTGCTGTCTTTGTATAGTAAGTAAGTCACATTGAAAGAGAAAATGTTTCAGAGTTTGTGGTTTTCCACAAGTGCAATTAGGACTGTCAATAGACTGAAAGTTGTGAGCGTAGAACTGGGCTTTGAAGTATAGGTCAGCTCTCACTTTATTGAGAACTATTTCTTGAACCCTTGTTAGATTAAGCTGGCTTGTTGACAAAAACGAGGGCGTTTTTTGGAAATGTACTCTTTGGTGTTTTTTAAAATTCGAAAGAGTATTCTTAGATTTAATAGCAGGTGGAAGATTGATCCAATTTGAAATTGCAGCTGGTATTGCTGAGGTGGAGAATCTATTTGAGCATCTAATGGGCATTTTAAATGCTTCATTATATCTCAATACTCTGTTTGCATGGTTTCTAAATTTGTCAAAAATATCAGTTACATAGGGAGGACTTGTACCATTTACAATTTTGAACATAAAGTTGTTAATCTGGATACTGCGTCTTGATTCAAGAGTTGGCCAATTGAGTAGGTTTAAAACCTTTTTTGAACTGCTCCCTTGGATACACCCAGAACAATAAAGTGCAGCTTTATAATAAAGACTGTCGAGTCGTTGTAATAGGAACTTTGAGGCTGTGCTGTACATGATAGCACCATAGTCAAAATGGGGTAAAATAAAGGACTTAAATATGGTTTCTAGATGCTTACTACCTAACTTATATTTAAGTTTCTTTAAAGGGTTCAACATTTTTCGTATTTTTGATGTGATTTCTCCAATATGCTTGTCATATGATAAGCTTGGGTCAAAAGTAAATCCCAGATGTTTGTGCTCGTGATCTCTGGTAATTTCAACATTGTTTAACTTTGAAACAGAAACATTATCGACTTTAGATCTGGATGAGTGGAATATCATTTCAGAACTCTTTTCAGGTTTAAACTCCAATTTCCAGGTGTCAGACCATTTTTCAATTTTAATTAGGTTAGATCTGGCTATTGCATCTACTTCTTGTGGATGCTTAGGGTCAAAAGGATGATGTAGAGAAGTGTCATCCGCATAAATATAGCAATGCCCCTCCAGATTGTCTGGAAGGTCATTAATGTATAGGAGAAATAATATTGGCCCAAGTATTGAGCCCTGGGGGACACCACAATTGATAAAGTCATTTTCAGAATAATTTGAAAGTTTCCCAGATATCTGTACAGCAATTTTTCTGTTAGTAAGGTAAGATTTGATAATTTTTTGAATTTGCCCTTGGAAGCCATATGCTGAAAGTTTATGAAGTAGTAGCTTATGTGGTACTCTGTCAAATGCAGCCGCTATATCTAGAAAAATTGTTTTGGAAGCTTTTCCTTGTTCAAATGTGCTCTGAAGAAGATGTTCAATCGATAAAAGTTGATGAATAGTACTATGACCTGGTAAGAATCCGGACTGATGTTTGAAAAGAAGATTATTGTCAATTAAATGCTTCCTGATTCGATCAGCTAAAACTTTTTCAAATACTTTAGAGATACAGCTTAAAAGAGTGATAGGTCTATAATTGTTGATGTTTGATTTGTCATTCTTCTTAAAAATTGGGCAAACATTTCCAATTTTCCAGATATCAGGGTAGGTACACTTTGATAAAAGTTTGTTGAATAAGTTGGCTAAAGGTTTTGAAATGGTATGGGCTGTCAAATTCAACATTTTGTTTGTGATGTTATCTGGGCCACATGCCTTTGAGGTGTCTAAGGACAAAATTATTTTCATTACCTCAAATTGATCGGTCTGGGCGGAAATGAGTAGAGAATTAGTCCTAATTGGGAAATGGGGCAATTGATCAAAAGTTGCATCAGTATGATTTTTTGAGGCAAAGAAACTCATAAATCGGTTAGCTATATCAAGGTTGTTAGATAAGTCGTGTCCAGAGACATCATCATAGATACTAGAAATATCATTTTTATGTAAATTGTTACCAAGGAATGATTTAATTAACCTCCAATAGTTTTTATCAGATTTATTGAGTTGGTCAATTGATGAGATAGTTTTGAGTTCATGTGCCTCTTTGGCTTGTTCAATTAGTTGGGAAACTTTAGAAGCTTGTTGATTATAATTGAATTTGTTAACTTGATTAGGAGCTTTTGAAAATTTCTTATATAAAACTTTCTTTTTTGATATTTCACGTTTAAGATTATTATTGAACCATGGCTGGTCATTTGACCTTACTGTGATGATTTTATTTGGAATTTTGGATTTGTATATGTCCGAGAGTTTTTCAATAAAGTTAGAGGTAGCTAAGTCCAAGTCTATGTTTCTATCGATAATATCTGTCCATTCGGTATTTCTAATTGCATCATTCAAAGTTTCAAGATTAGCTTCATGGTATTTCCAAATGGTTTTTTTAATAGGCTTGGACTTAGTCACACCAACTTTAATTTGAGCTACAATTGTGCTGTGGTCGGTTTTTTCAATGGGATCAGTGACATCCCAGTTGTCAAAAATATCTGGAGAATCGGTCAAAATATGATCAATGCAGGATTTGGAGTGATCAGTTATTCTAGTTGGTTCACTAACAAGTTGTACAAAGTCTTGGTTATCTATGGTTTCTAAGAGTTTAGTTCCTGCTAAGTTTATGTCATCATTATCATACCAGATTGAATGTTTTGCATTCAGGTCACCCATCAGTATGACATGGTCAAAGGCCGGCTGAGATGTTACTATTTGATCAAGTTGAGTTTCCAATAATGAAAAATAATTTCTTGTTTCTGTTGCATTCTGACTGGGTGACCTGTAGCAAGTGCCAAATAAAATTCGTTTATGGTTCACAATAACAGTTACTAACAGGATGTCAAGCCCATCTATGATAAAGTCATTAGAGATTTTTGTCACTAGGGTTTTATGAGTATAAATTACCAGACCTCTACCTCTTTCACTGTAAAAAACATTATAATTATTAATGTCAAAATCACCCGAATCCATTTTGGATTTGGAAATTCCAGCCTCACAAAGGCCAATAATGCTTGGACTTAGTTCATTTATTCTTAGTTTCAAAGAGTCAAATCGAGTACCCCCATTTGCTGAGAGGCTATTTATATTGGAAAACAAAAATGAAAGATTGTTCGGACCTGGATTAGGATGGACATCTCCTGCTATAAGAAGTAATAACATTTTCAGGTTTGGAGCAAATGTTAATATGCAAATTCCAGGTACAACACAACTGGTTGCTAGAACTTTTAAGGTCAAACATAGGGAGTAGGGACTCACAATGTATTTGAGATGCTGATTTATATGGTATATTATCAACAGTGGAAGGAAAAGACAAGTTGTTATGCAACTGACCAGATACAACAATAGTAAAATCCCATAGATCACATATGATATGTCGAAGAATCTCAGGTATGCATATAAGAGCATATACATCACGAGGGGGGGTTTGATCAATTCAAAAAAGAGCAAGTCTCTAGTTATTGGAATTCTATTTTGTCGGCATTTAGGTTGTTTAAGTATATGTAGATGGTTGAATAGGCCAATAGTCACCCTCCATTGTTGTATTAGGTCTATCCGACCCCTTGTCTAGTCACCCATGCCCCAGTCCCAACCCAAAACCTGCCTGCCACAACCCCAGTAAGGATAAAGTGTCTCATGGAAATGAAGCAATCTGAGGAAGGAGGCTCTCAGAGAAAAGTGTGATGTACTGGTTAATAGGTTCTGCAGTAGTAGCTAGCATTGTGCACAGAGAGTATTCACATTGCTATGGTTGGCTTTACTGAACTTATTTGAGAAAACTATGGCAAGGAAATAAAAAATTGTCTAAAGGCTAACTGAGTATACACACTTTTCGCGAGATCCTCTCAGTCTGAGTGGTAAAGTAAAAGAATGTTCAGACTTGTTAAGATAAACGCTGAATCACAAAAAAATCAAAGTAAGTGCTTAATATTTTACATACAGATATCAGAAACTTATGTCTGGGCTCCAAAAGAGTCAACTACATGTAATATTAAGCTATGTATCGCATATCCAAATGATCTGAAATGATTGACAATCTCATATTAACTTTCCATGCAACTTACCTCTCATTTAATTTACCACTCAATGAACATTGCTTAATAAATGGCACGGTAACATCATTTTGATCATCAACAAATTTCTTTGTCTCTTCAGAATCAGGATCCTCCAGCCAGCGGTATGGGTCTTGTACCTGCAACATTGGGAAGTAATATCAGTTTTAATGCTGCTTTGGTTCAGGATTTAGCAATGGTCCAAATCATTGGACATATTCTAATTAATGAAGTCTTATAGTAACCAAGGATGTGACTTGTCTATCGAGATAGACATCCTTGCAGGATCTAAATAAACATGGTTGACAAAGACAATATCAGACCTTGGTTGAAGTTTCTAATCGATATGAATAATATAACTAGATAATGGCAACTCCACGGAGTAGCAAATCCCAAGAAACAAAATATCAATTATCGAATTCCAATCAATTATACTCATTACATCATTTAATTTGAGTATAATATAGCCATACTTTGAAGGGATCGAAAAATTATTGCGAAATCGTACATTAGACGGCCATTTTGAATTATACGAGGCTCGAATCAGAAAAAAAGATACAATATTTGCAATCTACTCTTAATTGCCTTTCATTTGAGTATAATAAAGCTATACTTCAGAAAGATCTAAAAATTAGCGAAAATTTCTGTTTTCCTGACCCCCCATACACGGCCCCTGGGGGTCAGGATGACAAACACGGAATATATGTGAAATAGATAGATGTTGCGAATGTACTACCAAAATTTCAAACAATAATATTAATTACTTTAGTTTAGAATGAAAAATTTATGATTTTTGCGAAAAAGTCCCGTCATTTTTAAAGTGGCGGCCATCTTGGAAAAAAATTTTTTTGCGTAAAACTATTCACCAATATACATCATTCCACTAAATATGAAGAAAATCCGTCAACTAGTATTTGAGTTATCTTCCGGACGGACTGACTGACTGACGGACGGACAGACGGAGGGCTTCACTATATCCCTACCGAACTTCGTTCGTTGGGATAATTAATGCAAACAAGCAATCCCAATGTCTAGTTTAAGGGTGCCATTGACTTTTAATGGGGATGCAGGGCCTTAGCCAGGATTTACCTGGGGGGAGTGGTTTTACCAAGGGGGAGCTTTTACCAAGGGAAGGAGATTGTTGACAGTTTTTGGAAAAATGCATGCGAAAAAGTGCTCAGAATGGTGAAAAACTGCATGATTTTGAATTTCTGGCCAGGGGGCCGCTCCCTCTGCTCCCCCTGGATATGGGCCTTGGGATGCAATTGATTTCATCCTGCATATATACAGTACATATGTACAAACATTAGTGATATTTACTGTAGTGACACCTGAAAATGCAGATCATTATTCATATCCGGTTGCTGGCCATTTCTTAAAATTAGTCAAGAAAATTTTATTTCATCACATATCCACAAGTGGCAGTTGTTCTGAGATGTTATTTGTGATAAACGTGTAACCATAGGGAAGCGTCATTAAAGAAGAACCCCGTGAACGAACATATTTCATGGGCTATGCATATTTTAATGGTGAGTGTATATTAAGAAAGCTATAGACTGAAATGTACTTCATTTTAAAATTTCGAAAATTGCAGAAATTTCACGTTATATCATTTCGAAGAACTCGTCTACATTTCTGAGTAACTAGTCAATGGATTGCTTCCATTATTTTTTCCCTCGATAATTCTATATGTTGAACCATGGGGTTTCAAGAGATGTGTATGTAGCTTATAGGAATGATTCAACTTATTTTTAGCTTAAAATTTTTAAATTTATTTTTCTGCACAGGTCATTTTCCGATATCCCTTTCTAAAGATTGACACTTTGAAGACTCACAAGGGCTCTGCCCGACACTTAGTATGTATCCAACAGACCGAATATAATATTTATTCAGACGAAGGATACAGTCTAGCCCGACACTCCATGCGATTCCCTGTGGAAAAAGGTAATGTCAAAGTATATAAAAAGAGGAGGGAACTGACTTCCTCCAATGCTTATTTCCTATGTGAGGCCAACTACCATGGTTTTTCAAGAGAAAGCCAATGCTAGACTCTATTTTACAAGAAAGTTGCCTTGTCATTGTCAAAATTCCTAATGTTGAATTTGTTAAAAAATACCTTTGTTCCATGGTAATCTTCAACAACCGTTTCATCACGCCGTGCCTGAGGGTATTGGAAGGTCATCTTACTTTTTGGTCTCCTTCGTTGAGTCTAATTCTACTATAAAGAAGAAAAAACTACAAATTTTGTTAATTTTTAAATAAACCGGATGTACAAACAGACAAGTGCTTGGTCACGTGGTTAAAGAGATTCCCCTCTGGGATTCCCCCAAAATAACCAATCACAAACTAGGTACATTATGATTAGCCAATCAGCTGTTTCTTGAGATGCCAATCATGCTAAAAATAGAACAGGGTATTTAACCACCATCTTGATGACACAATCAATAAAAATATCGCAAACAATTACGGAATATTGTAGGTTGACGTCAATTCTGTTACATAGAAATATGTAGGAGTAAGCGTAAAACCTTCGGACTTCAAATAGACAGGTTTTTGAACATTTCAGGAGATTGGAAGGATGTTTTTGAAGGTGGGATATATGTTACTTCGGTCCAAAGCCTTCTCTATATTCTAGAGACTCGAGTAAGATATATGACCTCTCAAAATGACCTCAAATCAAGACAATAACAAAACAATTGTCAGGCTGCAAAGGAGAAAAAAATTCCTGGTTTGCTTTAGAAAGAAGGGATAACTGCTTTTGAATTGTATTGCTGATTACAATATGGCTTCTAGTGACATTGACTTACATGAAGAACAAGAATCGAACGCATTTCCTAATAAAGACACAGCACCATATGATCGAACAGTTCTGGCTTCGCCCTTTTCTGATGTCACAGTGTCAACTCCACCTCTGTCACGATCTTCCAGCCGAGATTTGACATCTAGTAGCTTTAGTTCAATAGCAAGTATTGGAATGGTGTCATTATGCTTATCAGATGATTCCACAGCGTCCCCTAAAATGAGACGACGGACAAACAGTACAAGTGATATCGAAGAATTGCCTGATGGTCAAGATGCTTATCCAAATACAGATGATCTCCGTTTCTTTGAGCAAATGCTCCAAGGAATGGAACCTAACAATGTTCAAAGACATCACATCAATGAAAGAATCCAACGGATGATCGACAACAACTCACTTCCTACAGTGAGGATGTTTGACGATTTCTTGGACAATGAACCTGCTGATCGGCCTCTTCCTACTTACCCCGTGGGTGATGAAAAGTATACAGAATGCAGTGTTTGTTTGGAGTCTAAAACACTAAGCTTGAGACCTTGTTGTTCATTAGCAGTATGTTCCGACTGTGTCAAACAATATTTTGTCACCCAAGTCTCCGAGGGTATAGTGAAAATTGAATGCCCCAATTTTGTATGTGATACTTACATCCATAGAGATGAGATAACATTTCATCTTGAAACTGAGATGAAAGATAAATTTCACAAGTTTTTAGTAAATGCGAACAAGGAAGCGCATATAAAGACATGTCCAAGATGTAGCGAAATAATGGAGTTGGAGAAACATAAACTCGAAGATAAGAGCAAAATCAAAGTCCATAAGGGTATTCCAGTTACATGCAAGGAGTGCGCTCTTTGTTGGTGTTTTCTTTGCCAGGCGCCTTGGCACACAGACTTATCTTGCAAGGGTTACAGGTAAGTACCCTGAATCCTCTTTGTCTAAGTACACTGCCCTCTCAAAATTTGATGATCTCAAATGATATTTTAATGGTGAAGTTTTTATGGGAGTTGAATGTGCAGTCAGGCATGTGATCTTAGTGTTTTGTTTTTTAATCTGATATGCAGGGAGTGAGTCACTGACCCCCCCCCCTCCTTTTACCTGTATACTTACACTGGGGAATTTACAAGTTGGAGTAAAATTGGCTACGTAAACGGAAAATCTCTGAGTGCTCTGATTGTCTAAGTATCATGTACAAGGCGGAGGGGTTGGGAGGGAGGGTCAATGACCTGCTCTTGATGATTGAATATTAATTGATCATTGTTGGATGTTTGATCTGGAGATAAAAAAAAATTATCTCCAAAATAAAGAGTCATATATTAGATTGAGTCAAGGTATTCCAAAGGGTAAAAGCCATAAAGGAGGAGGGGATTGTACGAATAAATCAATGATGAAAGGTAAACAAACATTATGTTTGCTGTTGGCTTCTTGCACCAGGATCTTCATGTCATGTACAGGTAGATCAATCAAAATATATGTGGTTCAAAGTTAATGATAGAATTGGATTATACAGTACATCCTTGTTATCAAATATCATTTATGTTTGAACTCTGATTACCTGTCTGATTAGTACCTATGTGAAGTATCTTTTAAACTCTTGATAGGGTTACTTGATCTCTGTACATGTTGGAGTATACGTATATATATATATACAATGTTCTCCCCTGGCACATTTTCACTTTCTCACGTTTGCAATTAGTTGGTAAAATATGCCAATTTTTCATGATTTTTCAAACAATAGATAGCACTGTCAAAATAAGTTTTAAATTGAGAACTCGTTTAAATGCTAAGGAAATAAGAGGCACACCCAGAGAGGCATACTGATCCGCAACAAACAAGGGGGAAGGGAGGGGGGGGGGTAAATGAGCAACAGCAGAAGAAAAACATATAATGAATGATTATATGAACCAAAAGTCTGCAAAATAGTTCAACTATGATAAAGAAACATGAACAAAAGATACCCAGAACATAATACCATATGGAGAAAGATATAGTAAACATTATTATTTTGAAAAATTGGAAACATGATAATATAAAGTCTGTTTATAAGACAATAATGCCCAATTCATATGTTTCACTTTTATGAGCAGTATTAAGAATGCATGTCATGCTATTTTGTCATTTGAACTATTGTGGCATGCTTTTTGACTGGGACATCTAGTTTAATTACAAGTAGGGGCAAATAGTTTCTTATGGCTCATGTTTAATTGTTCTGATATTTTGTTTTACTTAAAAAGATATTGTAACTTTAAGCCTCATCAGTGCCCAAGTCAAAATATAATGTTTTTGCTAAATAAACATGGGCACTCTTCTCCCAAATAATTGTAAATTAATATCTAGCCCTTTATTACTTCAGTACAATGACTTTTTCATTTTTGGACACCATTTTTGTCTGTATTTAATCAGATATGTCATTGACAGATCTTTTGCTGCTATTATAAATTAACATTTCATTTGTATTATAGGAAAGGAGAGAGACTGCTGAAAAGTTGGGCAAAGGAACAACATTTTGGTCAACGTAATGCGCAGCAATGTCCACGGTGTAATGTAAGTAAATGATCTAGAAATCTGATTACTTTTAGCCAATAACAGCATACTGAATGCTGATTCTCTGTCGGTAATGATTTCATGTCTTCAGACATTTTTCACACTGCTTAAGGTGCTGTACTCCCGGGGGGAGGGGGGGATTTTTTTCTCTAAAAATGGACCTACATATAGGGTTTTTCTTTCAAAAATAGACCCACTTTATGTTTATTTTTAAAAAACATTATTTTAATCCACCATTAACCTTCTTTTATTACAGATCTTTATCCAGCGATCAATGGGGTGCGACCATATGACATGTTCCAAATGTAAGACAGATTTTTGCTACCTCTGCGGGGACAGGTTCCGAGCGTTCAAGTTCCTCGGGGATCATTACACGAAGCTGAGTATATTTGGCTGCAAGTATCGCTTCATGCCAACTAAGCCTGCAATGAGGAAGTTCATCAGAGGTTCTTTACTAGGTAAGATGTCAAGGTTCATTACAGTTTGAAAACATGATTGCCCAATTTAACAGACCATTGCCCAATAAATAATTTTTTTCAAAGTTAATTGCCAAAAGTGAAAAGTGATTGCCATCGACAGTTGTGCAGCTATGGATCTCTTGATGACATATTTGAAACATTTCTTTTTTCAAAAAAGCCAATGTTTTATATTCTATTTGCAGTTGTCATAATTACATTGTGACATTATTATTATTTTTTTCTTATTAAATGTATATTCTCATGTTATAATTAACAAATTTTTGCTTTAGGTGGAATGATATTAGCTGCACCAGCCGTGGTGGGGTTAGTTCTTGGTGCGGGTGCAGTCCTCGCAGGGGTTGCAGTTGTAGCTGCTCCCTTTATTGGCAGTTATAAACTCCATAAGAAGTTGAAGGAAAAGAAACGCATAAAGCAACAGAGGAAAAATAGAGAGATTATGCGAGAGATGTTCCATGCCATAAAGAAGAAAAGTTAGTATAGATAAAAAAAAATACATAGATAACAAAAATTTCCGTTTTTCTGGTAGATTTTTAAAACTAGTTTTCGTAAAGATTTAAAATAATTTGAAAGGTTTTTTATAAATAAAAACATTTAGGACAATAGTAATTTTCAATGGGGATATTAAAGTTTGTTAAGCTTTTTGAATCACAAAAAAAATGTATGTAGCATTATTGGTCTGTACATGTACAATCATTCTGGCATGTTTCATATCTTAAATCTTAGCATTTAATGGACCTAGACTCAATGTGTGATTAGACATTTTCACTGGATGAACAAAGATGTATAACTGTCAGTTTGTAGCATTATGTATTGCTTTGCAATTTTCTAATTACACAATTATTGTAATATGTATCACTAGTTGCTCAGTTGCTAGAAAACAGTTGTCAATTTAGTAAATATTACATTAAAGATGGCAATAAGAGCTTTTTATTAAACATGCGCTAAATGTGTTAAGAGGCATTGTTATAACAACAATGAAAAATACACATAACATTGATTGTGTGTAAAACTACAAACTGTATGTACATGATTTCTCAATTTTCAGAGGACCAATTTTAATCTTGTAAAAACTCCTAAAAAGCCCTTCTTGTATATGATTTAATGCTATTTTATATTATGACTAAACACAAGTTATATCTTAAGTCTGCAGAATCATTTTGTAATCTGTGTTGGTTTTTAGATTCCTTTGTCAAATATTAAAGTAAAGTTCCTTAAAGTTTGAGTTTTCTGTTGATAGGAGACCAATATCTTTGCAATTGCTTCTCTACATTGTCATAGGCTTGTCAATATTCCCATTTTATGAAATATTTATGAAATTCTTTTGCTAAAGATAAAAGCTCCATCCATCTGCCCCTACATTCATCTGGGCAATAGCTAGATGAAAATGGCAGTCATTTTTATGTGTGTTATTTATTTTACAGTTTTTACTGTAACTCAAAAAGTAGTGATTTGGTTGAAATTTAATGTGTCTTCTCAGAAACATATTACACTTTTCTATTTACAATTTGGCTAGCGAGTGGTCATTTTTAAAAATGGTGGCCATTTTACCTGTCTTTTTTACTTTTTTTCTCTCAAAAAGTGGTGGAGCAATTTTGTTGAAATTTTATTTTGAAAAATTGTGGCCATTTTTCTGTTTGTTATTTCACAATGTTTGCTATAACTGAAAAAGAAGTGGAGGGATTTTGTAAAAATGGCAGCCATGGTTGTTTGATGGGATTTGCTGCACCTTGACGTTGCTGTTATCTAGTTTTACTTTGGTTTTGATTATTTTCATATATTTAGTTTACTGATTTAATATTTTCTTCAAATTGTTTTATGTTTTCAGATTATTCGATGGGCTATGTAGATGAATTAGATATCTCTAATCCACCTACTGGTATTTATGACTTAGAGCTACAGAACTCATATCTGGACACGTCACAAGAGAATATCTCACGTCAAGAAGTTGTTAGTGCCGATGTTTATACTCTTAACAATCTCTTTGATGATTCTAGTCATGATGAGGAGGTGAAGGTCATCAATGAAGGTCAAGGTCAAACAGATGAGGCCAAGATGAGAAGAAAGGGTAAAGACAATGAAAATGGAAGTAAAAGGCGCAAGAAAAGCAATGAGAGCGTGAAGCATGAAGGAAAAACATGTAAAGATAATGATTTGAAAATTGATAGTGAAAACAAGAAAACGCACAAATCAAACAAACAGGACCAAGACAACAATGGAAGTGGTATCAAGCCCAATTTGAGTGGTGCTGAGGGTGATGAAACAAGTAGCAATGATGCTGTTGGTGATTGGAAAGATGCAATAGGTAAGAAAGGAGAAGACCACATTAATAAACATGAAACAAGTAGCACTGGTGCTGTTTGTGATAGAAAGGATACTGCAATAGATAAGAAAGGAGAGGACTCCACTCATAAACATGAAAAGGGTGACTTAAATATGCTTGAACTACTTATGGATTCAGATTTAGGTGCTGACAATTCTAAACATGAATTAGATACTCACATAGAAAATGCTGATACCTTTGATAAACTTCATGCTCATTTTAAAAATATTGTTAAAGACCTGGATAGTGAAACAAGGGTAGAAGAAACCCATATACCCACAGTATCAGAGTCCACATCATTGTGATGTCATATTTAATAATGGGTAAAAATTGTTGGCCAGTAGTCAAGGGAGAACCTGCCATAGAGGAAAAAAGAACAATAAGCCATTTACACGAATGCACATATTCAAACGTTCTGTTAAGGTGGCCCATTCTTGATTGGACATGATGATGCAGAGATCATAATTTTACTGAGTGGCTCTACAAAACATGAACAACATTATGGGCCACCTTAATTCTAGAGACTTCAATTTTCAATTCAGAATAGGAAAAAGTTAAAAATGTAGTTTTTTGCTATGGCCACATGAAGTTTAACATATACACCCCTCAATAATACTAAATTCCCATTGGATAGTGTTAAAGTCAGTTTATGTTTTAATCTAATTTTGTTCCTCTGAGTTGAAGTTAATCACCAAACATGTGGTCTGTAAGAGAAATTCTATTTGCCAGACTTTTGAAGGGGAGTGTATATTTGTTTCATGAAATGAATACTCCAATGTTGAGCAAACAAATTAATAATGTGAGCCAAAAACAATATTTCTATTAGCAACTCTTTTTGCGAAATTATCTCCTGTCTGGCTGTCTGTCTCCGTTGATGTGATAATTGAGATTCTACATTATACTATTTCATGATATTACTTTTGAGTGAAACAGCAATATATACGTATTTTTGTTAAGTTCAATGTTAACATATATTTGACTGTATATTTATGTTGTGTTTAAAGGTCAAGCAAATTCAAGTTCACAAATATGGATATAATAGATCTCATTTTTGCTTATTTCAATGTAAACAAATAAAATGTTAGGACTTATCTACATTGATGAGAAAAACATTGATGACACAGGGGTGTAGCTAGCTTTCAGTCAGGGGGGTGCGATCGCCTAAAAATTTTCTGTTTTGTTCAGACCTATATTATGTTTTTAAATGTACAGAAGTTGAAATATGACACAAGACACATATTTTAGTCAATCTCTAAATAGCTGTTAATTTCAATATGCAGACATTAGGGCTGGGTTGCCTTAGCAACAAGAAATGGGTAAACACTGGAACTGGTGTTACAGACTTGTCAACTACATTGCAGAAATGAGCATGGCGCTTGTCTGAAATTAGTTCAAGCTTGGGCCTTCTAAAAAGCCCATCAAATAAACCCAGGCCTATGTCAGTCCATTTGTAATATCTCCATACTATGAAAATGTTATTACTCATGAGTGCAGTTCTTGCATGAACTCCTTTTGTATCATGTGGTCTACCAGTCTACAATCTTACAATGTTTAATCTTGGCAAATACCTCATAGGATTTTGTTCATTAGGATAACAATCCTATCAAAGGTATGAAAACTAAAGGTACATGTATTTAGCACTATATTTCTATAATCACTTTAAGACTCATTGTCTCTGCCCTTATTTGACACTCAAACATTCCAAATGAAAGGCTTAAAAATATATTTCAAATATTGTCTTTTTATTCCTATTTGTATCATCATCAAAATGAGGAATCATTTGGAACATACATAGTTCATTGGAATGTGTATCTTTGACATTTCCATTCAAACTAATAAGATTCTTATGGAGCTAGATCATGTTGTAACTGAACAGAAATGGATTCAAAATAATGTTCAAATATTTTAGTTTCTATTCTGATGTGCCAATTTCTTATAACCTTGCACAAAATATGAGAAGGATTTATGATAGGACAGGACATTATTATTAAGGTGAACTCGAAATAATCAACACAAAATGCTATCATACTCTGTATTAATGTATTTATTTACATTTTTGTTACAAAACGTAATGCTGTTTATTGACAAAATAGAAATAAATGGATGTGTTTATAAAATAATTCATAAAACCTATTTTATTGTTCATTCTGCATTTGCGAATTACGGTTGCATTCAGCCGAGAGGCATGAAAGTTCATTTTTGTGACCTACGGCAATACAATTTTTGACACAGATATTTCATTCATTCCATTGCATAAATGAACTTTTCAGCTCCAACATGATATTCTATTTACAAGCTAATAACAGTGTTATTTTAATTCAAAATACCACACCACTGACTGCTCAACAATTTGAGCAGGTTTTTGACCACATGAAATAAAGGAATTGAAAAAATATGTAAATATTCAATTTATTCAATAAACCACAAAAATCCATGTTTCCACTTTCCATTATTTCATCAATAGTGTGTTTTATATCCTCTGCCTTTGAGGTTTGGATGGATGAAACCAAAATGAACATGTACTGCCATCTTTAAAACAGATGAAAAATTGAATAAAGCACCATAATCTCCTAAACCTGCTTCTATTGAATACCAGGGACAACCATCTTTCATGTCCATATTAAGATGATTGGCCTGAGGCCTGAGAAATTAACCCTTGAAATTAACCTAGAAATGACTACTAACAGTCTTCCATTAAGCGTCTGCCCCCCCCCTCCCCATCCATCTTCTGTCCAATGGAGAATGTTGAGGGGGTTATAAAAGCTTAGCAAGACTATATGCTTGTACATTTGTACACAAAGTTTTAACTTTGTTACATGTCACAGTATTAATATTATATTACATGTAAATTCATGTTCATCTAGTACCACACCATCAGAACACAAGTTACTATAGCAATTAAAATAAACATGAAATACCTTGAAATGGCCATCACTATTTATGGATGGTTTATGTAAAAAGTATAAAAAGAGTTCCTTATTTTCCTCAAATATATGTTTGGCAATTGAAAACATTTATCAAAGTCATAAATTTCATAACTATTATAATAAATGAACAAAAATGAAGATTCAAACACTGAAAAGCTTTGATGAAAACGTTCAACTGCCAAACTTATGGAGGGGAGTGTAATTTGTTAATATAATTTTTCTAATGTATTTCCAGAACCTAACCCACTTTCAGAAGCAATATAAAAATGTTATATAACTGAACTGTGAACACATATCCTGCTTCTAAAAATGACAATTTATTGATATTTTAAAAATATCATTACACCTCCAAAAAGCAATATAATACAATATTTTGATTTTGTTTTGTGTTCTTCAGTCTTCAACCCAGTCTTGGGTAATACATTAAATGGTAATAAACTGCATTGAAAACAATGCGAACACTGACTGAGCAAGTTGACCTATATAATAAAGTGTGTTTTGACTATAGAATTTGAGACTTTTTCATAGTACTCTATATTTGCAATGGAACAACCATTTTTATTGAAATTTTAAAGATTTATTCTAGAGACAATTTCCAACATGGAAAATAAATATTTTAATGAAATTCCTAATTTCAAGATTTTTATCGGCTTTTTTAAAAAAGATGCCACTGTCAATAAAATACAGGTTTTTGCTTGAACAATTGAACTTATAACGTCATTCTAAATATTGTCTTGGTATAGAATTTTCGGCCGCCTAAAGTCTTTCCAGATATAATTGTTGCCATATTAATAATCATGGCTGATTATTGTTATTCACTTTAGTCATATTCAATATTATTACAGTGCATTAGACCAATCTTGTTGCTCTGGGTCTCATTTTGTGAAGCGTTCCCTACATTAAGCCCAGATTGAGGAGGTCAATCTTCTTGTCAATGGACAGGAGTTCAGCCTGATCAAACTGTTCAATACTGTCCAAAATGAGGTAAAAATCTCCAACTTCAAGTGTTTCTGGCATTAGATCCTTCAGAGATGTTAATATAGCTGTGTCACATTCTATCATGGAATTGTCAGGGAAACTTGACATATTCAAAGCATTGAACAATTAGCGTGCAACAGGGTTGCATGCTGAGTGACAGCAGCGGAAAAACCCAGTGGCGGAAAAACCAAAGGTGCGTTATCCGAGGAAACTTGGCCCAGAGTGACAAGTTTTCCATTGGCCTAATGTACTGTAATAACATTAGGCCTATTGAATATGATAAAAATGAATAACAATAATCAGCCATAATTAATATGGCATCAAATACATCTAAAAAGACTTTAGGCAGCCAAAAGTTCAATAGCTTGACAATCTTTAAAATGACGTTAAAAGTTCAATTGTTCAAGAAAAAACCTGTATTTTATTGATAGTGGCATCTTTTGGAAAAAAACGATGAAAATCATAAAACTTGGAAATTCTTTAAAATAATTATTTTCCATGTTGGAAATCGTCTCAAGAATCAAATACAAAAATTTCATTAAGAATGGTTGTTCTATTGGAAATATAGAGTAAAAACACAACTGCATCATTCAACCTGTCCGGGGTACTATCATATCAGGATAAGCAAATAGGGTGTTTTAAATTCATATACACGAGCCACGAGTCATCTTAATAGCAAACATATTTTACAGAAAATAAGCAATGTATGATCCATACTATTATGTATATATATGCAGTAAAACCTGTATATCCAAACCTCTCTAATTTGAGCACCTCTCAATGTGAACATGTTTTGTTTGTTCCATTTTTTAATCTTGCAACACTTGCCAATCTGAACACCAGCCAGTCCCAGTGGCGATTGAATAAGACAAGTTATGCTGTACTCTATTTCGCAAGATTTATGGAAGATCATTTGGTTTGCTGTTTATACAAGAGTTTCAAATCCAGAGTGTAACATCAACACTGGCCTTGAATAAGTACATTTCCATCTGGCCCAGATTTTTGATTTTTTAACCATGTTCAAGAAAACATGACTGGTCCATAATTCAAGTATGGCCAGGTCTGAGATCCTTATGACACAACCGATTTGTTTATGGCGAGCAATTAAGTCTTTGAAACAAGCTCAGATATTTTCAGTATCAATGAGGTGTTTTCCTCGTAAGTTTCCTTGTACTTTGTCTTGTTGGTGTGACTGGAGACCCGAGCATGGAGGCTGAAAAAGAAATTGTGAAACTTTGAGAAATTTTTAATTTATTATTCTGAATCCATATAAGCTTGCAACATTAACTTAAGCAAATAGATTGATCTTACAGATTTAATAAATCAGTGGGATACAGTCCTGTAAGAGTCAATGCACACCATATCCATGCACTTATTCTCTTCACTAACATAAGCAGTCAAGTAATACAAGTACATGTAACAACTTTATTTTGTATCTTTAATTCATGTAAAACTGCGTTATTTGACAGACAAATATTTTTGTCAAAATTCATTTTTGATTAATGACAGCCAGTTCATATGTTTATGACATATATTATATATCAAATGAAAGCTTACAGACTGTTGTTTTTAACACATACAAGGGTTGAAGGGTGACATGTTACCTGATTGTTTGGGTGACTTTGCTGGTGTTAAGGCTGGTTTCTTTACAACAGGCTCTTCATCGTGATTGCTTGCTGATCGCTTCATTACTGGTGGTATCATCCCTGCAAGCAGAGCATTTAGATGTTACATGCACGTATATTTTTATTTTCTACTTTAACTTATAACATAAAATTTTACACATAACATACAATATTACTTCTCTGTCATATCACCAACTCTCTGATTGGTCTATGTCATACTTGTGACCCAAATATAAGAAGGTGTATTTCCTAATCAAGCGTATGAAGTCATTAAAAAGGCAAATTCACCAGGCTTATATCTAAGAACAATTCTAAGTAGTTCTATTACTGGTCCTTTAATACTCAACATATTGACAGTTTAGGTATCATTCCAAGAAAAATGGACATTAATAAGATCAATAAGATCAACAAATGATCCACTAACATGCACTTCTAAAAAAGAAAGCAAATACTTTCAAGATTTATTTCAGCAGCATTTGGTTGTTAAAATCTAAGCCCTACCCATTTTTCGTTCAATCTCAGCTAGTTGCTCCTTGGCTTCTTCATATTCACGTTTCTTTGCCTGTTCATCTGGTTGCTTCTGCTTTTCCAGCTGTTCTTGAAGCTCATTGGTTGCTGAGATGTTCCTCTCCATGGCATTGCAATAGTCTTGTAAGGTATCTGAAAAAAGTCAATGGGAGCTAAAGTATATGGGATAGAGTATATGGGATAGAGAAGGCAGACAGTGGTTGGTTGCTTTGTAGTGCATGGTTTCCAAACAGTTATTTGTTTCTGGGAATGTTATAGCTCCAAAGAGACTGAATCCTGAATATTACCATTATTTGTACATATTAGTGATACAGATCTTAATGTGGATCCACTGATTGATATTATGTCGGTGATCAATTCATAACAAATTGCTACATAATGAACTCGCTCCTAAATTTTTTACAGTTGAGAGTACTTTTTACCACAAGCATTAACGGGACCCCTTAACAGGATCTATTTTATTCTCTGATTATCTAAGGTTTTCTTTTCATAGCTCCAGTACATGCGTGTTCCTAGTCTGACATGCCTACCTATTTGTGTGCAAACTGCATGGTAGGCCACTGGTAATGGTTCACTGAATACAGCCCCCCTTAACTTCTCTATTGCCTACCTATTTGTGTGCAAACTGCATGGTAGGCCACTGGTAATGGTTCACTGAATACAGCCCCCCTTAACTTCTCTATTGCCTACCTATTTGTGTACAGACTGCATGGTAGGCCACTGGTAATGGTTCACTGAATACAGCCCCCCTTAACTTCTCTATTGCCTACCTATTTGTGTACAGACTGCATGGTAGGCCACTGGTAATGGTTCACTGAATACAGCCCCCCTTAACTTCTCTATTGCCTACCTATTTGTGTGCAAACTGCATGGTAGGCCACTGGTAATGGTTCACTGAATACAGCCCCTCTTAACTTCTCTATTGCCTACCTATTTGTGTGCAAACTGCATGGTAGGCCACTGGTAATGGTTCACTGAATACAGCCCCCCTTAACTTCTCTATTGCCTACCTATTTGTGTGCAAACTGCATGGTAGGCCACTGGTAATGGTTCACTGAATACAGCCCCCCTTAACTTCTCTATTGCCTACCTATTGGTGTACAGACTGCATGGTAGGCCACTGGTAATGGTTCACTGAATACAGCCCCCCTTAACTTCTCTATTGCCTACCTATTTATGTGCAAACTGCATGGTAGGCCACTGGTAATGGTTCACTGAATACAGCCCCCCTTAACTTCTCTATTGCCTACCTATTTGTGTACAGACTGCATGGTAGGCCACTGGTAATGGTTCACTGAATACAGCCCCCCTTAACTTCTCTATTGCCTACCTATTTGTGTACAGACTGCATGGTAGGCCACTGGTAATGGTTCACTGAATACAGCCCCCCTTAACTTCTCTATTGCCTACCTATTTGTGTGCAAACTGCATGGTAGGCCACTGGTAATGGTTCACTGAATACAGCCCCTCTTAACTTCTCTATTGCCTACCTATTTGTGTGCAGACTGCATGGTAGGCCACTGGTAATGGTTCACTGAATACAGCCCCCCTTAACTTCTCTATTGGCACTGCCTTGTTCATCATCCCTCCAAACTTGCCATTACTGCGTACTCGATCTCCAGTTCTTGTCAGTATAGTGGGACAGTGGGTGAACTTGACTATCTGCAATTAGGAAATATAAGTACACAATTGTGAAACATAGTACAAGTTGGTGATTATGCAAGAGATATATTCGGATCAATTTTGGGAAAAATTTGGAATCAGGTCAAGCTTTTAAGATGCCACTTACAGAAAACATTATGGTACTTCAAAAAAGACACATTTCGAATGGAATTGGAGGATTTGAAATGTATGAGTATTTCACCCATGCAAGGTAATAAATGAGATTTGAATACCTCTTGTCTGTATGAGTTTGCATGATCTAGGGTGTCCAGAATGAGTGTGTCTCCTAACAGCATACCAAAAACTGAAAGAACATATACAAGCCTATATCATCTAATTGCAATGTCTAGCTTTATATCCACAATAAAAGTAAGAAAATACAAGGCATTAAATGTTACACCTTGGTGTTTTTTTGCAAATGGTTATAAAAGTGGAATTACAGATGTCTAAATACAGACACGAAATTCAAATCCCTACAAATGGCTATTTAACAATATGTGACCTTCTGTTTTAAAAACTTATGGTTCATGCATACAAATCATTCATATGAGATCAATTGATTCAGAAACAAATGTGAACAGGACTTACCTATTCTACAATGTTCCTCTTCCAATGGGAACTCTAGGAGATGTCTTGCATAAACAGGATGTCCAGGGGGTTTCCAACCTGGCTTCACTTTGCTGTGAGGCATCGGTCTACAACATTTATATTATCATATCCTTATGTGTATATTTCAAAGTTTATGACAATGGATAAGACAGATAATGTGTTATGTGTTGAGCTGACAGTATCAGTGAGTAAGATGTGATAACCCTGATTCCCTACCGATCTGAATTGAACTGGGTGAAACAAATGAAGATTGGAAGTGCATTGATGATACTGAAACAGCTAATGTAAAACAAAAGCCTCTAGAATTAAGCGTCACTGTCACTCATACATCATTTCATTCTAACTGATATAATAATCCAATTGTATTACCTGTTCCAATCTGGCACATTTTTCTTGTAAATACTGTCAATGGGAAGCACCTGTTGTTTGCCATTGGAGACATTGTAGATTTCCTGCAACACAATAAAATAGAAATATCCTTAAATATAATATGGTGGCCTCATATCTTTCTTGCCTAGAAAACATTTAAACATAAAAGTAATCTGGCTTTGTAAGGTTGAGTACTTCCCTTTATAGCAGAGAGGAACAACATATCTCAGCTAAGTGAAGACAAAATTGTAACTAAAATGCTTTATACTGGGACCTAATTGAAACTATTTTCCTGTTTAGCACAGCTTCATTAAACGCCATCAAATGCCAAGCAAACGAAAAGGGATTTACAAGTTCACATCTACAGTCCCAGAATGAACCGAACACTGCTTTCAACTAACCTTGGCTTTTTTCGTGGTTAATGTGACTACGCAGTCCATGTCTGCCGACATGTGCCAGGACAACACACGAGCTATTGCAGCATCTTCTACCTGAGCAAGGTGAGCAATCTAAAACATAGAATATGTAATCATTATAATAAGGCTTCTACGAAACAGTGATATAGTACACTCCAACAAGTTGATATCACTGAACAAGTGACAGACTGTTTACTCCTATTTACTTACAAATTCCTGCTGTTTAGAATTCAAAACTCAGAAAAATCTCATAACATTTTTTCCAATACAGTTTACAGAATATATAAATAAAATCGAAGAAGATGACTGACCTTTCCTAAAACCTCTTTATGTTTAGGAGCTGGTTGCAGTCCACACATTCTACGAGGCTTATCTAACATGGTGTCTCGCTCAGCTGTCCGTGTTGCTACCAGACCCTTTACTGTATTTGGCTGGAATATTGTAATCACTATGACAATTGTTACGCTGCAGGCCCGTAGCCAGGGGGGGTTCGCAGGGTTCGGGCGAACCCCCCCCCCCTGGCCAAAAATTCTTTCAAAATCATGCAGTTTTTCACCATTTTGAGCATTTCTCAAGTGATTTTAGCCATATTTGGGCCAAAATTGTCAAATGTGAACCCCCCTGGAAATTTTTGAAAACTGAACCCCCCTTGGCAAATCCTGGCTACGGGCCTGCGCTGCTAACACATAAAATTTGGTTAGAAGTTTGAGAACAAGTTGCCATGACAAAGCATTGCCATGCCTATTTTCTAAAACATCCAACTATTCTGACTTTATGTCAGGTTAATCCTATGATGTTTGATGTTACCCGAAAATTGAAAAGGTCGACGTTTTTTCAATTTTAAATGATTTGACCGTAAGTAAATATAATGTTAAATCTAGTAGACTGTAGAATACTCACAGAAGCAAGGTGAGAAACAGGAACATTCTGTTTACGTAACTCATTTCTCAATCTTTGTTCTTCTAGGTTAGCTTCATGCTTGGACACTACAATACACATAAAAACAACATAACATATGATTGTAATGTAAATGCTGAATAACATTACAATGTAAACATAACATAAAATTGCATGATATAAATGTTACTCAGAATATTCTTATGTAATATGAATAAAGCATCAAAGTTGAGATTTCGGATGGGATTCTTTATGAGACCGAACAAATTCACTAATATGCACTGTATTAAATCCCAGCATGCATCATTGCTATAGATCATAGTTGACATCATAGTGAATTGTTTCTAATGCTACAGCAACAGTATTCTATAACCACCTACCTGTTAGCTCATTGACAAGTTGTTCGGCTGTTTCAAACCATGATCTATAGGCCTCTATGGTGTCTTTTAAAGTGTCCCTCTCCTTACTAAAGGAGGCCATCTGGCTCTGTTTCTTCACATCTTAAATACACATACACATGCTGCATGATTAATAGGCCAAATATTATAATAATATAATGTGACATTTTGAGAATAAAAGAACACTAATCTGATGTGTGCTTTGTGACAAAAATATGAAGCTTCTGCTAAGTGACAACAAGTACATTTAAATCACAGTATGTTTCTCTCTGATAATATATAACAAATACAGTAAAACCTTTATATATCTGAACACCTCTGTAATGGGAACATCTCTCAATGTGAACACTTTCTCTGTATTAATCTCCCATTGGCTTCTTTGTTAAAGAAACCTTGAAATGTGAACACCTGTTATTCAGAATACTTTTGGCTGGTCCAAAAAGTGTTCAGATAAGACAAATTGGGTTTTGCTGTACGTTAATCATGTTTTCAAATTAATAATAATCAACAAAAGTACATCACATAGCAATTTCCAAATCTTAGAAACCATCACTATATACTTTATTATTCATTCTTACGAGAAGTAGATTTTTATGTCTAACTTGTCTTCTAATAGGAAAATCGTATATTTCCTGAAAACATTATAGTGCAATTACACTATTTAAACAGTTTATTAGGAACAACATTGATGCGTAACCAAGGTAACCTCCACAACCCAGCAACTCAAAGGCCTACATACCCATAAATCATTTTATTAATCTTTTAATGAAACACTAATACATGATAGTATTGGTTCAGCATAGTTCTATTGATTATAACTAGCTACAGTTATATGATTTCTACATGAGACTTTATATAAATAATTAATCTCGTTCCAATGTCTTTTAATTATTTACGATGGGGAACTAAGACTTGAAAGATGCCGAAGGGAGTGGTGAGCACATTAGCAGATTACACAGATCAAGATTTGTAAGGAACACATTTGAATAAACAGCTTATAAGTGAAATTCTGCTTTCCCTTGGATTACAGTTTACAACTGAACTGATGTTAAAAATATCATGAAATTTTGGAATATCAAGAGTTGAATGGAGTGCACTTGCAATAGCTATGGATGACAGGTATAAGTTTATTGTTAAAATAATGTTAAAAAGTCATCTGTGGCTTTCTCTCAAGAGTCAATGTAAACTCTTTAAAGTTCACAACTGCACATGTTAAATGATGTAAAGTAATAAAAAAGAATATAGAAGTTTTCCATTGTGAAAGTTGAAATTTCAAAATTAGTGCACTATAGTTAGATATACAAAAATGTCTTAGAATTGGTAATATGTATGGTATGTTTCTAGAAGTTTTTAATTTTCATGAAATTGATAAATAATATGGGTCATATACTTATATATTATGGAAGGAAACTTTCTCAAATCTGAGTTCTTTGAAATAATAACGCCAATCTTACAGCATGCAACAAGCTAATAGAAATTAATTAAAATGGAACTAAACAATTCCCATGTGGATTGTGCCCATGAATATTTCATATATGGTTCATTCCTATGCTATAGAGTTCTTCATTGCATATAGGAAAACATCGGAAAAGTAAACTGGTGTCAAGGCAGAATGATTTTTCCTCGGTAGCAATCAATGCATCATTCCTATGTTATTTTATTTGAAACACGCTTCTTTTGAAAAGCAGCTAAAAATATCGGATATACAAAGATGACATGATGTGAAATTGATTAGCCCTGCTTACAAGTCACATGACCTGCTATTGATTTGGTCATGTGACATACACAAGGTCTTTAATAGGTTCAATAACTCCAGGAAGTTTCAAGTAGTACTCACTGGAATCAGATATGGATAAACTTGCGTTAACCTACTTGTTTGATATGGAACTCAGAGCAATAGGTAATATAAGGTACAACATAGGATCAATTAGGTGAGAGACTATTAGAGATGTACCCTGCATTCAGATTCCAGTCAATGTAGATATTTTCAGTCATCATCACTTATGTTTGGAATATATGGAATAAATAAACAACAATCACATCTCACAATCACGAGCTAAAAACATTAGGGGTATCAATTTTGTCCCCTCTTGAAAGGTAATGTAGCAGTTTAATATTCAAAATATTAGCCAACAGTAACTCAGTTGACTTGCAGAGGTAAAATGGTAGAAGAAAGTTCAATGAAAGAATTAAATGGACCAATGTATCCTGGATATCATACCCAAAGTTCTAAAAAATAATTAAACATTCTATATTAAACCATAAACATGTTAAATTTCTATCTGAGACAGCTGGTGCATGACATTCCTTTAGACAACAACACAGATATCGCTTCATGCAAAATCTAAATATTCTGTCTAAACCACACAATACAAATCTCAAATTATTCTGATTAATTGCATTATCAGATAAATAAATGGCAACACATTTTTGTTGGATCAATACTCTGTATCGCAATTTCATTAATTTGCTCCTATTAACTAAACCTGTTCATTTGCATTGATAAATTGCAGTGGAAATCAATATTAACAACATGGTTTTTATCCTTCACAAAAGAAAAACAAAATATATCAACTTTCTTCTATCATGCTCATTCATGTAACCTAATCCTAACCTAATCATACCTAATCCAAACCTAATCAAACTATCATCCGAGGTTCCACTATTGGAAAATAGATATTATGATTGTGCCTTTTTACTTAGAATAGCTTGTAGGCATCTTTATCCTATACAGTGACTATCTTTGTGCATAAGCATACATGGATTTGCATAGAATTACAAAATTTGTATACAGCAGAATGATTTAAAATCAATTTTCAGACTCTGCAGATGTTACATTCCCTTAAATAAACTTAGAATATATTAAGAATCCTAATGTTCACAATTATGGGAGATTTATAGACCTTTATATACATCTACTTTTAATTAAGGTCAAACAAAATCGATAAATAATCAATTCCATTTTCAAAATAACAAACAACACTGCGTAGATGAGTATGACTAACATCTCACTAGTTACATGTTATGTATATATTTATTTAAATTCTCTGATTTGTACTAATATGGCTTAATAGGACAAACATATGATGAGGGATTAGTGAGGTAAAGCTAACATTCTGAGCAATGATATATTAGATTATTGCAATTAAAGCTATGTTAGTTATCCTATATTCAAACATATTGCTTAAATGTTTTTCAGATAACACCAACTGCAAACTAACATGATGAGCAACAAAATGCTAAAAGAAGATGATTTTGTAAACCAACCACATAAATATTCTAAAAGAAGAATTCTGATGAAGACAATGCTTATGTAAACTGTATCACTCCTAGCAAGATAAACCAAAGACAAGTATGGCTGGAGAAATCCCCTATATGCTTGGACATATGGATGATTATAGCGGTCAAAATGAGATGATTAAGTCCCCTAGGACCAACCCAAGGAGGATGAGAATTCATGTCACGCTCAATAAAGAAGGATTGGTAGAGCTTAATCTAGCTCATCGCGACTTCAGAGAAGCTCCAAAGGAGATTTTCAATTTCTCACGTATCGAGATTCTGAAACTGCATGGGAATAAGATTCGGTTGTTATCATCTGCAGTGTCACACTTGCACCATCTAAAAGTGCTGGATCTACATAATAATGAGCTGATATCTCTCCCAGATACAATCACAAACTGTCATTACATACAGGAGTTACACCTACACAATAATCACATCACATCTCTTCCAGCACGTTTCTCAAACTTCAAGAATCTACATACTCTCAATATTTCCCATAATCAATTTGAGAGCATTCCTCATGCAGTGGGAGAGTGTCATAACCTCAGGTATATTAACTTGGAGGGGAATAGACTCTGGCATCTACCATTCTCCTTGCAGAGTCTTAGACATATGAAGCATATCAACCTCAGCTCCAACTTGTTTGAGGAAATCCCATTCTGCGTATGTGCAATGAAAAATGTAGAAACTCTCAATATGAAAAATAACAAGTTGTTGAATGTCCCATCTGAAATGGGAAACCTGAAACACCTTAAGGATCTAAATATTGGAGGTAACAAAATGGAAACAATACCACCAATAATCTCAACATTGAAGAATCTCCATGTATTAAACATAGCAGATAATAAGTTAAGATATGTGCCACCCAGGCTGACGAAGTTAACCAAGTTAGTGACTCTCCAGCTCCAAGGGAATGAACTCCTGGCTCTACCAAATAACCTAGAGTCATTAGAATACCTAAACATTGCGGACAACAGAATGAAGCATTTCTCAGTGAACAAAATGAAGAGGCTATCATACCTAAATGCAAACAATAATGACCTAGAAAGCATGCCTGTTGGTATATATAACCTGCCTAATTTAGAGAGATTGAAGCTAAATGGGAATCGCATATCATACATATCCCAGGATATCATACTGCTGAAAGACCTGAAGACATTAGACCTGGGGAACAACAAATTAACCAGCTTACCTCAAGTCATTGATGAATTAGACAACCTTGAGTTTTTCAACATTAAGGGAAATAAGGTTGAACACAGAGGAAATGTGATTAAACTTACAGACCCCGACACTAATGATATCAACTCTATTAAACCAACACCAAGATCTCATTGTAACATTGAAGTCCCAGATGAATCAAGACCACCAGAACAGAACCATATTCCTGTAAGTGACAGAATCCACTCACCATCTGAAATACCAGATAGCGTTTATGATGACGCTGATTCAGATGGACAGGGTCAGGTTAATAATGCGAGAAGACCAAGTTTCTGGCAGAAAACTCTCTCAAAGTTCTTCACAAGGAACAGGTTAAGGAACAGCAATCCTGGCAGCAATGATAAGAAATACAAAGATGAGATTAACAAATACTACAAGAAGTATGACAACCATGGGAAAAATCAGCACCAAAAGTAAGTATACTGAGAAGAAACAAATGAAAAATGAAATGCAGTGTTTTTCCTAAATAGTATTTTTCAAATGGGTAAAAAATTCTCATGTTTGTAATCCCAACCAAACTTTATCTTGAGTATTTTCAAGTGAGCATAAATTGATTTTCAGATTGGTGCAAGCCTCTTCAAAATCTCAAGTGGGTTGAGCACATGCTTTAAAATTAAGAAGATCCCTGCTTACATTTGAAGCATCCGTATCTATTACCTTATTGGGGATCTAAGTTTCTGCACCATTTGTATAATGATTGTACATGAATAAATAACTACTATAACTCTGCTACAATTACTTTTGTAGAACACCCAAGACTGGTAGAAAAGGCTATGAGAAGAATGACCACGCTGCTGCCCATAATGGTGTGAAACCCAAACATAATTTAGCCTTGGCAGCACATAACAGCCCTGACAGTATTGTTAAACCTCAATTCTACAATGACAATGAGACTGTGACATCATCGCTGATGGCCACAGTTAACAGTTCAAGCTCACAGTATAGAAGAAGACAGGTCAGTTTAAAATAAAAGAGTTATTAAAAAGCTATAGGGAACTGTAGTACTTTATTACACAGTTTATATCAAATTACGATTTAAAACTTGGATGATCAAATTCTTCAATTATTAGTATGGATTCAATCTCTAAAATCTCAACTCTAGATTCCATGAAATAAAATATGGACCAATCATGTTTTTTAGAAAATAGAAATGGCAAGGAATAATGAGCCAGAAATGTTCTTAAATTGTGATATATGAAAAAGATGCTCTCTGACTAGGAATCTCACAATCGCATATCTGAACAAATCATATAAGTAGTATGCTGTACATGAAGTTATAAACATGGATGATGCTATATTGCACTGTCTGAACCATAAATTAAGTTAATTAAAAGAGCCAACAATAAAATATCTGATTTGTTCCTCACTAAGGAAAAAGAGAAACTCAAAGATTCTTATCCTTGAAATGAAATATTGTCATTTCTGATTTAAGGTGAAAGAACGTTACCTCATGGAGCAGAGAAGGCGCCAGAATGAGCATATAGAGCAAGATCTACAACACCACCACAAACTCAGTCAACATGACAGACATTCATATGGATTCTCAACCAAGCCAAGCCCAGTCTCCTTATATACTTCCAAGCCAGATTTGGATGAATCGACCATACCCCTTAAAACCTTCCCATCCAGTACAACCTATAGCAACAGACAACTGGTGTCATCTCGATCCAATGGTGATCTCAAATACAAACAATACAAAGCACACGCTAATGGTGATATAAGGCACAAACAACCCACAGCTCAACATAATGGTGATCTCAAGCTGAAACATAGATCTAAGTCAAATGGTGATTTGATGTATCGTTCAAATCAATTCACACCAAATGGCGATGTACATCATAGGAATCTTGCCTCATCTCTGGCTGCCAATGATGGGAGTACAATACGCCACAGTGAGGCTGATATCACAGATATAGACACTGAAAACTTAGTTCCTGATTACCCAACTGGTAGGAAATCACATGCAATGTATTTTCCAAAGCACAAGCAATACATGGACATGGCTATTGACAGGCATGGACACTACACTCATGGTGCAATACAAAGTGACACTGAATTGGAATACACCGACACAGCATTCACTCTAAACACATCAATGACTGATATCCTTTCTCTTGATCCTGATCCCCTATCACACCCCACCAAACCCCCACAGAGTTCAGACTTCAGAAAGTCACCAAGACCAGACTATATGATTGATGAACAAGAACGATTGGGTTACCATAGTGATGGTAACCATAGCAATCCACATAGATCACAATATCTCCAGGATGAACCATCAAGACCAAGTTATACTGAATCTACAACACCAAGGGCTGCAGATTATCTCAATGGAGGAGAAAGGGTTGTTAAGGGTACTGACTTTAAATTACTGGGTGTATGTAACCAAGTGGAGGCATTATTGAATGAGGAACTACTTCAACCTGTCATCTCACACAAAGGATTATTCAACAAAAAGTAGGTCATTTAATTGTTGCAACAACAAATATAGAACTTGAATCAAGCCAAATATTTCTTTAAGAGAAACAGAGGACCCAGTCTTGTAACCAATGATGTGGTAAGAGATCAAAAATCCTCAGTAAAATGAAAAAGACAAATGGCAACATTTGAAAATGAAACAATACAAACCCCTATTATATAAATGAACATGTCAACCAATATAAAATGTCACTTCTTCCATGAAAAAATGTAAAATGCATACAAATCCCATATTTAGAGTTGGGCAGAAGAAAATGTGTATTTATTTCTGTTTCTAGTTTTATAGATGGGCAACCACAGAGCCCTGACCATGGGGTCATCTCCCCTGATTTGGAGCGCAGGAAACAACATAGCAGGTTTGGAGGCCTACACAGGCTTAAAAAAGATTGTTACTATGTGACCAATGTAGGTGGGGTGTATAGGTCCAGGCATGACCCTAACATCAGGATCACATACCCAGTAAGGGCTGTATTGGATCACGTTGAACTCACTATGCAGGTAATCCTACAATTCTTAAATCATTTCTTCCTATACTAGTACTTGTATTGACACTTTGTATGGCTGCATCAGAAGGGAATATGGTGATCTCACTGGCATTGAACCAATATTGGATGCGTGACTTCTTGCATTTACTTGAAACTCAACTTGCAACCTTTTAGTTTGATTGATGACACAAATATGCCTCCTATTATTTATTCCTTCAACGTTTTGCTCATAAGGCTGATATAAAGATGGCAGCAGTGGTAGAATCTTATTATATTCTCTACTAAAAATGAAAAATCTGTAAACCAGATTGATTGCATGGCCATCTTTATTTCCAAAATTATTTCTATCGCCTTTTAGCCTATGATAATTGTTGTTCCAGATTGAGAGAGTGGATCAAGAAGTTGTATTAGGAGCTAAGAAAACCAGTGCTGTTATAGACAATATACTTAGTATAGGAGACATTGTACATATCACACATCAGCCAGATACATCATTCATGGAGCCCATCACGCTGATGATCCCAGCACCACCTATAGCCCACAAGGGGAGGCTACATGTGGTCAGATACAACAGAGATAACACAGTGGTCCCGGCCCAAACAGGATATAGAATGAGGAATGGTTATATCATGATACAAACATGGCATTTCTCTGGGTAAGTTGGAATGTTATATTATAACTACATTGTTTGATCATTACACACTCATATTTGAAGCTTTAAGAAACATTATTTTTTTCCAAAATCTTATTTTGTCCAAAATTTTAATGAAAATCTTCCTGTGGTGATATAATATGTATGCCCAATCAGCCATATCCAGTTTGCTGCTGAAATTTTTTGAAAAAATTGCTGTCAAACATGTCCAAATACTGGATAAATAATTCTATTTCAATTACTAAAATTCATATATTTTCCACTCATCAAACTGCAAGAAGACACTACTGATATTATTAACCAGACACTGACTGATATGAATTGGATATGTATGTGTATTACATACCTAGCGAATCATTTGTATGGAAGGCAATGGAGCTGAAGGTCGGCTATATATTCCTGTACAGCCGCCAAACTTTTTTACCATGACAATCTAATGACGTCATGTTTCACTTTGTCCAAATTTCACTCGCAAACGGACGTGTGATGTCATTGATATAACGTAGCCATGGAAATAAAGGTATGTAATACAACAATTATGTCCGTATCATTGAATATATGCCTTCGGTCTGTCGTAATATAGCCCTCGCAAGCTTGGGCTATATTGATAACAGACCTCAGGCATATATTCAATGATAGGGACATAACTGCTAAGTATAGAAGTAACCTTTTCCAATGTTTCTACATCTCAATAACTTAATAAATGTTTCAGATATGGTGCTGTGCTAACAAAGGAAAAATGTAAATACAAGGCATGTAGATCAGTAGAACAGTTTTTGAGATATTGTTACCTGGAATAGCCATATGAACTATTGGTGCAGATGGATTTTATATCTTTCAACAGGGCTATGAGGCTAAACACCACTTTACATAGTTTACATACTACATGTATAATCTCCCATACAAATATGAAATAGGTCCATTCTGTTAACTGAGTTAAGAGAGTTTCCTCATGAAACTTTTTGAACAAGCACAGTTAATGCATGTCCTGCAATGATGACTTTGGTCACTGGAGACCAGTAAATTTCACTAAAGGGAGAGAATCACATATGTACATGTATATTCAAATTCAAGTTAAAATGTTTTCATATAACAAGTGTTATACGTTGTATATGAGGACGTTTTTTAATAGCATAATATTGTAATTATAAAGAAATTGTATGTCACATATGAATAAACAATATCTTACACATGATAACACATGATTTTATATGCATCTTTCTCATTTAGCTCAAGTTTTGAACTGATGCTACTTGGTGCCGTTTTAATATTCATTTATACCCAGAAGTACATTATTTGCTATTTATATATTCCACGTCAATAAACTCACTATCAATTTAATATTTTTGTACATATAATATTTATTTACACTAATAAATGAGAAAGTACAGTATTTATGTTTGTTTTATTGCCATGTTATAAGATATGTTTATTTAAATGTCATAGTTTGTATTTTGGAATTAAACTGATGAAAAAAAACAGATGAAAATATGCCAAATCAAAAATTTTTTTTGGCCCACTTGTAAAGCTTTTCAAAATCTTCTCAGGTGTTACCTGCATTAAATATAAAAGGGCCATGCATGCCACAACATATTGCACCAAATGCCAACATTTCTGTTTCAAAGTATACAACCAAGTAGAAAAAGAGACAATTCATCTTAAGTACATACTAATATGATCATTTTATGTACATGTATTACTTTACTTACTAAACAAATACTTAATAAATGTAATATAAAATCAAAATAAAGTTGAAAGCCTCTGTTTCCACATGTTTTTATTATGATGAGAACAGTACTTACTATTGTGGAACTGGAAGGTTGTTTCATAAGGTGGAATGGCTTTATTCTTAGGTATGCTGGCACACTTAACAGTGAAGCGGAGTGTGTATTGGTGGTTATCCTTTCCTGGACTGTTTTCCTCTAAGTAAATATTCTACAAAGTAAAATCAAATCATGTATGCACTATATGTTCCTCACTTCCCATCTAAATCAGTCCTGGGTTGAAATTTAAGTTTCATATGAGATTGGGCCAATACAAACCCCTCTATGGGAACATGTAAAAGAAGAAATTAGGAGAAATGGAATAAAGTGTTTCAAATACACTTTATAAATAAAATGTCTACATATGTGTTATTTGCAATTGCTCTTAACTTTTGACAATTTTCACACTTTAGTCACTAGTATTTTCAACTTCTTATTAAAAATAGCCCTTCAGGGAGGGCTAATAATACATTCAGGAGTTGAATATTGAATATTAATAAAAACATGAAATAATATTTTGGTTGTGTTTTGTTACCAAATAATATGGGTCACCCATATATTCAATCATGTGCATGAAAAATGAAATTGGCATACCCAACCATCTCTCTATATTATCAAAATACCATTCTAACAGTTTTTTCATGTAATTCAAATCAAAAATCTGCGAATGTTATCAATTTTGGCCAGCCCAAGTGGTGTTTAAATTAGACAGGTGTTACTGTGTTTCCAAATGCTCACCTGTATACATGAAGTCCCCTTGGTCATGGCACATGTGACAGTATTAGACTTGCCCTGGAACAGAGGAATCTCACTGGTCTTCTTGTCTCCTATGATCTCAATGGTAACCGAGCCATCTAAGTCACCACCAACCTGGTTACCATAGGTGTCCTAGAAACAAAAGGTACCTCAGTCACTACATGCGTTTATTCCAAACAAGCTACAACCAAATTCAAAATGGCTGCCAAGTAATTTAACCAGCATGTTACAGACACTGAAATTAGACACCAAATTATGAAAAAAACTTACTTGGATGCTCAATGTTAAACTTTTGAAAACGCATCTCAGATCTTTATTCTTTGCATTGGACACCACTGGCATTCCCATGTTCTCATTGGGGCACAATTTAGCAGGAGGTCCGGGGTTAATATTAATCATGATCTGATTGGTCTGGATGTCAATGTTGCCATCCTGGTAACTGAACACAATACAATGGGGTACTGCTTTCTCAGGGATTTTCCTCTCTCTGAAAATGTAAAAATAAAGTATATCAACTGTTAAACATTACTTCTGCAAGACCTTTTACCCTTCAGCATGTTGCCTAATTAGAATTTCTGATTTCTAAAAAACTGGACAGGATTCAGCCTATAAGCAACAATATTGAAACTAAACCAAACTGGAAGATTGAATTAAGTGAATGATAATTCTTCCTTAATGAAGTCTTCAACCATGGAACATATTGTGAGTTTATTTTAGTAAATGAAATAATGAATGCAAACTAACCTGAACCTAAAGACTCCACCTTCATCATTCCTTCTTCTGGGGTCTGGGGACTGTTTCAAAGCCTGCAAAATTAATATAAGTATTAAATTCAGTGTATGCACAAATAAACACCATTTAACTATCTAGATGAAGAAACTGCAGTCGATTTATTATCCAATGTTTCCAAAACATATGACTTAAAAGTCCTTGATATCTACACAAGTTTAACATTATAATTTATTGTAGGTTATAAAAATCACTTTTGGTCTTCATAAAAACACTTACATATGGAGGGATCTTTTCTGACTTTTGGGCATATGGTTTTGGCCACATGTACATATGTAATGCTGATGTCTTTGCTGTGTTCATAGGAGTGTCATCTTCAGATAGCACCTTTACTACATAATCTGGAAGTTCATTAAAGTATATCAATTAGGATTAGTTACTCCAGTTAGATACGGTTAATCAAAAATCAAGCACTAGTTTACTCCACAAAAGTGCGCAATTATCACCATTCCTATTTCTTAATGTTGCCATATAAAACAAATACACAGTGCGCATTGAAACCACAAGCATATTATCAAATTTGTTCATTACTCGTATAACAATATTTGAAGGAAATCACAGTGATATACTTGTTCATATGTGATGTTTTTTAGACCAATGAGTCACAAAATATGTACAAAAGATCACAATTTAAAATATTCTAAACACATGAAAACTCCATGTAGAAAAAACGAAACATAAAATAAATTGAAACTAACCTGGGAGAACTCCCCCAATGTTGAACTCTACATTCTTGTCATATTCCACAACCAATTCTGAAGGTTTAGATGAATCTGGCTGAATACTTATTCTGATCTTGGGTCCTGATATACAATTTCTTCCTATAAATGCCTTGGGCTGCACTTCATATAGCCCTCTGGAGTAAATGAAGCAACATGTGCATATAAACTGAACAATAAAGTTAAATTTTGGAAATGATTCTGGTAGATTGCAAACAAACTTTGCCATTTACTTGTTGTAAAACAATGTAATGAACAATTGCTTTGATAAAACAAATATAGAATTTCTATAAGATGCAACTATTTTTATGCATTTTGTGCATTTTGAAATGAAGTCAATAACATATCTCAACAATTTATTTCATCAATATAATTTATAGTTTTTCATTTAATTTACTAATACATCAGAGACTATAAACATAATAGAGACTGTGTCTACCTTTTTCCCTCTACACAGGGCTGTCCAAAGTTAGCACAACCTTTTGCATCAGTTTTTAATGGTATGGGCGCAGGAGTCAACTGAAAATTCAATCATAGAATCATTCAAGTAAGATATTGCATGAGCTGATTCATCCAGGTCCCAAAGGGTTAATCATCGATAGACATTAAACTAGTCATCTATAGAAATAGTCTAGCTGATATTTTCATTGATAGATGAAGACAACATTGGATCTTGTCTGTAGTTGTTTTCATCAGTGGAGAGGTTAAGCTAACGATGTTTTTCACAACGTAACCGTGAACGCAAAGTACAAAAATTAACAAAGGAATGTATCGAGCGCTCATAGTTTTATGCGCGCTTAGTCTACTTCAGATACTCTTTCAGCTTAGAGTTTCGGGTTTAGAACGGGAGATTTGGGTCAACGGGAACCATTTTACTCATGTCTATTGAACACTATGCTGTCAATTTTGATTTCGATGCACAGTTGAATTCTTGCTGAACACGATGATGTATGTCATGCATGATTTAGCGCCAAAAATCTTACGAAACGAGCTCGTTTAAAATATGTATTAGAAAACCAGCTATAAAACCGCATCAATGACATACTATAGAATCATTACACGCTATGGTGTAGTCTAAACAAACACTGGATTTGAACGGCTATTTATATGAGAAGGCTACATGAATTTGTATATGGTCGAGTGATATGTACAGGTTCAGTTTCGATTATAAATGCAAATAGCTTAACCTCTCCAGTTTCTCTCAAGTCCTCAGCACAAGCTCCGGGTTAATAATACATGTAAATGTTATCTTTACAATGAGGAAATATTATGAGAGTTTTCAAATATCAGGAATGTATTCATGAAAATAACTTAAACTTACCTCAAAGAAAGATATTATTGATATTGTGGGGATATGCCTGTTATCACATATCAACTTAATTTCATTAAATGGACAAACTTTATGTAGATTACAGTGAGGTATATAATATCCTATTTCGACGTATGAATAATAATAGTTGTAACATCAAACCCCTGGCCTACACCCCCCTACATACCTTGAGGCCGACATCTTTAGCAAGCTGCACTCTTAGGTTTGGTTCATGTGTTGGGTTACCAGATTTGTCAGTCAACTGAACCATTATTGGAGTAGATAACTTCTTGAGATTAGTCACTGATAATGGCTGAATATAAACAAATGGGGCTAAATAATGAAATCTCCACATCATTGTTCAAATACATATACAAAATGTACACTATACAGCATGTGTCACAATTGTTTTAGAACGCTGGATTTAATCGGGAGGTTGTGCCTTTGATTCCCACCAAGGTGAAGTGTGTTTTTTTCGGTGGATTTTTTCACATCAGCCCTTAGCATATGATTCGATCCTTGTTTCAATTTAACTAACTAGACAACTGCTTCTCCAAATAAGGCCTGAAGCGAAATCAAAATGAAATGGAGTTTAGAACTCGCTCTCAGAATATAGAACATTCAGAATGATTAAGTTGTACCTGTTCCATGTTCCAACCAGGTAATATAATCTTGGAAGGTGCTCCTGGCTGCAGCTGAACCCTCACATAGTCTGTTATATCCCTCCAGGTAAATGTCACCTCACGCAGTCCTAGATTACCACCCTCAAATCTTACACCCGTCACAACAAAACAACTGCCCTAAAACAAAATGTTGCAAATTGACGATACAATTGATGCCTGTATGATCATGCGTACATTGCATTTCTTGTATAAATACAATGAACTGAAATGATTTTGATTTTATAATCTTATATGAATTAGTAATCCATAATAGTTTACCTTTGAAGATGTCTCCACCTCAGGAACATTGAGACCATCGCCAGTGACCTCTAGTTCATTGGCAGCCTCTGGGGGGAGCTGCAATATGATCATATCAACTGTATGTATGTAACTGGTACTATGTTATGCAATGTATGTGTTTATTTCTCAGCAACATCAAGACAGTATGGATAGACTATTACATACATCTAGTTAAAGGTTTTAAATAGTTCATAGCAGCAAAAACAATCCTTGTAAGAGTCTGGACTGAGAAATAGATAAGGGAATGAACAAAGACAATATTAAAGTAAATGAATTCAGCAGGACGACTAATATGCATGTTACCAGTAAACACAAAATCATGTAAATGTAACCGTGAGTCAAAGATCTCACTAGTGTACTTTTAGCCAGCCAATGTCAGACTCTTTTGATTGTAAAATTATGCTTTAAATTACTTCATTATACTAGAAATTCACAATACCATCATTGTACCTACCTGTTTTACTTCATTTCCATATTTGTCCTTGACTACTATGTGGATTTGAGAGTTCAACACATCCCCTATCCGGACACTTGCTACACCCCCAACAAACTTGGACTTCATGATAGCAGCTTTACCAGGTTCAGATCTGGAGAAATAAACAGGTTCATATTGTTTTATTTTTGAGGAACTAATTTCATGAAGGCCCAACCCCCTGGCAGGTGTTTATGCATGTTATTTTGTATTTGAACGAATGTAGCAGAATATTTTGGCAAGATCAAAGAAATATGATACTAAACTCTTAATTTAAGAGTGTAGATGACAATACAAGACATGTTCTTCAAAAGATAACTAACCTTATTGTAAATGAGAAGTCAAGCCCTGAACCATCTGTGAAGTTCATATGGCAATATTTGCTGTCGGCACTTGAGTTTGGGACACGAACATCAGGTAAGGTCCCCTTCAGAATAAACTCCTTTAAGTTTTTCAGGGATGTCCAGTTTACCTGTGAGAACAAGTATTACTAAGTAAATAACCAGGGTCATCTATGCTTAACTACTGAAAACCATCGATTGGTGAAAATTTCAATGAAAGATAAGCATATTTTAAACAGGCATATCTCAGGATTTATAACAAAACAAATAAAGAAACGTTTTAACAGACTTTTGATAATATCTTAACAAAACACCTTTTCACTACACATTTTTTCAACTTCATAAATTGATTTACCTTAATCTTATCAGCTAATTTTTTGTCAATATCAATATCCTTCCCTGCCTCATCTTTCACTTTGAATGCTGAAAACAGTGACTCATTTAAGAAGCAAATGACAACAAATTACATATATGTAATCACAATTTGTGAGCAAAGATCAATATCTTATAGAATACTGTAATAATATATTTGATTTGCTTGCCGACAGGCTAAATAGTAAAAGAACATAACTCATTTGAAGAAAAACATTGAAGAAGAGAATATAGAATTTATTATTGAATCACAAATCAGAGAAAATTTACAGCAGTGAAATATCATAGCGTTATAAATTACCAGGAGTACAGTATCATACCGATAACTTACCTAATCCCTTAAGGTAGTCCCCTGCAGTCCGGTGCAACTCTTGGTTATTCTTGATGGCCACAACTTGCTCATCCTCCCCTGTGTAGGTCAGTATAAGGGTAGATGGTCGACTGCTGGGTAACACTCTTAGGATCCTTTCAGTCGGGTTAACACCTTTAACACCCTGCAACAATATTGGTATCAACATTACGATTGGGTCCCTTGTAGTTATTAGCCACCACACCCAGCAAGGTCAACTCATCATTCCCTGGGGAGGGCAGAAAGAGTTCAAGCAAAGAAGAACCAATCATTGGCTCCTTGACAATCAACCTTCCCACTGATTTAATGTTTTTAGTCAATATACCAAATCTAGTTATCAAAAGAATCTTCACCCACCTCTGTTACCAAAGTCACCTCTTGTGCAACATGAATCATATTCCTTATTAATATTTTTTCTTATCAGGTGTATAATTATGGACATTTTGGATAGGTTGCAGAGAAGTTCTAAGACATTTTGTTGAATATCTCTGAAATATAAGCTGATATCATAAACTGAGCTCTGGAATGTTTAGAACAGGGTATTTCCTAAGCGCCGGACTGTCGGACCACACCGACCAATTTTCGTACGGTCCTATAAAAATTGAAAATTACCGGACCGCGTGACCGATGGCTTAACTGGACATGTGAACATACTTTCCAAGTCATGTCCGACGATTGGAAGCTGACTTTTCCACACTATACTAATGACAACTCTGATTAATGCAAAAAATTAAATAAATGTTTCAAATAAATTTTGTTTTCAAGACGAGAGGTAAATTTCGGATCGTTGTTTTGTAATATTGGCAACAGCGTGAAGGTCATGCACAAGGGGAATCCCCTATAATCTTTGACATACATTTATTCTCTTGACTTTTGTCATTAATTTCGTAAACGTAGGACACCTGCGGGTTCCTAGGGGAGCTGAAACTCTGCTTAAAATCATATTAACGATCCTGACCATAAACATTTAATAATTGTTATAGTTTACCTGTTCAAAGACACCAAATCATGTAGATTATAAAGAAATTTCATTTTCGATTTTCACTTCCGGTTTATCGGCAAGGATAATTTGCACAATATAACTCAAATACTGATGGTTATGTGTCAGTTCCACTTCATACACATCTTCTCCAAGGTAGTTGACTTCATGTTCTTTTACTTTGCTTATGTTTTGAGTTGAATTAATTAGCGTTATGTTTATGTATTTAGGATTCCTTAATTGTTATCGCATCCTACGACCCCTTTAGATTGTGGTCGTACGCCGGTATCATTGGTAAGCCTGTCTTTCTACAATGTCGGAGAATGAACGACGCATTGCACTATTAAATGACCTACCTCGATACATTCCAGAGTATTTTAGAATTCTTTTTATGTTGTTAGATCGCCAATTGTATGGGTTTATCGGCAGAACGAAGAGATTTTAGTTTTTACATCGGAAATATATCAGCAATTTTCAAAATGTCGGAAGGGGAATTCCCCAGGGATTTTCCTTATGACTAGTGCATGCCGGGAACTGAATGGAGGAATTTGACGGTTGAAATAAGTTAAATATTACACGCAAATATTGCTATCAAAAACGAAAACCTCTTCATTCTGCCGATAAACCCACACAATTGTGGATTCAACTACACAAAAAGAAAGCTAAAATACCAAGGAATCTATTGAAATAGGTATCTTAAGTGTAAGTAGCGTAGAAAATTCTCCCATGTTGTAATCGTACAGACAAAAGAATAAGACGTTCGCAAGACTAGAACGTAGAGATAGTCTTGGGACGAGATAACCTTAATTGGTGATGAGTTGAGATTTGTTAAACATTTTTTCTAAAAATGTTTTCAACCAAGCGCAAAGCTCCATCGTAGAGGTGCAAACTAGGCGGAGTTAGAGTTACGCTTGGTACAATTCCAAATGAAAGCGGTCTCGGGAGATCATAGTAGAGCCTATATGGCTCTGGTTCTGATTTAGAGTAGAATGACAGTGGCTTATATTATTGATCAGTAGGGCTGTGATGCTGATCTTGAAGGCTTATCCGATGTTTCAAAACTTTAGAGGCATTAGAAAATCCCTTATAAATGCAATTTATTTACGGTCTGATTGATGTTGATACGGACTGGACATGTTTTAAAAGTACAGGTCCGTATGTCCGGCAAACGATGGTACGGACCAGAGATATTCTGAAATCACAGGTCCGTATGTCCGGCAAGCAATTTTTCCTTAGGAAATACACTGGTTTAGAAAGCAGTTAAAGGCATCACACATTTCTCTAGATTTACTAACACCAATAACAGCAAATAAAATTATAAATTAATCAATAGTTCACTTACAGGTAATTCTATTTTTGCTATGAGTTTCTGTTCTCCTTTCATGTGTTTGATTTGTATAGGATCACCAGTCAGAGTGCCACCCCCTGTATTGGAGCAGTCCACTGTATATACTGGGAGACCTGGCACTCCTTGAAACTAAAATAAAATAAAATTGAAATTCGTAATGTGTACAAGTTGGATTTATGTACAAATATTTAAGTAATACTATATCATTCTAAATATAAGTGACATCACAATATATTAATAAATTGTAGAATTTGGGGGTTGATACTATACAATGCATAGTCAAGGGAATTGATTGAACTTATACATTAACGAATACAAACACAATAGAGTATGTATGACTTCTGACTATTTACCTTGCATACAACATTGAGTTTAGGTTGAGCAGTAGGGTTCCCTGCAATGTCTTGTACCTCAACATCTAAAGAAGGGATACCATTATTCTCCAGCTCAATCTCACCTTGTTGTTTCACAAATATCTTACTTGGAGGACCTACAAAAAGGGAAACATCATTATTTTTCTAATTATACTATTAACTAGAAAAACAGCAACTCCATGGAGTAGCAAATCCCACCTAACGAAACTTATACTACTTATACTGTACTTTCTTGTTATTTTAGAAATACTATGATAGAAATTACCAGGAAATAGAAGAGAAGTATTATCTCATTTTTGCCAAAATGAATACTTATGATGTGACATGCTATCATAAAAAATTCTTTTTCTAGCACTTGAAGTTTCAGTACATCTTTTTATTTTAAGTCAGATGTTAGGATTTCTCTTCCCTAATCTATTCTTATTTGTCACCAAGACATCTCTTAAATCTGAGATTAACTCTTTTGACCGGGACGTCGACTAATTCATCCTATTGGTAAGTGCGGGATGTCGACTACAGTCGACTTTTATACACGTACTACGCTAATAAGTTTTTCGTTGCATTTATAGATGTCAGGCTATGTCTAACCTAGTGGATTATGTTTGTACTGGATGAAACATAAATGTAACAGGAAGTTTATCATATTTCGTCACTTTTTCATAGAATAAACCTATGTTTTCTCTGATATTATTTGAAATAAAGAAAAGGGGATTTAAAATGGCTGCTGCTAGAGCTCGAACTCTCATGTGTATTAGGGCTACTGAGGACAATTTTGATCAAATATTCAATGATTTGGACAGTAGAAACGATACTTGATAAAACGAGGTAAAAATTATGATTTAATTTGGATTTTTGGATGGTATTATTTTATTTTTATTATCACATAGAATATTATTTAATTTTATTCTATTTTTCTCATTGATATCATGATCAATGATGTAATTGCTAGTCTATATGCTACTAATATGCTAGTCTATGGTTTGAAATGTTAGAACAATATATTGACAGCATGTACTGAAAATTTCATCAACATCTGATAGCTAGATAAAAAGTTATGACTGTTTGAATAAAATCGGTCAAAAGTAGACAATTTTCAGGAAATTAATTACCGACCTTAGCAATGTAGCAAATTTGCTAATTCCCAGTCGAAAGAGTTAAAGGTTCCATAAATAGTAGAATATTGCATTGGTAAAATCGAACATGAAAATCCACATTTTTGACACACTTATATTATGGATAAATATGAAACAAAAAAAATAATGCAATAAATGGTAACAACAAAGAAAAGTGCATTTTTTATTAACAAATGAGACAGAGTAGATCCGAAATACAAGAGAAATGATTCATTATTACAGTCTGATTCAAACAATTTTACGTTTTTTTTACGAAAAATGGCCACCATTTTGAAATTAAGTGGCCATCTTGAAAATTCATTTTTGAACAAAGCAACTGTGTCCCTAGCCATCATCATATAAAATTTGAACCAAATCCATTCACTGGTATTTGAGTTATCAAAGATTATGTTTTTTTAACGAAAAATTGCCGTCATTTTGAAATAAAGCGGCCATCTTGAAAATTCTTTGTCGAACATAGCAACTGTGTCCCTAGGCATCATCATATAAAATTTGAACCAAATCCGTTCACTGGTATATGAGTTATCAAAGATTACGTTTATTACGAAAATTGGCCGCCATCTTGAAATTCAGCCGCCATCTTGAAAATTATTTCTTGAACAGAGCTACTGTGTCCCTAGGCATAATCATATAAAATTTCAACCAAAACTGTTCACTAGTATTTCAGTTATCAAAGATTACGTTTTTTGCCGCCATTTTGAAATTAAGTGGCCATCTTGAAAATTTTTTGTCGAACGTAGCTACTGTGTCCCTAAGCATCATCATATAAAATTTAAACCAAATCCGTTCACTGGTATTTGAGTTATCAAAGATTACATATTTTTACGAAAAATGGCCACCATTTTGAAATTAAGCGGCCATCTTGAAAATCTATTTTTGTGCGAAACTCCTTTGTCCCTAGGCATCAGCATATAAAATTTGAACCAAATCCGTCAACTTGTATTTGAGTTATCAACGATTACATTTTTTGCGATAAATGGTGGCCATTTTAAATTGAGCAGCCATATTGAAAAATCCTTCTCGAGCAGAGGTCCTACACTCATAAGGCATAAGCCTATACGGACGGCTTCTCTATATCCCCCTCGAACTTCGTTCGGTGGGATAAGAACAGAAAGTGTATTGCAAACAACTTGAGCACAAAAAATAATAAAAATGTCATTTATTTTAAACCAATAGGTCATTGATTAGTAGCCCACCTCCTTAGTTTTTCAGAAATATTTTCCTCATTAAAGAAGATCTTATTTCTCTCATCTTCTTTTATTTCATAAATACAATATATCTCAAACAAGAAGAGATCTAAAAGCTCCTGAAAATGTAAAATGGTATAGAAAGCCTAATTTTAGAGATATTATCCCATTTGAAACAAGGCAAAATCTCACCACCTGCAAATTCGTTACAGACGCCGACCACCGCCTACCAATACTTGTCCACAAAAAGTTGGAGACTATAACAATATGTCACCATTTGTATTAATTGTGATATAAAAAATGGACCGTATGAGTTTCCCCATGGGGAAATAACATGGGATATGTCAATTTTCCATACCCCTTTTATATGGTTAAAATGAGAAAAAGAGATCTTTTTTTTAAATGAGAGGAAAAAACTGAGGAGATGGGCATACTTATCCACAATCTATCAGTAAAATTCATATCGTTCTAATGTAAAACGAGGAATGTGGGGTCCAACAATATTCCCAGTCAAAAAAAATAAAGCTGTCCAAAAATGTTTGCAAATATCCCTCAGCTATTATTTATCATAAAACTCTGAACTCATAACTTAAATGGTGAGTAAAGTTTTACTTGGTGAGTTAATAGTAAATGTTACCTGGTGAGTATAAAAACCCTGTAAAGTATTGCTGCTAGAAATTGGTAACTCCACAGAGTAGCAAATCCTAACGAACGCTATATTCATGAATCTGTTTATGTCACAATATAATATTTACCATATTCTCTACCCTTGATTAAATTGGCAGATATTAGAGATATACATTAGAGATATATCAGAATTTCCGGTTTAAGCATTTGGGTGACCATTTAGGAGTTTCAAAGGCACAAAGACAATACAATATTTGAGATATAGTATAGTAAAATGTAACCATACTTTGGAGAGATATCTAAGTAATAGTGAGTTCATGCTTCAGGCAGTCATTTTGAATTTTCTGAAGCAAGAATCTGAAAAACAACACCATCATTGTCATCTACTCTAAAATTTCTTCAATTTTGGGTATTATATATAGTCATACTTTGAAAAGATCAGAAAATTATTGCGAAATACCAGATTAAGGGGCCATTTTGAATTTTAGGATGTCTGAATCAGAAAAGCAATACAATATTTGCAATCTACTCTAAATTGCCTTTCATTTGAGTATAATAAAGCTATACTTTACAAAGATCTCAAAATTAACAACCCCCCCCCATACATGGCTCCTGAGTCATGCTGGAAAACACAGAATACATGTAAAATAGATAGATGTTGTGAATATACTACCAAAAGGAGGAGGGAAGTTAGCGCAACAGATTTTGGACAGTCATATGTTTGATTTCGGCCATTTCTTGGGGATTTAAACAGGTGCATATGTTAGGCGAATGTGTTACCTCCAGGAAAATCACTTCTAAAGATGATAAAATAATTTCGACTTTGAGACAGGGTAGATGCAAATAACCCACCCACATGTTTTTTCTGAAATGTTTTCCTGATTTTCAACCCCTTCCATCCTTGCTTTTTTAATTTTTCTTGCATCAATATGTTGCGTTTTGACACACAGTTAACCACTTTAAAGGAATAAGTGATTCCTTCAGGAACTTCATTCAGGGAAATGGTATCACACACATACTTATTCCGCCATATCATGCAGCCACAAATGGCGCTGCAGAAAGAAGCGTTCAAATTGTTAAAAGCGCGCTTCTAAAACAAGTGTTAGACGTATCTGACAAACGAGATGTTTCACATAGGCTATCTGAATTTTTGTTCAAATATCGGATCACGCCTCAAACCACTACAAATAGAACACCTGCTGAGCTATTTTTGAAACGTGAACCGCGAACAAGACTAAGTTTGATTAGGCCAAATTTGACTGAGAATGTTGAGAAAAAACAGCATTCACAAAAAATTCAGCATGATAAAGGCAGAAAGAAATTGCGAGAACTCCAAATTGGTCAGGTAGTTTTTGTCAAAAATCCAAAAGGAGGAAAAGAGAAATGGTTACAAGGCAAAGTAGTAAAACGATGTGGTTTGTTAAACTATATTGTCAGTGTGTTAGGAAAAAATCGGTATATTCATATTGATCACATTATCAGTTCTTCGGGTGAGCCTGATTTAGTATCAAAGACTCCTGTCACCAATCTAGAATCATACAGTGATTATGTTGTACCAGTTCAACCAACACAACCAGTTATCTCCCCAGCATCAGTTCTGTCCAATCCAATTCCAGTTATTGAATCACCAAAGGGTACAGGTTGTTCAAACCTACAGTTGTTCACAGGGTTTAGATAATCAAAATCTAAAATCCACCGATCAACCAGAATCGCCTCATACCCGAGTACCAGTTGGAGTTGGCGCTGAAGATACTTCTAGTGGAGATCAGCCGTTACCTCAGACAGAGAAACGCTACCCTACAAGGACTCGCTATCCACCTAAGAGACTCAACTATGAATAGCCTAAAAGTGACTATGTGAAAAGTGCATTATAACAGATGACGATTCAGTTTTTAAAAACAATTACTTTTGTGTTAAAGACAGCAATATGATTGCTTAATTATTATTTCAGCAATACAAGCAAAAACCTGCTTATATGACATTAATTGCGTGTTTTTAGTAAAACATCATCATTAAAGACATTTCTCTAAGGAGAGGAAAATGTAATAACTTGATTGTGCTAGCACTGATTGTGCCATTACCAAAATGTACATATCTGCATATAGTTCTGTATTGATTATAATGTTACCATATTGTACAACTCAGAGTGAAATAGATCAAGCATAAAATGGAGATTACTTTGTGTTTAGTCTATGGCAAATCCGATGCAATCCTACAACCTTAAGATATTAAAGACACGATGAACACCATACACTTGATTCACAGGCATACGTGTATATATTTCGTCCCATTATTTCCACATTGTTATAACTCACTTTTTACAGGTTTTGAGATAAGTATACTATCTTTCTAAATTTTTCACAAGGAATTCATTTCTGAGGTCCATTTCAATGGATTTCATCTCCCTTTGGAGATATCCAGTGCCACATTGTTATAAGTGCAAGATGAGGAAAAAATTAGGCCCACCTTTGAGTAGGCAATCAGATACATAATTTTGATCATGTGATAAATAGTTATAACAATGTGGAAATAATGGGACAATCTCTTACAAGTACACTTTGCAGGTAATTAACAATGAAGATCATAAATCATGACACCATACATGTAGTACAAACAAAAGAAAGCAGATTTGACATTATTTGTAACAAAAAAAGTTCATTCAGTTTACTTAATCAATTACTGACCCTGTTATGGCCTTTTTTTACCTTTGTCGTGTACCTTTTAAAGATCTGGTAGATTTATCCAAAATATTTACAATTTCTCGCACTTAAGTTGTGTTGTTATGGCAATCACTTGACCAATCATTATCAAACTTGGCATAGCAAGTAATTATAGGTATATACATAATCCCTAGAAATATGAATGTTATTGAAGGTATATAACAGAAATAATTGATGATTATCATAGTGCCCCCTCATAAAGTAGCCAGGGGGTATAAATGGCAATAATTCGCAGATGCTGAATAACTAGACCCTATTATTTTCAAAATCAATGAGAAATGATATATTTCACATAATTAACATAATTAGAGAAATGCAATCCTGTAAGCTAAAACATGGACCAAGCTCATCCAGTACCCTTATCAGTCAAAATGGAAAAGGAGTCATATTTTTTTTTATAATTAGATGGGCAGAATAATGGTATACGAGACGATAACAAAATGGAAGTGAATTAAAATTCAGTTTTCAGGGTTATTTCAATATTTCAAAAACAAGAAACCATAAAAAAGATGTGTTTTATTCACCTTTCCCCAAAGTCAGCTCATGAATATTATAATTAGCAAATCTAGAATCTCTGACGTCAGAGTAGGGCAGATCTTCGCGGCAAAATCTGAACCCATTACAAGTCAATGTGAATAGCGACAGAGACGGGCTCATTTAATTGTTGAATTATGGTGAGTACTTAATTATCTGTATCATAAATGTGATGGAATCTCATTCTCGAGTCCAATGTTTACAGCACATTGACCCTGATATGTACTTCTTTACTGTCAACATACCATTGACTTCTGCACTGTAATAATAAGCTTGTGCTATATTTTCTCATAGTGTTAGATGAAATAGATATTAATTGATCAATCAACTATAAAAACGAGTCATATGTATTGGGGGAGGGGGGTAAATTATCAAGGTTTTGGCCTACTAGAGTCTTGCGTACACTCCAGTTAATGAACAAGTATTGATGTACATCCAGCCAGGGAAATAGAAATTAAAATGGGGAGTTTGAACAAGAGGCTTAATTAATTAACTCCAGGGGGGGGGGCTTAAAGAAAACTTTTTCAACTCGTGAATCAGTGCTTGATAATAATTCAATGCACTACCATTTATAATTTTCTTCAATTGATTTCAGGATGCGGCAGCATATCATCAATTTCACATTATTAAACGAACTCGAAAATAAATATTTTGGTGACAGTTCCAAGAATCGCAAGACATGTACATACAAACACATTGCATAGTTCCAAGATGCACCTCATATGGGACAAGGTCATAACATTTGTAAAGGTTTAAGAGAATGATAAAAGAAAGTGGTTAATTGCTATCCATCGAATGGAAGATAAATCATTTCAGTTGAAACCTTCTTGTAAAGTTTGTTCTTTACACTTCACTGATGATGATTTTGAATATCATGGTTTTAGTAAGAAACGTTCCCTGAAAAATATGTTGTACCTCATGTTTTTGATTGTTGGGTAGATGTTCCACATATGAATACGACTAATTGTAGTAACCAGAGAAAAAGAATCTTTAATCGTATGCAGCAAAACAAGGACAATAATCGCAACATTGGAATTATTTAAGATTCGATACCTGAGTCATTTGGTCTTCTTATCCCCAACTGCAACCCTGGCGTTTTTTTTTAAATATAGAACTGAGAGAATATTCACGATGGACGTAATACCTTCAAGGGAGAATTTAAAAATACAAGCTATGATGACTATTCGTTCCTTCAAATTGCATCTAAAATGAATTAATTTTCCACGACCCTAATGCCATACAACAATCCAACGCACTAGAGGCGGTGAGTTTGGAAATTATTTATTAGGTTTGTGCAAGCATGAGAAAAACATCATTAGCCTCTGTTACATTAAAAACTGTTCTTCATATGTTATATTTTTTATTAGAAACATAATCATGTATTTGGATATTTATGTTAAATGAATGTTTCTATAATATGCACAGTCTTGTCTGAATAATTGTTTGTCTTTGGTACGGTAATTGGATTCAATTTATTAGAAGACCAGCACTCATATCAAAAATTATTCCTATGGTTTTGTTTACCGGGTAGTGTATTTAATACACAGCCGAAGACAAAAAAGTCAGAAAAATAAATTTCAATTAGTTTTGATATCATTTTAGATGAGATTTATTTTTCTCATTGGGCGATCTAATAGTAAATGAAGTTTTCGCGCGAAAAGTGCCCTGCTTTGACGTCATCGATTTTCACCAACCAATCAGCGCAGCGGTCAAATGAGTACACTTTGGACTTTGGGGAAAGGTGAATTAATTGTTAATCAGTGATTTTTGCTCTGCAAGGCCTTCATATACAAATGATTACCTATACGAAAAATTAAGTTTTTAAAAAATTCTACTCAAAAGTTATGAAGACCTAAACTTCAACCTCTGCTTTCTCAATATCAGCGAAAATGCAATTGTAACAATGTGGAAATAATGGGACAATTTGCTTACTCATTATCTAAAAAAATTAGAATCCCAAGTGTTTTGAGATAATATTGTGTATTTTGAAAAGTAGGGGTTAAGGCTGGGCTTTTGAGGATTTATTCTGAAGTTTGATTTCACAACATGTCATGATACTTGAAGAAATCTGATGCAATTGTTTGTCATTATTATTTGCTCATGATTATATCAAAAACTGAATAAAAAATATAATGTCATTGGTCCTTGCATAGCCATTAAAAATAAACCAATGATATCTAAGTTAACATTATCTGAGGCTAATATATTTTGGACTTTGAACCCTTTTTAATGTGAAATGGATATACTTAAAAATGCATAGTTTTAAACAGTGTAAGATTACGTTATAGACAGGAAGGGGGTGCTGTCTCAAGACACTACAGGAAGACAAAGACAATGGCAGATAATGATTCTGATGACAATTCACTTTGAATAAGTTACCTTTAGAAGACATTAAACAGCCAAGATTTAATCGACAGAATCAGATGGCAGAAAAGTTAGCCAATGGGATAGTATTTCCAGTGGAAACATGGAAATTACTACATTGGAATCAAGTGATTCCTGATTGGATCAGTATCAAGTCACCTTCAGAAAACATTAAACAGTCAAGATGCCGGCATGTACAATTGGACAGAGAAGCAGTTGATTTCTATGAGAAACATTTTAAAACAAATGAAAACATAGTCAAAATAGTTCCGCCAATTTTCTCTTATAAAGATGAAAGGCCTGAATATGAAAAGCGAGAAACACCTCTGCCACCAAGTGAGGCCAAGAACTATGCTGATGCCCATGTTAAAAAGAGGAAGAGACGTGATTCACAAACAAAATGTGATGAAGCAGAATTACTCATATTTAAGCGATTCGAAAATCTGAACAAACCAATGTTTGTCATAAGAGGAATGAAATTCTCTGATTATTATAGATCATATGGAGAAGAAAAAATGCATAAAGGTGATCATGACTTTGTTGTAATACATCGGAAAGGCATTATGTTCATTCAAGTAAAGTCTTCGAGTAACGTAAAAAACAAAAGGAAGGTAAAATCGAAAGCAAACAAGCAGCTTGAAAAGGACAAAAAGATGTTGGAAGTTATCACAAAAAACATTGAAGACAAAGATCTTGCCAAAGAAATGCAATCCCTGTTGTCAAATGGCTACCATCTACAACTAGTAACTGCAACTCCAAATCTTAATGAAAAGTCAAATACAGTCAATAGTGAGACGAAAAGGCTATACCAAGAAGATGTTGAAAATGACAAGGCCTTCAGTGATTGGTGGGACAGAACCACAGGAGATACAGAAGACTTCCTTAGTGATGAACTGTACAACTTTCTTTCTGCAAAGTAAGTTTTTGTTCTTTTTTATTATAGCATGATTTTCTTTGCTGTGTCCAGTTTGGATATTAATGACTAAAGTAAGTAAATACAGGGCATTCATAAAGTTCTTGCAAAAGTCCTCTAAAATTTCTGTATCTCAGTCAATCGGGCTGAAATTTTCACTCAGTATACCTACACTATTCATAAATTGAAATGCCAAGTTATAATTAATAGGTCCTTGAGCAAAGAAAGTTATGGTTGCTATAGTCACATGAGTCAGGGGTAGGCGGAGCAGGCAAAAAAGGATGTTTTGTTTGAATGTTCGAAATATTTTTAACTTGTCCTTTTTACTTTAATAACAGTATCTCAAGAGTATAGGTGTTCGAAATAGTGTCCATCATGATATATACACCTCTGCTGTCTTATTTACCATTCCTCAAACGGATGGAAGAATCCTTTTGGAAAATTTCTTGCGATTGATCTTTGTATGGATAGTTTTCATTAACGTCATCTTATCCTTACTGGATTTCGTTCTTGGATGGCCTGATCTAGCATTTTCCTTACCATTTGTTCTACCACCAGTAAATGTCTTAGCACATTTTGTAAATGGTTCTTTTGACCATTGCCCCCTTCCCATACACCCTATGAATATCTTCAAGTGTTTGTTTTCTTGAATTTCCCAGTAAACATACATCCCGATGCTACCGAATATTTGTAATTGCAAATCATCACCTTTTGCAGCCATTTTCACAAAAATAAAATTGACGAGGCCTTTCACATAGTCGGATGTCATCAACAAATATTGGTCACTATGATACCATGAGTGATGTTGTGAATCAAAGAAATTTCAACTGTGATGTCATCATATGACATCATCTAGTGTTGATATGGTAACTTTAGCTTGTTTTGTATTTTCAAGGATACTTTAAAGTATGTTAAAGTTACCTCTAACCCATATCTTTTATCTAAATTTTTCTTTTTCTCAATGCTGCTCCGCCTCCCCCTGACTCGTGTTAATATAGCAATCATATCTTTTTATCTTCAAGGACCTATTCATTATAATTCAAGTTACACATTTATGAATAGTGTAGGTATACTTAGTGAAAATTTCAGCCAGATTGACTGAGATACAGAAATTTTAGAGGACTTTTGCAAGAACTTTAGGAACTCCCTGTATTTTATCAGTCAGTGAAATAATCTGAAAAACTTCAGTGTATCTGTTTTACAATCAAGTAATAAATAGGAAATTGATGTCACAGATGGAATAGGAGAGTATGGGATAAACTCCAAAACTGAACAATAGAAAAAATACAATTTATGCAACAGAAATGCATTGAAAAATTAATCCTATTACTGGGTATACTTCATAAAATTCATCAAAATTATGTAACCATTCAAATTTTTTGTAAATTTTGATATCATGAGATCATGGTGTCATAAAGCTGAACATTTGCATGCTTGATTCAAGATTTATAGTGCTTCAAGCAAAACACTCAGTTTCCCCACAAATCAACTGAAACATACGACAGCAATGTTTGCAAGTGAGTAACACCTAAAGGCTGCACCAAGAAATTATTATGAAGCTCAAAACCTAAAGAGTGAAAAGGCACTAGAATCGTTGGAGTCACATGTCCTCTTTGGTATGTCAAGACTGTTATCTCATATAAATGCGGTTAAAAAAGTAAACTTAATGCATGATGGGTCCAACAGTCAATGGTCCTATCAGTGAATTTTTATCAGTGAATGATTAAGTTATAGAGAAAGCATGAGTGAGAGTTGATTTTTTGAAAATAACGGTGAGGCGTTAGCCGAACCATTAATTTCAAAGAATTAACTCTCACGAGTAATCTTTAGTGACCTAAACGCTCTAGTAATAGCCAATTTTCAATGAACTATAGTAAGCGTAGTGAGTGCACTGACCCGTGATCATTTGAATGGGCAATGGTGATTAGTATTGGATTTGTATGTATTGCATGTATGTCGGGGTCTCAACGCTGTGTTCAGTACAGTTAGTTGAACATTCGAGAAGAAGCATGGAATATGAAAGGATGGATACCTTGACTCAGGATACCTTCAAGGAATTGACAGATATCAACACTGATGAAGATCTTGAGAACGTTCTTGGGGAACTTATAGGAGTAGTAAATAAATATGAAATAGATAGTAGTGAAATTGGCACACTTGATTTACGGTACAGTGTCGAAACATCCAACATATCATGTGGTTTAGTTTACAACCAATTGGGATAAATACGCTTTCAAAGACTATGGAGCGATTATGTAAGGCTGCTGGATTGGACGGACGTAAAACCAATCAGCATACAGTTGTTGGCATAAAGTGTGGATTCTTTTTTTACGAATCCACAGTTGCAGGGGGTCCACTGTGATTGCACTCACTAAACAAAAGATTTGCTTTTGTTTCCTGATTGCAATCCTCGCAGACCCCCTGTAGCTGTAGATTCGTGAAAAATAATCAACTGTTTGGTCTATTGTGTACTACCTTCAGCGGGTTTTAATAAGTCTATAAAAATCATAAAGATCAAGTTAATCATTAAATGATTCTAATGCAGGTGAATAGTGTTTGAGGATGACCCTGAACAAAGTGGTTAGTTAAATCAATTCAAAACTTGTCACTGAGAATTTTTCGAACCAATTAGTAAACAGAAAGAAACACATTCAAATAATGTTTAAATTTTAGTTAATACCAGGTAAACAATGCACTTCAGAAAGAATAACCATACAAAGAAAATCATCATTCTGGTGACTGAAAGCTCTGCTGGCATGTCAAGTTCTGAAGTTTCTCTTTACATAGGAGGTAGTAATATAAAGAGTGTAAACAAAGCTATCTTTTCAGAAACCAAGTCACACTTTGAATTGTAGATGACATAAAATATAATGAATTAACGAAAATGAGGTGACAGATGTAAATATGAATGGTGTTGGGAGTAAATTAGCCAAAGTCTATAATTAAATCAGACTGACTTAACAAACACAGACCTCTCCATTTGCTTGAAACTCTTATGTCACTCCACTGAAAATTAAAGTATTGGGAACAAGGATAATACAATCAAACAATTGAATAAGAGAGGTTAAATCACAGCATCAGTTTTTTTTCTAAAAAGCCATAAATACCAACTGTTTTTCAATGTTTAGTACATTTTATATAAATGAATTTAGTTTTAAGACACGATTCTCTTCTCCGGGGTATGTAAGATGTATAGGTATCCAAAATTGACATGAAAACAACAGATACAATTAGTTTTCTTCATGGGAAAATAACATGGGAAATGATGTACTTTTCTCTATTTTCTGCTTTTTAAGACTTGAATCAACCCCAAAATAAAATAAAAATAAAACACATGGTGAACAATATCGCACCCTTGAACAGAAATGGCCATCTTGACATTTATCCAGAATGTCGAAAAACTAATCAGTTCTAAACTTTCATAGATAGAAACATCCCTGGGAATTTCAAATGAATCCCTCAAACGGTTTGGCTGGAAACCTGTAGACAAGCCTTGACAGACAAGATTTTAGGACGGAAAATCCAAAATGGCCTCCTTAACATTTACCCAGAATGCCGAAAAACTAATCAGTTCTAAACTTTCATAGGTAGAAACATCCCTGAAAATTTCAAATGAATACCTCAAACTGTTTGGCTGGAAACCTGTAGACAAGCCTTAACAGACAAGATTTTAGGACAGAAAATCCAAAATGGCCACCTTAACATTTACCCAGAATGCCGAAAAACTAATCAGTTCTAAACTTTCATAGGTAGAAACATCCCTGGGAATTTCAAATGAATCCCTCAAACGGTTTGGCTGGAAACCTGTAGACAAGCCTTAACAGACAAGATTTTAGGACGGAAAATCCAAAATGGCCGCCTTAACATTTACTAGTAGTAGCCAGTTCTGTACAGTGAAACCTTTATATCTGATTCTGAATAGCTCTCTAATCTGACCACCTTAATGTGAACACTATTCCTCAGCCCCAAAGGAAGTAGTGCGCTCTCCATTATTATCTCTCCATGAAAAAAAATTTGTTCATCTGATTTTTCAAAATGAGTATGCTTTTATTATTACATTTATATGCACACTAGAATCTTGTTGACCTATATTCAGCATTGTATTGATGTATAGGCCACTTATTAGGATCATAATTCAATCATGAAATGTAGAGGCATAGATTCCAAACCAGGAAGTATTTTTGTGTCTGTCAAAATCCATTGCATTCTTCATGTTTCACCTAAAAATGATTCATTTTGTTCATGGGGAAGTCATAATGGAGAGTGTACTAGATCCTTTATTTTATCTCCTTTCATGTTTATAAACACCTACTAATCCGAACACTTTTAGATGGCCCAAAAGGCATTTGGATTAGACGGTTCCACTGTATATCTTATGACAATTAACGCTCTCTCATGTTTGCATTTTCTGATTGTTTGCAGATATATATACATTCGCCACTTAACTCATGAAGGGAACAATAGAAGACCTGCAGCACTGACAAGCCAGGCTTACGAAGATATTGCCTCTAAGCTTACATCAGAAGAATGGCTTCTTTTAATACCAGAACAATTGAATCTTTTAAATGATGAAACTCGCTTCAAATACATTGATGGTCCACCAGGGTCAGGTAAAACTCAGATTCTTGTACTGAAGGTCAGGAAAATTTTGGAAACCAATCCAAATGACACTATTCTTATAATCACAGTCGGTGAGGCCATTGCAATGAAAATAGAACTTGATCTCCAGCAAGAGAATTTGAGAGTTACTGTGAAGTCAGTTGATCCACGGGCAAACTACCCTGAAGGTGGCGAAACAAAATATAACCACATTTTCATTGATGAATCGCAAGATATTCTCAAAGAAACCATCTCATACCTTCAAGAAAATATTATTGTTTCCAAGACTGAAGGATTCTTCTGGTTGTTCCTTGATAAAGCTCAAATACTGCAAGAGTATTCCAATACCATTGGTGAAGATTTCTTATATAGATCCAAAACTGATGCCTATGTACCGGAATTAAAAACAATAATGCGAATGACCTCACAAACAACTGATAATTGTAAAGCATATGACACCATGGATAGAAGAAATATTTCAGTTGGACATAATGTGGTAGGACCCGAAGTAAAAATATATGAAAGATATTCACCAGAGTTTGTATTGAGCTTGATTGATCAAACAGAAAAGCATCACACAACAATACTATTTGAAAATGATAAAGACATATTAAACTTCAAGGAAAAATGTGACAATAAGTACTATTTTCAAAATGCCAAAGAAAAGGCGAAAAATTGCAGTAATATCACTTTGGACACAATTAGAAACTTTAGAGGACTTGAAGATAAAGTGGTTATTGTATGCTTCACATCAAATCTAGAAGATCAAGTTGAACTTGTTCATATTGCTTGTTCAAGATCATACTGTTCCCTATTCATATGTTTTAAAGAACATACACCACGGCTAAGTAGGCTGCGTAGGCTGCGTAGTTTGGCGGCCGCTGCGGCTGCGCAGCTGCGGCTTTGGTGGCCCACTGTTGCGCTTACTTACTTACCTTTCTCTCCAAAAAAAGTCAGAAAATCAGTCTCCCAAGACAGCTCCCCTCTGCATCAGCAAACACAGAACTGATTTTGAATAGAAAATGAATTCACAAAAATAAGTGTGTAGGAAGTTATCCAAATTGAATATTTCTTAGCATTAATTAATATTTCATTGATGCTATTAATATCAACTATCAATAATAAGCTAAAAGTAAACACTATGCTTATTCTAATGAACGCTAAAAAATGATGATAATGAGTAATTCAAATAAAACATTGAGTAATATGTTTACAAAATGTATGCAATACTACAGTATAAATTATGTTTGTGCAGTGACACCTATCATTAAGATAAAGAATTATTCCAATGAATAAATCAGTATATTCATTTAAAGTTTGCCAAATATCCCTTATCATGTGGCTCACTCATAGCACCCTATGCAGACAGAGCCTGTGGGAAATATTGGGTGCGGCGCAAATGAGCGGAGGGTGCGGAGCTAACGGTCATTTTTGAATTTAAAATTGGGATATTTCTGAAACTAAGCCATTTTGGGACTTCAAATATACCAAGATATGTGTATTTGACACCAAATATCAATAAAATTGTGAAAATAGTAGTGCAATTCATTTTATAGCGACGCAGTATGCCTTAAACATTTCCCAAACCTATATATTTTGAGACTATCCTTTTAATACTGCGTCCCCAGCATTCATAAAAATGGTGTCCAAGATACACTACCCATGCAAATTATTTTTGCATCTTGGAAGCCAGGCAGTATCAGTGTGATTTTATAAAAATTCGGAAATGTTCTTCAGATATGAGCCCCCTCTAAATATTGGGTGCGGAGGAGCTCCATAAACGTACCTCCGCACCCAGTATTTAGAGGGGGCTCATATCTGAAGAACATTTCCTAATTTTTTTAAAATCACACGGATACTGCCTGGCTTCCAAGATGCAAAAATAATTTGTATAGATAGTGTACCTTGAACACCATTTTTTATGAATGCTGGGGACTCAGTATTAAAAGGATAATTTCAAAAGATATAGGTCTGGGAAAGGTTTAAGGCACACTGCGTCGCTATAGTATGAATTGCGCTACTATTTTCATAATTGTATTGATATTTGGTGTCAAATACACATATCTTGGTATATTTGAAGTCCCAAAACGGCTTAATTTCAGAAATATCCCAAAGGGGACATGCCATTAAGAGGCCATTCTCTGACTTAGTCATTTTTTCAAAAGTGTCAAAATAAAAAAAATCATGAAAAGTTCTTAAAATATTCTGAATAACAAGTTGAATATATATATTTAATGATGGCACAAGCAAAAGTCTGAAAATTAACATGAAATGAAGGGTTTTGACAGATGCAAAAGATGGTAGATTTGTGATGAAGAAATAGAGGTTTTTGCAGTAACAACACGATTACCTCGAAATTATCCGTTATGAGAGGCTGAGGACTAAACTTGACATAATTTTCAATCTCAGATTATCAGTAGTATCTAACTTAAGCCGGACAGCCACTCAAAGTGTATATGGAGCCCATAAGATTCATTTTTCTCAATTGAAGTCACTATTTCTGTTTTTAGCTTCAGATGATAGGAGGTACATGAACATGCTAAGTTTACCTAGATCACAAGCCTTACCACAAATATAAAGTATATAGGAATAGAGTTGATATGTGTGAAAACCTTAAACTTCACATTTTATTGGGGATGGAACTTGTGGACCATGTGTATTTCTAACTTCTTCACATGTGCATGGATCTAAAATTGTGGCAGCCATCTTGGATTTGTCATATTATGTGGACATGGTTTTGGTTGTGCTGAATTTGTTTCAAAATAAAATTTCTTGTATACCTTCGATAAGTGAGATAGGCATTTGAAATTAAATACAGATAGTATACTTGACATTTAATGCAGTAAACAGTAATACAATTCATTCTTACATAATAAGTGAGTCCAGACAAAAAGTTGTTATTGTGTTAGTTTAACTGGGCATAAATTACACTCATTGGCCTTGGTTTTCTTAATTGGCTTGGATAAAATGTTGTTCTGTTTATTCAGAAAAGGAGTATAGTTCAATCTGCAAGTTCACATTCGTTCCATCCTCTTGTAGAAATAAATCTCATATTATTTCATCTCAAATATAGAACACAAAAATATAATAAAAAACAAGTTTCTATTAATTGCAAAAGTTAGCTTCTATGTCATGACTGAGTTTGGGTTCCGCTTCTAGGGAAAAAAATATCCATCTGGAAATATCGTATTGACCATTGCTATATACACTCCATATTTAATCCTCCCAGTAAATAACATTGATATACAGTATACAAGTATATATGACATCGAGGATCTGGTGTTTGGGTAATGTGAGACATGAGGCCACTTGTCTTTTTGAATCTTCAATATTCTTTCTTTCTCTCATATTTATTAATATTTTTGGAGTGGTAATTCAATTATGTACCTATTTTTTATTCGTTATCCCATAGTTGAACTCTGTTAGGTAACATGAAAACATATTTATGATATTTTGCAAATGTGTGGAAAAGTGATATCTGTGGAATACGGAAAATGTTTCACAGATATTACCTTTTGGCAGGGATTTGAAAACTACCACCAATATGATGTGTTCTGTACATAGTGATTTCATGACATCAGGGGGATGAATGAATGAATGGATGTTGTTTTGATATGCTTTGTTTAGTTTTAGAGGTGAACTATGGGAAAAATAGAACATCCTATGAATTTTCGTGATATTGTGTTAATCCAACTCATTGATATCAATATCTGCGCTAATTCGCTATGCTAACTTGGCAAGATATTGATATCAACTCGGAGATAAAGGTAAAATCATTTAAAATCATATGATATCCTATACATATCCTTTACTGTGCTACAACTTTCTCATATGTTATATATTTTGGCACAGGCCATCATTTATTTTCCTTGAATTCATGCTTTTGTTCCTCGTTTTAGAAATGAGAGGAAATCTTTGATTTTCCTTGTATTTAAGTTGCTTAAATGTTGCCCTGTGATGTTGATAAAAGTCAATAGTAATCGATTACAGTCACAGTTGAGATGTACCCATTGCTAGCCCAGAACCTACCAAAATAGCATTTGCATTTTGTCAATATTGCCCTATGTGCTTTTCCATGAAAACAATTTTAATCGTATCTTTTCTTCAGTATTTCATATATTACATTTTAATATATTTAAATTGGTTAATATTGATATACTATTTACTTAGACAACAATAAATAAAGAATTTTTTGTAAAAACACCAAAAATGGTATATGATCTTTAAATGACTGTTGTGTGAACATCAAAGGTCAAAATTCGCTGAAATTGTATTTTTATAAAGCACAAATGATTTTTCTTCAATATGATATGCATTATTATCAGATATCTTTGGGGGCTAAAAAGGGCCCTTAATGACACCCGTCCTTTAAATTCAAAAATGACCGTTAGCTCCGCACCCTCCGCTCATTTGCTCCGCACCCAATATTTCCCACAGGCTCTGTCTGCATAGGGTGTCATAGGCTCTCTCTAGAGAAGCAATTGAATATAGAGTCAATACAACAATCCATATTGTATCATTTAGCAGATATCTTGTAGCAATCCATATTGTATCATTTATGCAGATATATTGTAGCAATCCATATTGTATCATTTAAGCAGATATATTGTAGCAATCCATATTGTATCAATTAAGTAGATATTTTGTAGCAATCCATATTGTATCATTTAAGCAGATATATTGTAAGAATCCATATTGTATCATTTATGCATATATATTGTAGCAATCCATATTGTATCATTTATGCATATATATATACATGTTGGTTAGTGGTGCAGGGTGACATCCTAGGGGGGTACATGGGCCAACCAGGGGTTAAACTGCATCATTGACTAACATAGATGATTGTTATACATTATTGTTATTGTTATACATTATTGTTATACATTATTGTTATTGTTCTTGTTAGATTAGACACATTGAACCTGAATACCCATAATTGCAAACTCTCCCTTCAAATGACTCCCTTTTTCTTTTTCTTTTGTACCTTTTCTATTTCCAATAAACATTTATTAAAACTATTGTGTAATTTAATACACTTATTTTAAGTGTCATTGCATTTTCATTATTTTTCCATAAAAACTGTATGTTATTGTAAAAATCGACTAAAAAATGAAATATATATTATTATTATTAGACTCCAGATGTCAATCTGGAGTCTATTGTTTTTGCCAGTATTCTTTATTATTAGACTCCAGATGTCAATCTGGAGTCTATTGTTTTTGCCAGTATTCTTCTTATTCTTATTATTCTTTAGGAGTTTTTTCAATAACTATGAGGTATCCAGTAAGGACCATAATACAGTTTATTTAGGTTCAGTATCTAGTTGGTGGGAAATTGGGTCAATTTTTTATCTAGGTCAAAGGTCAAGAACTAGGTCAAATCCAGTACTTTGTCACTTTTTTCGATTTTCTCGGTCGTCCTTCAATATTTTGGATCCGGGTTTTTTTCATTGTGTTCCTCATAAAAATGTAGAAAATCTAGGGTCGATTTAGTTTTTTGGTATCTCAAACCGATTTCGAGATATCAGTGCCCGAAAACGAGGTCCAAAAAAAGTTCTCCGAATCCAATGTCCAGGATATCAGTCTTATAGGAAATTTTCTCAGGATTCCGAATCTGAAAACCAAATTTCGATCTGACTTCCGGTTCAGAAGTTATGGCGTTGTGAAAATTCAAAAATCGTTAAATTTGGTGCCCCATGTTAATTCAATGGGAAAAAATATTTTTTTGAAGTATAAAATACGAGATATAGACTAAGAACAGCTAAACATAATGGAAGCCCATAGAAGAAAGGGACCTCAAAACCTTCTTTTCATAAAAATTTGGACACCAAAATGCCTAGGTCAAAATCTAGGTCAAATTCAAAGTTTTTCCTTATTTTTGAGATTCTGACACTACAGATTTTTTTGATTTTTTTTATTTATTTAGTATTTAAGTCAGTGGCTCGGTCAACTTGACA